ATTCTAATACTTTTTGGCCTGCTAGATCCCCTGACTTAACTTAAGGTTTTCATGTTTTTTCTAATCATAACAGATAAATGTTCATTTAAAATAGAAAGATTAGTAAAAATTAACAAAACCTAATTTTTTAATGTAAATGTATGAAATTGCATATTTAAACGTAGTTTTTAGTTCTGATTAACTTTTCTTTATAACAATTTTCAATATTGTCAAATATAAAGGTACTTTACTCTTGCGCCAAATTCATATTTTTTGACATACCTCGTATACGACTAAAAAAAATTAATATTTGTGGGTTGCATTTTAAGTTTTACACCATGCAGAACTTTTTAAGAAGAATAACTTTTTTTCCTAAAATTAATAATAAAAAAGTTTTCCATATGATTCCAAGATACTGAGACATACTGTATATATTAGGGTGTCCCAAAAAAAAAAGAATATTTTTTTTCTTGTCTCTTGTAAAAATCTGTTAGTTTATCATGCTGTGAGAGCCCTTTTAAAATATCAGCCCGACTAAAAATTTTGTAGGGGTCGCTCAAGATTTTTTAAAAAATTCAAAATGGTCAAAAATTGAATTTTTGTTTTATTTTAATTCTTTTTCTCGTCTCGATATTATTTTTTAGGTTGAAAATAATAAAAATTCTGTAAATTTCAAATCAATATTTTGATTTCTAAAGGTCTCTAAAAGTTCGTTGATATTTATATTCAGAGGTCGCTCGAAAACATTCAAAATACTCTACTTTGAAAGTTAAAAAAATCTTGAGCGACCTTTAGAAATTAAAATATCGATTTGAAATTTTCAGAATCATTATTATTTTTAAATTAAAAAATAATATCGGAAAGAGAAGAAAAATTAAAATAAAAAAAAAATCCAATTTTTGACGATTTTGGTAATTTTTAAAAATCTTGAGCGACCCCTAAAAATTTTTTAATGGTGCTGATCTTTTGACAGGCCTCTTAAAACATGACAAACCAACATATTTTCACAAGAGACGAGAAGAAAAAAAATATTCTTTTTTTTTGGGACACCCTAATATATATATATATATATATTTATCAAATACTGATCATTCGACACTCACTCCAGGACAACCTTAAACATTTAAGTTTAGATAAGTCGACAACGCTGTGTATTTCCTGGGCTGAAATATCATTCTTAATGTTGTGGAAACGCTAAACCATCATGGCCTTGTTATTATTAACAAATGTTAACTATTTTCTTAATTTAATAATAGAAATAACACCATTAAATCAATAATTTTAATAAAATAAAATTTATGGATTGTATGAATTAAAATCAATATGGATTAGAAAAAATACATTTTTATTTAATAGGTTGTAAATTTTTGTCCGACATTTTCGATATCGCAAATTAGTTTCTGATAACAGAAATTGAATTTGTGATATCGGAAATTGAAATGTGATTCTTTTAATTTACGATTAAAAAATACTTTGGCGTTCCATAACTACAGGTCAATAGATTATTTATCTATAAAAATACAAATTAAAAAAACTAACTAATAAATTATCTATGCAAGAATACATTTAGTTAATTACACATACTCATTTTAGTCGTTCCATATTATGATGCCCACATACTGATAAAACCATCTTATAAAAAGTCTATAGACTTTGTGGAAATATTCTTTGGGATCTCAAATCCGGTGATTTAATTTTCGCGTGCACCAGTTCCGGTTCGCACAAAAATGACCTTATTTTTTTTTATACTTTATGGTTTTAGCTGTATTGTATTTTTATGTTTAGGCTTAAAAATACATGAGCCAGCTGACAGTAGTATATATTAAGGTTTTTCCTACTAAGAACATTCTACATTTTCATTCAACTTTTTTAAACAATAGTTTACGAATTTCATGTAACGTAAATTGACTGAAAAGCTTTTATATTGAACCCATGCAAAGTCTGTTTTATAACTCTTAAAATGTATTTTATTGTTTTTCTTTTTATAAATTAGTAGACAGGAAACACCGATTTAACCCAATGCGGTTAAATTTACCAACAATGTGGTTAGGATGTGGTCAATTTTTTATAATTATTACCAGTAAACCCAGTAAACATTATATATTTTTCTTTTATTTTCAAATCATTAATATTTACATTTTAATTTAAATAACTTTTTTATCTTTTATTCTGTAATAAATTATCCACTTAAAACTTAACTATTAAAAAAAAATTACCGCTGTCTAAAGGTTAGACTCAAAAAATAAAACAGGGTAGACAATAGCTAGGTTTATATGCACGTTTGTACCTGTTGATTTCGCCGACAGCACGGTTTTATACCGTATTTTCATTTAAAATATATACACTCGAGTAAACCCGAGTGAACACGAACGCCCCTTTCCAAATGCCCCAAAAGCATTGTAAGCGGATTGCCGTAGGCGACGATTCAGTTATGTTTTGCATTTGCTAGTGTGTATTTTAAGCGTTTTATCAAAAATTAATTTCTTTTATTTAAAATTATAAGTTATAATATCCTACACATAATAAGCTGGTCTTTAGTTGGCAATTTTCTACGTCAAACAAGAGACCTATTCTCAGATAAATATCCGGATCGTTCTATTCAAATGGTTGTATTTAATTAATTTATTGATTCATTTACATTTATTTTAAGGGTTTGATTTTTAGTTTGGTAGAGCATTTATTTATTTCTTTTAATTGGTTTTCAAGAGAAATATTTAATTTTTTTATGTTTAAACGTTTTTTTATGAGAAAATACTATTAGTTCAATGCAAAAAAAATAATGATTGTACCCCTTTAATTAATAATTTACTGTAAAAAGTGATTTCGTTACATTTTAAGAATCTGAATCATTTTTAAAAGTAAAGTAACTTAATGCGTAATTCGTATTAATAATTTAGAGCAAACTTTGACTATCACCCAACGCCGGTGAAGGGTCTACTGCTGATTTATAAAAACCAACGACAAAAACCGTTTCTCGGCGTCTCTCACTTTTAAAAATTATCCTTCCACTCTTAAAAACCGAATGCGGCCTGTCTACATGTTAAATAAAGATACAGGTATAAGACTGGCCAGCAATAAACTGATAAAGCATTTTGGATGGAGTGGAGTGCCCATAAAACATACTCTTTACTTTTACTGTAAAAAACTGCTTCTATATTGCATTTAAACGGTTCTTAGTCCATTTTCAAGAAAGAAATTTTGATTTTCACAAAAAAATTTGACATTTGAACGCCGGTATATACAGATTCCCATTCTTAGGCGAATGGTTACTCTATTTTTTATAGATGTCGCTCCATAGACAAATTGATTTAAATCATTTTTAGATAGTAATAAGTATTTGTTATGGTGTAACAGCTTGGTAAAAATGAAATGGTAAATTCCTTAGTAAAAAAATAATAGTTTTTTTCGTATAAACTTTTGATCTACGGGTTTTCGGTTTTAAATTACAGTACCCAAGCAGCATTTTAAGTTTAAATAACTACAAATTTACTACTAAGTCAACTTTAAAGTATTTTTTACGGTTAACCAAAACGGTTTTATAACGGTATAGATACGAAAAATTACCAAATTTGGGGAATGGTTTATTTCGTTATTTTACCCACATAATAACCTTTTTGATCTTCTAAGAGAATTACGTAATAAAAACAATATAAATACCACAAATTTACGTAAAAATAACGCTATAATTACTAACTGTTTGCTCTCTCTTTCTTAAACATTGCTATTCGTAATTTCTTTGTTCTTTTAATTTATATTTTACAAAATGGTAGAAACTTAAGTAATTACATAGTAATAAAGGCCACCCTAGAGTAAAATTAAAAAATATAACTTAAATTGTCAAAACCATTGATATTTTGCATTAAAACTCAAACGCACATTATTTTATTGATAAAAATAGGTACGATACGTCTTAAAAATTATATGCCCTCTAAATATTTTACGGTTTTAAGAAAAATTATTGCTGGGGTAAAAATTCAACAAAACTTAAAACCTACAAAATTTTATAAAATCTTTTAAAAATCATTTAGTTTTAATCATTTTTTAATAACTAAAACTTTTCTTATTATATTTTAGAAAGATATTCATGAAAAAATATTATATAAATGTTTAGATAAGTAATGGATGCCATCTTAAAAAACTCATTATGGCGGCCTAAAAAAAAATTCCCGCAAAGTTTTATTTTTCACTTTAAGCTTATTTTTCCTTGTTTAGTCAATATTATTAGTATTTATTACCCACTAATAACCCTAAAAAATACCAGGCGAATAGGAATTATTTACGGTTATAAAGTGGTCTTAATATCGTAAAATTATGACTTATGAGTAAAATTTACCATTAAGTAAAAATTCTGACGTTAAAATTACCGTTAAATTTTCCTTTAGGTGAAATACACTTATAAGTAATTTTCTTTCGTAAAAATTACGTCCCTCATAATACTTTAAAGTGTTGAAACTTAAGGGTTATTAAAATAGGTTTAAATAACATAAATAAAACTTATATTATAACTTTAAAAAAAGTTTTACTTCAAAGTAAATTTTTAAGGTTAATTTAACAAAATATTTACTTAAATTAAGTAATATTGCCTCAAAGCTCTACGCTTTTACTTAAAATGCTGCTTGGGTAGGTTAAAAAAAATTGTTTAATAAATTAAAAACACTAACAGAGAAGGAAACGAAATTTTAGCGATTTCCTGGGCAATTGCTTTGTTTTGAAGTACAAAAAATTACTTTTTAGTTGACCCATTGGCCTTTTATAAAGAAAAATATGTTTTGCCACTGGAAAAAAGTTTTGGTTTATTTTTTAAAATTTGCTTTTTTTAAATACAAAGTTGTCTCTTGCGTTTTCTTTGTACAAGTTAAATTTCATTTTTAAATTTGAAATAACTCATAATTCTTTTTAGGCTCTAAATATGATGTTTTTAATATTGGTAGTTCTTTACTTAAAAAAATCAAACAACTTGTTTAAAATCCCTAGGCATTTTATTAATCAAATCAAATGCATTATATAATGTTTCTTTTCAGGTTAAAAATAACAAAAGACCACACAATCAAATCGAAGGAAGACGGCCTAAACGAGATGAACTCTGCGTCGAACGGCGCTCCTGCGAATATGATCTGCGCGACGCATCCTCAGGAGAAGCTGTCGCTCTTTTGCGAAAGCTGCGACAAACTTACCTGTCGAGACTGCCAGCTGCAGGAGCACAGAGATCACAAATACAAATTCACCACTGAAATTGCGTCTGAAGCCAGAAAATACATCTCGGAGATGCTCAAAGACGTGGGGTAAGAAAAAAATACAATGCACAATTTAATTTAACATATCGATGAGTTTTTGCCAAAGTATCGCAAGCAACATAACTCAAATTTCGGAAACATTTTTTATTTTAAAGTCTGTTTTAAACCATATAATATATTAGATGCACAACTCTGTATTTGCAGGATAAGTGATTTTAAGAAAAACACGAAAAACCGCTCATAAGGTCGTATTTGAAAAAAAAAATACAAAAATCGTATAGACGTGCTTTTGCATCATTTCTTATTCAAAAAAGTAAAAAAAGTCCTTTAAAATTAAGTAGTTTAGTAAATAATTGAAATCAAAAGATTTAAAAACATAGTTTTGCATCTTCCTCGTTCAAAGACCAAGTTTTGCAAGTGAAAATACCAAAAATACCAAAATACCAAATACCAAAAAAATAACAATTAATCAGGTGATTGTTATGCCGTCAGTTAATGCGTATACTAGCGACGTGATTGGTGATTGGTCAAATACCGAGTTTTGCATCCGACAGGAAGAAACAAATACCCAGTTTTGCAGCTGCGGTAAGTTTATATTGTATATGTATTTTATTCTACAAATATTAACTTATGCATCTGGTTTACTTAGGTATGCTGTGGGCAGTGCAGTTATGAACATAAATAAGATAAAATATATATTTTTTAAAAATGTGCAAAAACCGAGTTTTGCATCTAATGTACTCATATAACCTATATGTTTTATAACAAGTAAATAGCTATAATTATAAGCTAATTACTTGTTATAAAACCTTTAGACTATATTTAATTTAAAACAGACTTTAAGACAAAAAATGTTTTCAATTCCCTAAATTTAAGTTATGTTGCTTGCGATACTTTGGCAGAAACTCATCGATATTGTTAGCAATCAATTGCTAAAATATTATTGGCCGATATTATACAGTACGTGTATTACCAGTTGCATATTTCAAATCTAACAGTTAGTTTCTACAGAGCTAACCTCATTTAAAATGAGTCATTTTAGGATTTAAAAAATAGACAGTTATTAAAAAAATATCTAAGCAAGACCACAAACAGTCTGTGAGCCGGGCTCTAAAAAAAATGTTATTAAAGAAGTGTTATCTCATTTTTAATATTTCTTAAGAGATAAATAACATGATCACAATTACCTGAAATAATTATATTTATCTACTCCTACATTGACGAGCTGTGACTTTATGGCTTTTTATTGACTTGCTGAAGTTAACAACAGTGGCTTTTCGACATTTTACGTCACGGGCTAAAGTTAGCTTTATTATAAATTGGGAAAAAGTGAGGTTAAATTGGGGTGACAGTTGACAGATGTCAAAATTTTAACAAATAAAATTGGCTTTTAATTCTGTTTTGTGTTCGTCGTAGATAAAGTATAGTATGCAACTCGTTTATAAACTTCTCTAGACACTCGTTATTATTAAACACTCGCTCGCAAGCTTCGCTCGTGCTTAATTAAACTCGTAACTAAAATGGCGTTTATAAAACTTGATACATAATATACTATTTTATGTCATACATTTGTCATACATATTCAGCAATAAATTTTATTTAAATAAAAATACATCACCAAAGAATTGTTCCGTGTAATTTTTATGTATAAATAATTAATTTGTACGCGAAACGTTACTATCGTCGACCTAATTTTAAAGCTGAATTTATAGATTTACGATATTGCGAACTTCATTTAAAACTCGTAAATTAAATTCAAACCATGTATGGTTCGGATTTAAATCTTATAATTTACTATTCAAAATTCCAACAAAAGTTATCTAATACTAATACTTACTTGGAAATGTGCATATTTTCCTGTAGTTTGGGACACGTTTTAATCATCGAAATTTTTGTCCATAGGCGCGTAATTTTTTGATACCTTATTGTTTTCACATTTTTTTTGTTGATCCCAATTTAAAGTGCTTGATATTTTTTTTCGTACGAATTTTACAAATAATCAACCGTTACCAATAGCTATCAAAGCCCAGTTTTCTTGATACAAGCATTGGTTCAGCTATCTTGATTTTTTTATAATTTGACTATGACATTTAATTTGAAACTGTCAAATTCACAAACAATTTAACATTTGTTTTTTATAGGTAATATAGGCTATAAAAATCCTCGTTCGCAGGGCTCCCACACCTCCTAAAATTCATAAAATTCCTAAAATTTGGCTTAAATCTTAAAAACTCCTAAAATTCTCCTAAAATTGCCATCAATCTCCTAAAACTCCTAAAAATTAAATATAAGTAGGCCAACTTGACTGCGTTTAATTAAGGTAGTTGTGCTAAAAATTTCTTTTTTAAAAAGTAATTTAAAAAATATATATTTTTGGGTTCTAGTTTATTAAATTCTTTTTAAAATGATATATATACCTATAGGTATCACAACCTACATTTTTCTTAAAAAACAACAAAATCCATGTAGTAGCTTCTAGACTTCTACAAAATTGTCATTTTTAGACATATTTTCGACAAAAATATACCGTGTTATATATCAAACAAAAGGATTTTTAATTTTCTTTTAAATGATAGCTAAAATAGTAAACAATCTAAAGAATATTTTGCTGTATCATGCACTTTATATTTTTTCTATTATGAGATTTTTTAGTAACAATAACATTACAATTATTTTTGGTTATTAACTAAACTGTTAATTTTTTTTTTCAAAATATTAATATAACATCATAAAACTTTGGCCTACTTTTTTAGCCTTTTTTTAAATAAAATTAAAAGTGTGGTGAAATTTCTACTTGTAGATATAAACAAAAGTAGTAATTTTACCTCATTTTTCATTTTATTAAAAAAAAGTTCGTCGTGCGATTTGGCTAAAAAACTCATATAACCTATTTGTACAAAAGAAGTGATATTTATTTATATTTTTGTAAAAAAGAATTACTTATTTTTTTCTTATTTTTTAAGTATATTGTAGAGTTGTTTTTATTTAATTGAATAAATTCATTTTTCCTAAAATTCTCCAAAAAAAACTCCTAAATTCCTAAATAAAATTTGTAATTTAACCGTGGGAGCCCTGCGTTCGATATATGCCTATTATCGGTCTTAAGATGTTTTATACTATTACAGACCAGTAATGAACGTTATTTTTCAACCTTTAAAGTTTAAAATTAAAAATTAACTCCTTTAATACCGTTTTTTTGAAAATTGAATTGAATTTTGGCCTCACTAGTTCCAGGTTACATATTTCTACTGAATCGAAAGCAATTCATAAATAATATTATTTTATGACTTTTATACACAAATTCATTTTTGAGCATTTTTTGATATCCATAATTTATTTAAGGTACAAAAGGGCGTTACTTACAAGTGCAATGAAAGTGATTGAAGAAAGGCAAACTCAAATAACCGACAAAAAACAAGAATTGGTCTCAGAGATTACTCAACTGGTTGTAAAGTAAGGCTTTATTCAAATAATTGAGTAATACTTATAATTTATATGGTTGTATGAAATTTTCAGATTAACAAATACAATAAATGTTCGAGGCAAACAGCTGGTCTCAAAACTAACAGAAGTATGCGATTCAAAACAAAAAACGCTTCAAGAGAAAAAAGAAGCCTTGGAACAATTATCAAAAATGACAGATCATTGTATAGGTAGGAACTACTTTCTACCTTTTAAAATTTCTCAATATTAATTTATTAATATTTTTCAGATTTTACTCAACACGCCCTGGATAAGGGCAGCGATATGGCTTTATTATACAGCAAAAAACAAATGACAGATCACCTTAAAAGGATCAAGTGTAAACGTGCAGACATTCCGAATCCTGAAATTCCTGTAAGGATACATTTGGCTCTGGATAAAGTTCCTGACCTGATAAAAGGTACATTTTTTTACATTTAATACATATTTCTTCTGTTTTCCAAAATAAAAACAGCTTTTACAAATGAATATGCAAATTCAATAAACAAGGGTGATGGATTTTTGCAATAAAGTATTTTTTTTATTTATTGAAAATATTAACTTATGACACATGTCAAAAGTGACAAGTGTCATAAGTGACAGATGTCAAAAATGACAGATGTATTTTTTTTAACTATATAAAGGGTGATTTTTTTTACAATTTACAAGTTGTTTTTTAAAACAATAATAAGATGTCAAAAATGACGGTTGTCAATTTTTTAAAATATTTTTGTTACACCTTTTAAATAGATTTGTATTTAGCATTCACATTTTTACACAGCTTTTATAACAATTAAATATGCAAATGCAATAAAAAAGGGTGATTGATTTTTACAATAAAGTAATTTTTGATTTATTGCAAAAATCAACTTATGACACATGTCAAAAGTGGCAGATGTCAAAAGTGACATATGTCAAAAGTGGCAGATGTCAATAGTGACAGATGTCAAAAATTACAGATTTATTATTTTTTTATTTTTTTACGACTTCCAAGTTTCTTTTTTAATCAACTATAAGATTTTTAAAATGACAGATGTCGAAAATGACATTGGTCAAAAATAAAACATGTCAAAAATGACAGGTGTAAATTTTTTAAAATATTTTTGTCACAACTATAAAAAAGATTTGTATTTAGCATAGTATTTTAATTATAGTGATTTGTTTCTTTGCATGTGGAGTGCTATTATGACCCTTTCTTATTTCATGGCATTTACAGGGTGGCCTGAAAATAGTTATTCCAGGCTTAAATAAATTTAAGCATTTTATTATGAGTAGTTTTTGTGTTAAGTTTAAAAAACTAAGCAATTTGGGATTTATAAAATTTACGTTATGTTTATCAGCCATTCCACGCTACTCCGGAAGTTTTGTAGCGTCCGTTACAATCAAAAATTGTGAGTTAAACTACCGTAATTATTATGCTTATAAGTTTAAGCCTAATTATTACAAGCATAATAAACATGTTTGCAATATTAACTATTGGGCCATTCCACGCTTAACGGATAGGACAGTTGTCGTGTTTTTATTTACAAAATAATATTTTTCTATTATATTACCAATGTCAAATTCTTATAAGTGGTTCTAAACAAAAGCGGTTTTACAAGGATTTTATTTGGCAAAATTAGGTATCGTGATTGACTGTTTAATTCCTTAAAAATTAATAATTTTAAGCGTAACGGGCGGGACTATTGCAAAGTCCCGTCCGTTACGCTTTAAATTATTAGTTTTTAAGGAATTAAAGAGTCAACCACGATACCTAATTTTGCCAAATAAAAACCTTGTTAAACAGCTTTAGTTTAGAACTATTTATAAAAGTTTGACATTGGTAATATAATAGAACAATATTATTTTGTAACTATCCTATCCGTTACGCGTGGAATGGCCCTATTGTAACTGTATTTAATTTAATTACGGTAGCTTTTAATCACAATTTTTGATTGTAACGGACGCTAAAAAAATTCCCGAGTAGCGTGGAATGTCTGTTATCATAAACATAATGTACGTACCTCTTCAGAACACCCTGTATTAATACATTACTGGACTAAGTAAACTAATAATTATTATTTGTAATGCTTACTCATAGGTCTAACAACAGGTTAGTTTATTAGAATTTTTGTTTTAATAAATATTTTAGTTATAGAATTGACTATTTGGTTTATTAATAAATATTATTGTATTATGTTAAAATTTAATATAGAATAATGAGTGATCCCCATAATAAACCAAAAAGTTATCAGTTAAATAATTTACACTTTTTAACTGTGCTATTAGTTATGTTCACGGATTAACTTTTTTCTAATCTATCCCTTGAACATTTTTCTACGGCAATTTGTTGTGGTTTTTTATGCATGGTAAATTTTTATACAGGGTGCACTAAGTATAATAATAATAATAATAATAATATGTATTGATCCAAAAAACAATTAATTATTGTATAGGACAAGCCAGAGGTTCTTAAAATATTTAAAATAAACTGAATGGGAATTTTAAAAAAAAGTAAGTTTTACATGTAAACATACACATTTTTTGACAGGTTTTCAGTTTTTTTTTAATTATTTGAAAACCGCTGATTTATATATAGAAGGAATCTATATACTTGGTGCACCCTGTATATCAATCAATCCATCATATTTTGTTAAATTATATTACATTATATATCGAGTAAAATTCTAAGAATTTGTGATTTTTTATAATATTTAGCTTTTTTTAAATTACATATGTTAATTCCTAGAATTTGTAGCCGGATATGAAAAGGTAATCCATTACAGGAATTAAGTTACAAAAAACAAAAACAAATTGATAATTTAACAGTCAAAGACAAAGTTAAAACTAAAGTCCCTTAATTAAAACGAAATATCCCTAGATGATCTCGTTTCCGTTTTGTTGTGCATACCCTTCTCATTTCCGTTACCGTTTAGGTTATGACTATTAAGACCTATACAAAAATTAAAGCAGCCCTTTTATAGATACATGCAAACATTATAACCAAGCTAAAAGTAACTTAAGAAACTCCTTAATTTAAATCCCACTTTTAAAATAACGTTGGAAATATGTCATTGTTGTGGAAACCCTAACGTTGTTTAAATATACACTCACCAGAAATTGGCAACAACTTTAAAGTTGATTTTCTCGCGAAACGCCCATCTGATTTTAATTATGAATGAATTAAGACAATTTTTCCCCGAATTTGTGATACCCCCTTTATTTGGTGCGTTATATATAATAAAAACATAATCTTCAAAACAGATAGGGCTACAGTCAATCAATTGACGCAAATTTCGGAAAAAACTTTTTACTTTTGTACCCTCTATGTGCACAAATTAAAATTTAAATAATAATGTTCTCAATACCAATTAAAAAAAAAACATCAAAATAAGATAAGCTGTTCGCGATAAAATCAACATTAAAATTCTGGCCAATTTCAGGTGGCGGGTTTTATTTGTATGGCACGCCGTTTTAGCATTTATTAGATAAAAGTTTAAAGATTAAAGTTTAGCACTTAAATTATGTTTTAACAGAAATTTATAAAGTTACATTTTTTTAAACTCAAAACAATTGATAGTCAAAAAATATTTTAAATATAAAATGCAACAGTAAAAATGTATGTTCAAAAATATTGATTTTTTAAAGTTTTGGTTGTAATATTTTATTCTACAAAATCATTGGTTTAAATTTTTAAGTCATTTAAATGATAGTTGATAATTTTTTAATACAAAAATTCTCAAATTACATTAAATGTAAGTTTTAAATTTTAAAGTAGTAATTTTTGGATTAAAAATTTATCAACTATCATTTAAATGACTCTTTACAAATTTAAACCAAATTTTTTTATTTTTAACAATTTTAAAGTGATATATTTTTAAGACAAAATGTATAACTTTACATTAACTTTACGATAATTTTTAAATTACAAAGTGTAAAGGTAGCTTTAGTAGAAGGCACAAGAGTCTGGGATCGGAGCCACGAAGCAGCCAGTTTGATCCGTTAATGTTTTTTCATTGTCGAATTAACAATAGACACTTAAAATGTTGTTGTTCTATTATTAAATTTATTTAATAAAGAAACATTTCATTACGGTAATTTGTAAAACGCGTCAAATATTTATGGAGCAAGCACGATTTGGCAACACTGCTACGTTTACACTTTGTAATTTAAAAATTATCGACTTACATTTAAATGTAAAGTTATAAATTTTGTCTTAAAAATGTATCAATTTAACATTTTTAAAAATAAAAATTATTGGTTTAAATTTGTAAAGAGTCATTTAAATGATAGTGATAAATTTTTAATGCAAAAATTACCACTTTAAAATTTAAACCTAACATTTAAATGTAATGTTCAAATTTTTGTATTGAAAATTTATCGACTATCATTTAAATGACTCTTTACAAATTCAAACCAATAATTTTGAAGAATAAAGTATTAAAATTCCATTTTTTTTTAATTAATATTTTTAAACTTTTACATTTGCATTTTATATTTAAAATATTGTTTGATTATCAATAGTTTTGAGTTTACAAAAATTTAACTTTTTAACTCGCTTAACTATTTTGGTAGAAAATGTTTTATATGTGTTTTTATTTTAAATGGTTTGATACTATTTTTAAATACTAAAAAATTTAACTTTACCAAATTAATCTCAATAATTTTATAAAATATTTATTTAAGGTAACAAAATGCCACCCAAATAAATTATACTTGGGAAATTATTTTTATAAAAAAAAATTTTGCAAAAATTGATAGAAAATAATATTGTTTAATACAGAAGTGAACTGTTGGGTAGTAAATTTTGACTTTCAATACATAATAGTTGAAAATATTATAAATTTATAAATGTAAACTTAAAAATTTTAGTTGGGAAAATTTTAAACCAATAAAATTTTAAATTAAAAAATTATTTAATAAGTGTTAAAACGGCGTGCCATATATTTGCCTGAGAGTGTATATTTTTAAATTAGACATCATACTTTTGTAAGAGATTTAAGAACCAAACTAGATGCATGATGGATTGTAACTCTTTGGATTTGATTACTTATTCCTTTTTCTTTAGTGATGGCAACAATCGGTCAAATAGTGGTGGACGGTCGCATATACTCGTCACAGGCTATGTCCCCGTCGCAACCCCACAACTCCATTAGCCCGGGGGTAGGCAGGCCGCCCCCGCCATCCCAATCGCCACACGGCGGTCCCATGCATTCCCAAAATTCGAATAACAACTTTCAGCAGCCGCGGTTGCCGGGACCCGGTGGATTAAGTCCGTATGGCGGGGGCCAATTTCAAAACGGACCTCAGTTTCAGGTAAGAATATCCACATTGGAGGACAAATATTTTTTTCAGATTGGGTACCTATAAGTTTTTATTTGAATTTTTTCGGTTCAAAATTTTTAATCCGTTTTTCAAGGGAAGCTAAAATTTTGTACACACTTTTGGTGCTGGTGACAATGTAATTTATTGTAATTTTTAAGTGGTTTATAATATTTTTTCGAAAAATTAACATTGACATTAGTTTTCATTGAAAACTTTTCAACCTATAAACCTGGACAGTGAAAAAAATAAAGGCTAACCATAAAATAGCAACACTTGGTGTTAAGTTGTCAAGATAATCATCATTAAATAAAAAAAAATGGCCAGTCCATTTTACTTTTTTTACATTGAAAAAAATCGATTAATTAAATTCCCAAAAAAGAAAAATCAACCCAACATAATATCAAGCAACACTTTGACAGGTTTTTGCTGTCACAGTGACATTTTTTTCTGTCCAAGTGACAGATATTGTCTAACCTAACCACTTTTAAAGAACTAGCTAAATTTGATAGTATGACGTTTTTCCGAATTTATTACTTATTACTCATGCGTTATTAGAAATGCATAGATTAGACATAGGTACTAACTTAAAAGCATAAAATAATTTTCTAATTTTTTATACCTAACCCTTTTGACAACACAACCTAGAAATTTGTATGTCTAAATGACAGATATTGTCCTTTATCTCTGATATTGTCTATCCCCACTTTCAAATAACATGTTATGTTATTTGCAATTTCATGTTACATGGTATACCAGGGTGTTTTATGTTCTTGGTCCATTAAAAGTTTCTGGGGAACGGCAAAAGATTTTAATTTGAAATTTTTAAAGCGTTGATAATCCAATTAAGTCTATTTTTCTAGAATATTTTGAAGAAAATGCTACTTTCGATTTGACCGGAAGTGACATCAACTTTGTTGTTTTAAATGGAACACCTCCATATGTTTTACATTTTTAAATTCTACATAAAATTCTGAGCAAAATGGCTAAAACATGTCATATACCTAAAGTGAATGGTTTTTGAGTTATTAAATTTTTTCGTTAAAATTTGACAAATGCGCGTTTAAATAGCCTATAACTTTGCCGTTATTATGTTTGCGGACATGAGGGGTGGAATTTTTGGAATCTTGAAACATTGTTTAAAAGATTTAATGTCAATTCTTTAGCTTATTTTAACAAATTACTTGAGAAAAACTGGCAAATTAGGCTAACTTGAAACGTTAATAATTTTTTTATTTAACATAATCAAATAGGAAATTAAAAAACATTTCGATTGATGTAACTATTCCCTATACCTAAATTTCGGGCTAAATTTTATATTTTATTGTCTCCAGTAGTGCTTCATCTAGTTGACATCCTACAGCTTTGTTATTTTTTTTTCAAAATTAGAAAATACTATTTTTATTAAGTGCTTTTAAATTTTAAAAATGTTTGACTTGTCAATGTTTATAATAAGTCACTGACTGCTATTTTTTATCAGTAATTTTGTTTACTTAACACTTAATTAATCAACAAATTGTTTATTAATTGTTGAGTATGCTATTACTACATTAATACTACAATAAAAAACACTAAAACCTGAAAATTTCGCATTAAGGCTTAATTTAAACTTGAATTGCGCAATACATTATCAGAATGATAAATAAAAAAAAATTAAAATGACAGCAGTTGTGAAATGAAGTAACTATTGTAAAATGAAAAGTGACAACAAAATGACGTTTGTTTTAATGCCTACTACGAAAAGTCATAGTCAATGTTGTAGGAAAAATGCTTTATACAGGGTGTCCTGAAATTAGTGCACCATACTTTAACAGCAGATTGTACGTGCAAAAATAGGAAAAAAAGTCCCTATAAACATAGGTCAAGAAATGCCTCTTAAGGGAGCTACAGCCCCCAAAAGGAAAGCCCCTGAAGATGGTTTTTATTTAATATCTCCAAAACCGTTTAAGATATAAAAGTGAAATTTGGGGAATTAATTAAACTTTTTATGACTAATAAGACGTAACAATAACAACTTAAAAATTTTTATGAGGTATGGGTCAGATTGATAGGAAGTAGGGTTAAAACCACCTTAACTTTTTTGTACGTATCTTGTACCAGAATTTGGTGTCAGATTATGAAATTTTAGAGTTTTGCACATAAAAAGGTCATCTTGTTGAACTTCGATAACATACACCGTTTTCGCATAAAATCGATTTGAAAATTATTTTTCATGGCATAAAAATTCACAATTAAATCACAACCATAGAAATGGACTCGCGTGGTCCTTGGAATACGGCTGCCATGTTTAGGAAATAAATAGAATAATTCAAGACAGGTGACAGTTTCATGTAGTAAGTGACAGGATGTTTCTACTTTTTTATTTATATTAGATAAAAACCATCTTCAGGGGCTCCCTTTTCGGGGGCTGTAGCTCCCTTAGGAGGCATTTCTCGACCTTTATTTATAGGGACTTTTTTCTTATTTTTGCACGTAGAATCTGCTGTTAAAGTATGGTGCAATAATTTCGGAACACCCTGTATAAAAATTTACCCCATTTTTAATTACATATTGATACATTTTTTATAACTATTCAGTGCTATAAAAAAGTGGTTAGGTACCATTATTTTTGCGTAGTTTTCCATTTCTATTGTGTTGTTTAATAATGAATGAAATGTCAGGTAATATTTTTATTTAATTTTTTAGGAAACTTTTTAATTAGAATGTAATTTTTATGATCTTTACAGCAAGGACCTAACATGTCACATAATCAAAATATCCACAATATGCAAAATATGGGATCCAATCAAAACTTAAGTCACATGAACCAAGGTCAACAAAATATGGGCCAAGGGCAACAGAACATAGGGCAAGGCCCTCAAAACATGGGACAGGGAATGAATTTAAATCAAAATATGATGGGTAAAAGCCGAACAAATTAACAATTTTGGATTTAATTGACCAAAAATGCATTTTAGGACCTCGATTCGCTCAATTGTCCCAGCACGGTACCCCGCCTGGTTTACCATTGTCTTTGACCCAACAGTTGACTATGAGCGCTCTAAACCGCATACCGAGGCCTCCGCAACATCGCGCCTTAATTCCCAGGCTTTCAAACCAGTTCAATCACCAACAGCAACAGGTAAACCATCACACGGTAGGTTGGACGCAATGTAACGTTGTGCATTTTTTTATTATTATTAAAAGTAGTCGTGGAAATGTTAACTTTGAGGATGGCCAATATGGGAATATTAATTTAAAAATCTACCCTAGTAATTTTTTACAACCACTTTTTTTATTAAAATTTTATCGTAAAAATAAAATCCCTTTTGTTGTGTATTTTTGTGAAAGACAAAAACTATTTAAAATTAAAAAAAAATGTGGTTGAGGGGACTGTTACAGTAGATCAAAAAGTATTGGTCTTTATCATTATATAAAGCATGATATTTTTTGCATATTATTTTGATATTTTCACGACTAGTATTCATACATTGCATGAGCTTCTTTAAATTTATATGAGGCATTTTCGCAAAATCGGTTAACAAAATAAAAGTTTTCTATTTTGTTTATGGAAAAAGCTTCCTAAAGTGGACCCTGAATTTACCAAGTGTCATAATTTTATAAAAAAAAATTATAAAACACGTAAATTTTATAAAAAAAAATATTCAATTGTTTATTTTTTATAAACAATTTTCAGCATGATGCATTGCTTACTTTTAAAAATATAACTATTTTTTTAGTAAATTAATAATACATTTTTCTACAACTCTTTATTCTTCTAGTTTAAAAAATGTTGCATTCAAAGTAAAAAAAATTCTTACCTTTGGTTTGACTGTGTTATATACTCTCATAACACAAAAATATATTTAAAATATTGAATTAAAATTTTTGCTAAATGATCTAAATGAATAAGAAATATTAGTCATTATCATTTAAATGCTTCTAAAATGTTTTTACAACATTTAGATGTCCCACTTTTTATATTTATACAATATTTTTTCACAAAATGTTTGTAAATGTTTTAAATACATTACCTTATATTTTATTGTTTCCTCAATATTACAAAAATATCTGGAAATATTTTTAAAATAATTAGAGTTCATTGCATATTTATTTTAACAATGTTGTTGTATATTTATAAAAGCTGTGTGACACCCAATAATTTTTGTGTACTGAATTTTTTGTTTTTAGTACAAAAAGTAGATGTATGGTATTCTCATATCAGATATACTAAAACAGTGGAATACCATAGCTGAAGGTCTATTTTTGCACGCTAAAAATACAAGAAAATTCTTAATTAGAAATATTAAAAAAAGGTTTATTTTATAAATAATCGATATTAATAAAATTAAAATATGTAAAACAAAAATTCTTAGTTTGGATGTAAGGGTGGAACTAAAAGAGCACAAAAAAAAAATTCTTTGAAAAAAATACAGAAATAAAAGAATATTTTTCTTTCTACAGTCTTGTTTTTTCTTTTTAAGTTTCTTTTTTAATTTTTAATCTTTTTAAAGTATAATAAGCTACACTTTAAAAACCAAAAAACAAATAGAAACAAAGTTTATATTTTTGTTGTCCGCTTGCCGCGAAACGTCTCATATGATAAAACATCGGAAACTATGTCCAAATTTATTGTTTTTTAAGGTATCTTCGTCGACACATCCTCACGGCATGATGCAGGACCGTAGCAATCTAAGGCATTTGCTGCAACCTAACACAAGCAATGCAAACAATCCTGTGTATGTGCGCACAGGTCCGGATCAGTACCAAGCCGTACAACCTCATTTGGCACAACAATTCCAAAACAGGTCAGATGTTAGGTACTTATTTTGATTTTTTTTTAAATATTTTTATGATTTTAATGCTAATAAAATACAGGAAAAACGTGAGGGCAAGTTAAAAAAAATCTAGAAAAAACATTTATGTTTACAATGATTTTGAATGCATTTTTAAAGTAAATTCCATGTTTTTTTAGTCCGGACATAAATAATTTTGAGAGTAGCTCAAAACCGCAACATAAAACTTTTTTGACAAAAAAAATATTTGAATTAAAATCAACAAAAATGTCAACAATAGTATTTATCTTCAAGTGGTCCATAAATCAAACTTTACTACTGTCAACACTAGACACAGAAGTGATTATTACGCAGTAATAGTAAAAATATACTTTTTCTATGAGTAAAACCCTCGCTGAGTTTGTAAAAGTTGGCTCGAATTTTTTTTCTATGGTCTTATATAAAGTTTTAGGTACTAATGGTAAATTGACATGTCTGAAATTTGGAAATTAAATATTTTAGCAGAAGCAGTTGATGTTTTTTATTCTGATTTTATTTTAATATACAATTGATGAAATCAAATTTACTTTTAAGGGTCGAGTGTTCATAAAATCGCATTTTTCACTGTTTCTTTGGCCTAATAGACTTCATATATATGTATATGATTATGATCATATTTGAAAATTCTCTTGATATCAGTGTACAGATATTTGGAAATGTTTAGAAAAATTGACTTGCATTTTTTTTGTATTACCCTTTGATTAAAATGATAAAATGCCCAAGACAATCTTTATAAAAATTTCCCAATTTTTTCGTTTTTTTCCCGAAAAAAATTTTTTTTTCGGGAATTTTAAAACCCTATTAACAACACTGCTAAAAACCATAAAACAATTACCTGTTTTTGTAGTAGGTACTAGGTAATAAACAACGAAAGTTGTACTTCAAAAGTTTAAAAACCATTACATTTTTTTAAATTATTATTTTAAGTCGAAAAATTTATAAAATATAATAAAAATAGCTAAAGTAAGTTCATTTAAGAAAATATTATTATGTTATTAACGCAAGTAATACATAGGCTCCTTAAAATTATAAAAAATGAAAATTTTGAACATTGAATTTAAAAATTTAATTGTTTTTAAAGGAAGAAAAAAGGCAATTTTATGAGCACATTGACCCCTAAAGCTACATTTTATTGCATTATAGGTATATTCATAAATATAAATTATTATGGGATGAAAAGTCAATCATGTTAGAAAACTTGATACTTCTATTTGCTGCCTGAAAAACGATTTTTACATACTTGACATTTGGTCAAATTTGCTATTTTTAAAATAGTATTTTATAATAAAAAATACTTTACGGGTTAATTAATAAAAAATACTATCATCGCGCGCGTGGTTATTAAGTATTAGGAATTATTCAAAGAATTTAGGCTCCAGCAGACTTTGTTCGTTTTCATCCGTTTGTTTTGCCACGATGAGGAACGTCGCGTCGTGTTGAAACGTCAAAAGTTCAGTTTTACAATTTCCGAAAAAATTGAGCGAAAAATTGACGTTTGCATTTCTTTTATTTTATTTAAAGGGTATTACGAAAAAAGTGCAAAAGTCAATTTTTTTGAAAATGTACACATTTTTACGGATATTATCCGTACACTGATATCGAGAAAAATGCGAATTTCAGAAGCTGATTATAATCATAAACGATTTTTTCCAAAAAAGCATAAAAAAACAGTTTTTCCCCAATGTTTTCCTTATCAGTTGCGGATTTAATAAAACGAACATAAAAAAACAAGAAGAATAATTTTTCTTTTTCTTTTTGTTTTCATACCGTTCTCGGTATTGTATATGTTACGCTCTACAGGCAAGAAAATTGTCCACAGGTTTCAATAAAATCTATCAAAAATTGCTAACACATTGACTTTTACTGCGCTACTGTTTAAAAACTCCACAGACGTCAGTTTGACACGAAAAATGACGATGCGAAACTGATGTGTGGGGTGTAAAACCGTCGTGTCGCATCGTCGGTTTTCGGAACGTGGCGATACAAACGAAACAAAAGACTTAATTTTGTGGGGTCCTTTACATATTACCTATTTGTTCTGTATACTATTACTATTACGTGTTAACTAGCTATTCCGTGCATGCTATTAATACTTACAAATACTTACATTTAAATCATGGTCCAGATTCCCTAATGGCCAGTTTCGTTCGCAACAAGGGCAGCAGAATCAAATGCGCTTGCTGCTCAACCACAACCGCATGCCGTCGATCCAGCAGCAGCAGCAGCAGCAAGCGCAACAGCAGCAGCAGCAGCAGCAGCAACGTCCGAATTTTCAACATCCCCAGCAGCAGCAACAGCAGCCGCAGCAGCAGCTGCCTGGGGGCGGGCAACAGGCGCGGGGTTGGCACACGCCGCAGCAGGGCGGCAGTAGCGCCGGCGGCAGCGGCGGCTTGAAGAGTACCGCCATGCCCACTATTAACGATAACTTCAAGATCACCCTGAGGCAACAGAATCCTCAGAATTTGCCGGCGACAGTCACCTCCACCAACCCCAAGACGCCAAGCCCTAATCACGTGAAAGGTAAGAAAAATACTAGAGATGGGAAAATTCCCATTTGACGAAAATTCCCGGAAACTTTCCATCGAAAATTCCCGAAATTTTCCGAAAGTTTCAAAAAAAAAAAAATTTTATTGCGAAAATATTTTTTTTATGCCAGGGATTTGCAAAAATATATAACACATTAACTTTTTGTCAAATTTTATTAAAAAAAAAATAAAAAAAATGGTTTTTAAGAATGTAACTGCAATACTATTTTTAGTATCTTTTACTTTGGAATATTCCTATTGTATACTGAAACCTACAAAATAAAAATAAAATGTTTACTACTAGAAATTCACTGCTAGTAAATCCTAGATATTGCGTAAAAAAATTAAAAGGGACAAAGTAACTAATATACCTACCTATAGGAATATTGAAAAGTAAAAAGTAAAGTAAAAAATAATTCCAAACACTAGATTTTTTTCTTGGCATTGTGCTATGCCTATAAATAAACAACAAAAATGTAAGAATGATTTTAACTTTGTTTACCTTTTTTTAAAAAAGTTTTTTGTGATGATGCTGAATAATCCGGCTTCATTAAGGTTATGTAACATAACTTACATTCTTTATACTTCTTCTTCTGCTCTAAATTAACACACATTAAATTCTTATTCAAAGTTTCTTGGCCTTGTAACGAAAATCAGCGGTTAAACAATTGACATTTAAATGAAAAAACAAGGAAAGTTTCCAAGGAATGTTTCCGGTAGCTCAAAAGAAACTTTCAAAATGAAAATAAATTCCCAATTGGAAACTTTCCAAAACGGAAAGTTTCCTTAAAATGGAAACTTTCCGATTCCCATCTCTAAAAAATACTACACTAAACTGGTACTCTTATAAAAGCAAAATTATAAAACATAAGTTATGTGGTATCTTAAAACGGGATGAATTAGAAAAAGTTCTGTAATTAAGTTGATTAACTTTATTAGTGATAAAAATAATTTTAGATGTTCTGTGATGGTTTCAGGGCTCCCACGCCTCCTAAAACTCAAAAATTCCTAAAATTTGGCTTAAATCTTAAAAACTCCTAAAATTCTTCTAAAATTGCCATCAATCTCCTAAAACTCCTAAAAAATATTTATAAATAGGCAAACCTGACTGTTTAATTAAGGTAATGGTTGTGCTTTTTATCTATTTTGCGTTCCCAACCCAACACCGCTTTTGGTGCTGTAATGAGATACTTTATCCTACCCAAAATTTTGATTTTATAGGTTGGCTATACTTTAAACAGCATATTTTGCATATTGGTTATAATATTTTTATGATTTTTCTAGTACTTACGAGATTTTTCTGGAAATTTTGTTTAACACCAAAGAAAATCCTTTTTTTCTTCTTTAACATTAACAGCCCCTTATTGTAAATAAGTAAATTAAGGACGGCATGGCGAATCGATTTTGACATTAACTGTCAAACCAATGACTGTGATATCAAGTATCTAAAGTAAAATTCGACCAAATTAAATTTAAGGTATACAATTATTTTTTTTTTATAGAATTTTTGCAAAATAGATAAAATAAATAAAAAATGTTTTGCTGTATTTTGCAACTTTTATTTTTTTATCATGAAATCCACATTACAATTATTTTTATTTCTTAAAATTTAAATATAACATTATTTGACCTATGTTTTCAGCCAAATCCATCGACGCGTTTTTTTTAAAGAAAATTAAAAGTGGTGAAATTTCTACTTGTATATGTATATACTTCAGAAAATTACAAAAGTAGTAATTTTACCTTACTTTTAATTGTATTAAAAAAAAACTCGTCAAGCGATTGGGCTAAAAAACTATTCATTGTAATTTATTTGTACAAAAAAGTGATATTTATTTATATTTTTGTTAAAAAGGATTATTTATTTTTTTCTTATTAAGTGCAGTGTAGAGTTGTTTTTATTTAATTACAGAAATTCATTTGCATATTTTGTTTCTCCTAATATTTTACAAAAAACCTCATAAATTCCTAAATAAAATGTGTTATTTAACAGTGGGAGCCCTGTGGTTTTTTACTGTTTAATTTTTAATATGCTATTAACAACAAAATTCTAATATTAGAAAAAACTTATGAGAACAAAAAAATTTTTTTTTATCTTTTGAAACTAAATTAAAATTTAAACCAAGTAAAAACATTTCTTAAAAAAAACTAGCCTTGATCTTGGCAAACTAATTAATTATTTTTTCTATTTCTAATAACTCCTCAACTTTAATTCACTGAAGCTTTATAATCTTTATTAATTTAGTATTTTGTAACATTCTGTCAAACAATTTTTCCTTTTGACTCTCCTTCTTCTGAACAATTGAGTTTGGTCTCTAAAAATATTGTTAATGGCTTATATTATATTCCTTACATTTTTTTCAAGCTTATTTCGTCTTTGAAAATACATAACGTATTCCGTTTTGGTGCTAAGCAAAAATGTGTTAACTACAAGGTTAACATACTTTTGCTTATTAATAAAAACAAGACGCCTTTACATACGTATTTTCAATGGCGATATGTACTATGCTCAACACTAAAAAGGCACACTTTGACATTTAAATGCAGCCCTATAATAACGTAGAATTGAGGTTAGATATCTGTCAGTTCAACACTAATTTTGCCCTATTTTCTCAAAATAACATAAATAAATAAATATTAATAATTATAATTCTAAAAATACATACATTGTATTAGTTTTATACAATAAGCAAAATTGGCGTCAAACCAGGACACACATACACATGTTATATCGTTCGTACTGACAGATATCTAACCTCGATTCTAGGTTCCTCAATTCAATGGTAAAGTAGGCCTTTAAGGTGTGAAGATAATATTGTTAGGCTGAGCGGCTCGCGCGAAAATCAACATTAAAATTGTTGCCAATTTCCGGTGGCCGTTTTTTGCAGATGAGTTTACAGGTTACAAAATAGTTAACTCGGGAACATGCAGACCGACACAAGGAGTACGAACTCAAAAGGGGGAATTGACGGAACCTGCCTAATAAATCGCAAAAATTACGTGCCAAAAAAGTATACTATGCAATTCGTTTTATGAACTTCTCTAGACTTTATAGTTTATTAAACACTCGCTCCGCAAGCTTCGCTCATGCCTAATAAAATATTGTGACTAAAATGCTGTTTATAACACTTGCATGATATACTATTTGCAAGTCATGAAATCATGTTTTCTTTAATTTTTTAAGTTAAGTTGGCTATACAAGGTGTCCCTAAAATTACTGTACAAAATGAACCTGAGACCGATATAATGCGATATAACTAAATTTACTTCTACACAAAAGTTAATAATAGGTTATTCTTAATAACCAAGATACAGGTTGTCAATGTTGAAAGTTCGTTTTCGATTTTATTAAGTAACTTTGGACAAAACAAACTTTTTTGCACAAAAACGTGATTTGACCATTTAAACGCATGCAGTGTATCAGACAGCGCCCTCTACAACCTACATTAATTTTTTTATAAAATTTTATTGTATGAAATTTTCTCGCCCTAAAAACCACCGAGTATCAATTTTGTTCAAAATCGTTTGTTTTTTTCAAAGTTATTTAATAAAATCAAAAACGAACTTTCAACTTTGACAACCTGAATTTTGGTTATCATCAACATTTTGTTGTATCGCATTATTTTGGTTTTAGGAATATGTGGTATTATTTTGTACTAATTAATAAAAACTATAAGCAACAAAAATGTGGCTTATATATATCATATCATTTTTGCTTTGAATTAACTTGTACAATTTTTGGTAAAAAAGGAACATTAACAGATAAATAATTTTTTTGTACAAACTATACTTTAATTTACTTATTTACATTTATTACTTGAAAATGTTTGGCTTATTGTCTTATTGCCTGGAAAATACTAAAATATAATTTAACATTTGAAAATCTTAGACATGTAATCAGTTTATATACTTATAGCACAGCTTTTAACATTAACTTTAAATAACTAATGATTTTTTAATTAAATCCTGTTAAATGTAAAAAACTAAGATTTTCAAATGTAAAAATATATTCTAGTATTTTCCAGACAATACGACAATTAGCCAAATATTTTCAAATAATAAATGTAAATAAGTAAAATAAAGTATAGTTTGTAAAAACACTTTATTTATCTGTTCCTTTTTTTTACCAAAAATTGTACAAATCGCCCTGTTTTAGGGTACTAAAAATGATTACATTAGGAATTTAGTTAAACACATATTTTGAGGGATCTATATTGTTTATTATGATTTTATTTCAGGTCGGACAGACACAGAAAGAAACCTGGACAAATACTGCGAAGACTCCGTCAACGACTTAATGGCAACAATCGCTAAGCTGGACTCAAACGGCGTCCAAGTATTACCGGAAGGCCGACAGAAGGGTAAGAAGGCTTTTATCCCTGATTTAAATATGTCCGACCTATATTTGTTTTAATACTAAAATTTTGAACTTTTACATTTTTTATTTTTTTTTATTTTACCTGTTGACCTCTTCTTACTTTTCTAATTATATTTATGACTTTATAAATCCAGAATGCGGGCTTTCAGATTATATGTTCTTTTACTTATATACATACAGTACATATACAACATTTGTAATGGAATGTAAATGTTTTATAATAAATAATACATAAAAAACACATTTAATTCAACATTCAACAAAATAAAATCAAGAAAGAAGGAAGCAACGCACCACATGAAAATAGCGGCGGCAAGTTTTAAAAGTTTGTTCCTGTTAGGTGGGTCACCCCACGTGGACAGTAGCACGGGGGATACCGGCACGACGCCGCCAGTGAACAAAATCAAATCGGAAATCGCCGATACCGGCAAAGACGATCCGAACGAGGACTGGTGCGCGGTTTGCATGGACGGCGGTGAGCTGGTCTGCTGCGACAAGTGCCCCAAAGTGTTCCACCAGTACTGCCACATACCCAACTTAAGCGTAGAGTAAGTTTACTTTATTATTATTATTATTAACACTAGTTTACAAAATTGTTACCCACTAAACACGAACATCACAATCACTTTTTTTATAGAAGCGTTTTTAAAATATGAATTTACAATTGAGGAGCTTGGAAGTAAAACGGTTCAAGTGCACTTTTTTAAATAAATGGTCTAAGTGCAGAATAACACACCTAAAGAATATTCTAACTTAGTGGTAAAATTATATAAGTACATTTTAAATTCCCTGGCGCCATTTCTTATCCTCTTTAAAAACCTGTCAAAATATTTTAAAATATATCTTTGGTAAAAGGATTTAAGTGCACCTTTTACTGCTAAACATAGGCTATTATCTATGCTGCTAAAGCCTTGACAAGTAGCTCGTTTCGACATATTGTGACCGGGGTCGGAACGACAACGCCCAGCGTTACGATTATGGCATCGGTCCAGACTGATGAGGATTCAACATAGTAACTATGTTTCTGACATCAATGAAGAAGTAGAAGAAGAAGGCCATGTAATTCCAGAAAAACTAAAAAAAAGCCGCCAAGCACAAAAATTTACTTAGGTACCTTATTGGACTATATTCCGCCAATTTACCACTTATTTTATAAAAACATAGAGCACGATGGAGATCCATCCGAAAAAAAGAAAAAAAAGAAACAAACTTAGGCCATAGTATTGAGCCAAAAAATATCCAATTTAGATCAACCCGAACCAAGACCAGCTAATTCAGATGAAGAAAACGTTGTATTAGATTCTGATTATGAATAATACTTTTTGTTGTAAAACTTAAGTAATTACCCAAATTTTAAAAAATAAAGTTTTGTTCTTTTACAGTAATTGCATTTAAATCATTTTACCACTAAATTGTGTCTTACATGCATGACGATTCAAGTACATTTTTGTAAAAAAATTAACAAAAAAGCGAAATTGAAAAATTCCTTTTTCTTTATAATCCTTTTTAGTCTTTAAACAAAACTAAAATATTCACACAGTTTTTTAAACTCTTTTCTAGAATTTTAAAATTCAAGTTAACTTTAAAGCCATTTATCTCAGAACTAATAAAAATGCACTTAAACCCTTTTACTTCTAGGCCCCTCAATTGTTTTTTTTTTTAATTTTCGGTGGTGTTTTGACGTTTTTGAGTATAACTTGAAATCTAATTGATCGATTTGGTCAAACATGCCCTTAAATTGAAGGTATTTGAGCCCTCTAAATCCTTCTTTTACATACTTTTGATATCGGATAAGTATTTTGACGCTAGCGATTTTAATAACTTAAAAAATTCGTTTTTATGGCAAAAATTGAGGTCCAAAATTTACATATCGTCCTGGGAAGGGTTTAAATCAAACAGATAACTCCAGTTTGATTTTTTTTCGTGAAGCTGACATTTTTACAAAAAGAACAAGCTAATGTTGATAAAAATGGCGAAGTCATGAATTTTTTAGTGGAAGACCAAAATTCAGCTTTTTGACGATTTTTATTTTATTTTCTTCTTTTATTTTGTAATATGTTTATTCTTTGATGAAAACCTAAGTAAAGTGCATGATTTGAATTTTTTGAGTTTTTTACGTACTTTTTTCACCGAAAACATTATTCAAAATATAACGTTGACATGACTCCGCAAACGTGAACTTAGTCTTGTTTCTCGTGTCGGCATAGTGACATTTCACTGCTATTTTTTTATATTTCAACAAGGTATTTTTATTATTTAAAAAAAAAAGTGTAAAATGAGTAAAAGAAGTAGAGAGTTTGAGTGCGTAAATAACCCAGACAATCAGGGCGACGTAAGTGATGAGCACGGATAATGTTTTCACCAGCAAATGAAGGCTATGGAGCGGCGGTATCAGGGCTTCTGATCGGTGATTCCCTCACACGAGAAATGGAATACGAAGGCAACAAAAAACAAAGGAGCCAGAATTTTTTAAACCCAAGCTTATTAAAACAAAATAAAACTTTCAATATCTTCAATGTTCAATATTTATTGTTCAATATTCAATATATAATTTAATTTCAATATTTAATTTTTAAAATAAAAATCAATGTTCAATATTAAATTTTATATAATTCAATAAAATGAAGAAAAAACGTAAAAATTCTCGAAAAACTAAATTTTGCTCTTCCACTGAAAAAATTTCCAGTATAAATTTCACTAAAATTCATCCGTTGCCATGGTGATCTGTCAAAAATACAAGTTTTGATTGGTTAAAAATTACAGGTATGGAATTTACAATTAAATTTAAAAATATTTTTAATGCCCATCATATTGCAATAGTGAAAACTTGGATGCATTTCATAGGTTTTTTATGAAACAGAATTCTAAAACTAAAATGAAATAATAAATAAGTAGTCCTCAGTACTAATACAGAATGTGATAAAATGTCTGTGAATAATTTTTTAAGCGTAACTGCTTCGTCACAAACCGCCTAAATAAAAACATGTTTGTTATAAAATACACTGAAGTTTAACATTACATATAAAAAAACTCTGTAACCCATGTAGTTTATAACTGTGGCACGAGATGGCACCGCTGCAGGCAATGGTATCGCTATTGTTATTTTGTGCGTTACAAACAAGCACCGTGTGTTTTTGTAGGTAATCTCTCTCTCTTTTATTTTTCATGGAAAGTAAACCAATTTCTTTCTTTTTAATTAATGCAATGTTTTATGTGCATGTGCATTTATTGTAAAAATGTCTCCTTCGTCACATGTCTCTTTTGTCACACTGCACTGCTATCGCTACGACATTAAAACTTAAAAATAAGAGACTGCTGAGAGTAACATTAGACTTACCTTTAGTTTTCCTAAATAATAATAATAAAATGTAAAATATTTATTTTTTAGAGGTAGATGGGGCTAAAAATTATGATGACTTATATACTATTTAATGTATGTTCTTTCGATTAAAAAAAATAAATTTTAACCGGTATAAACGCGAACATACGCTTTTACTGGTCTATAAGGAAAACTCTTAGTTTTCAAATTAAAAAACGCAAAATCCTTTAAAATTAGTAATTAATTTTGTTAAACATATATTATCATGTTATTTTTTTATCCTTAGGGAGAATGATACATGGCAATGCCTTCTTTGCATGAACTTTGCCGATATTCCTCAAGAAATATTAGGAGAGAGAAAAGAAGGTGAGCTGAGCGTCAAAGAGAGAAAAATCGCGGAAAGACTCGTTCTGGAAATGTACTGCCAATATGATAACAGCCTACCCTTCAGGGAAGTTATAGGAATAGAGGTAATATTACTTGTTTTTAGACAATTGCATAAGCTAAGTAATATTTCTTACATTGCAGCATACGGATTACCATGCAATAATAAAAGAACCAATAGCCCTGGACACGATGAGGCAAAAATTAAACTGGACTTCTGAAAACCATTACAGATCCATGGAGAGCCTGGTGCGGGACGTTAGAAAAATGTTCAAAAACGCCTACACCTTTAACGCGGTAAGCAAAGATTTATTTTGTTTTAAACTTTATTAGTGTGCACCATATGCGCTTCAATGTTTGTGTATTTTTGGAATTAACACCAAGTGAATTGTTTTTCCTAGTTCCTTAACGCAAAAGGTATGAAGACGGAACGAAATCAAAATGCTGCCGCAAAAAATGTAAGATTTTTTATGAAAACGGCATGCAAACGTGTAACACTTTTTTAAGGCTTATTTTGCATTTGGTTGTGTTTTATTTACAGTATTTTTTCTTAATAAATATAGTGCTGCTGCATGGTTGTTAATATGAAGAAGAAATAATGTTTCGTTTTGTTTAAAATAAGATAGATTAAGTTTAAAGGATTTTGCTTTTGTTTTGTTTTTATAAAATACTCTATAGAGTATTTTATAAAAACAAAAGCATATACACTTTTACGCTTTTGTTTTGTTTTTATAAAATACTCTAAAGAGTATTTTATATAAACAAAACAAAAGCATATACACTGCGCGTCAAAATTAACGCATAATAAGTAAAAAAATTCTAATTTTAAAACCAATCTTAATAAAATTTTGTATAAGAATACTTATATCTCAGTTTACGTGTTCGAGGGTTTTTCGAGAAAATATTTTTAAAGCCTTTATTTAATATTTAAAAAAAACGTTAAAAAAACTTTTATAGGGAATTTTTTTTAAGTAAATACCGTATTTTTGTTAGTATACCCTGAAAATTTTGTATTATTTTTTCGAAAAACCCTTGAAAACGTAAACTGAGATTTAAGTTAAAATATTTTTATCCAAAATTTTATAAAGATTGGTAAAGGCTTTTTAGAGTTAGAATTTTTTTACTTATTATGCGTTAATTTTGACGGCAGTCTATATAGGTAATTAAAAAAATTAAAGTTTGCATTTACTGTAATTTGGCACTCCATTTCACTTTTTAATAGTATAGGTTTTAAATGTAAAAGAAAATTGAAGTAGGTTTTGGGGCAAGGGCCCAATATAAAAAAAAATTACATGAAGTTTTTTTTACAAACACATCAAAATAATATTTATGATTTTTCAGGTGTGTACCTAATCATAATTTTATTTAAACAAACTTTAAAGTATTGAATAGTATATATTATATATGTACTATTTAATACTTTATAAGTAGTTTGTTTAAATAAAATTATGATTGGTACCTAAAAAAAATCAAAAAAAATCTTTAATTTTTGGCATTTTATGGCTATTCTTTTTTAAATTATGCGTTTTTAAGGTCTAGAAACCATAAATAATATATTTTTCTACTCCCACCTTTAAAAGGTCCATTATCGTACATGTTTCCATGACACTAAGTACCTTTTAAATACACATTGACAATTTGTGGCTTTATAGCGTTTTAGTCACGGGCTGAAGTTGGCAACAGGTTTTTAGTCACGGGCTGAAGTTAGTTTTAAGTTAGTTGACAGTTGTCAAATGTCATACAATTAAAATAAATTGCCTTTCTTGTAAAATAATACTAAATGTAAAAATTATTATATTATCTCAATACAAAAATACAAAAATATTAAATAGTTTCTCTAATAGAACATTGTCTGACCTTTTAATTTCGCCGGCAGTAAACTATAACTTAAATTCGGGCACGGACTCCACTGTAAAGTGCTCATAAAACATTTTCTTTACTTTCACTGTGAAAAACTGTCAATTTTCAAGAAATACATTTTGATTTATAACCTTTATTATTGTGTTTATAAAATATAAAAATTTGATATTTGACGGTGACACACAGATTCCCCTATTGTTTCATAGATAGCGCTCCATACAAATTTTTGATTTAAATCATTTTAAGATAATAATAAGTATTTGTCGTAGAAAAAGTATGCAAGTCGTTTATTAACTTTTCTATACACTCATTAATTTAAGCACTCGCTTGCAAGCTCGCTCGTGCCTAAATTAAATTCGTGTTTAAAATGGCGTTTATCAAACTTGATACATAATATACTATTTTCTACTCCCACCTTTAAAAGGTCCATTATCGTACATGTTTCCATGACCTTTTAAATACACATTGACAATTTGTGGCTTTATAGCGTTTTAGTCACGGGCTGAAGCTCATCTTGTAAAATAATACTAAATGTAAAAAAATTATTATCTCAATACAAAAATACAAAAGTATTAAATAGTTTTTCTTCGCCAATATTTAAAAAGTTTATATTATATGAACATGTACTCACCTTTTAATTTTTTAGATTTAACTTAATTTCGGGTGGAGACTCCACCGTGGAGTGGCCATAAAACATTTTCTTCACTTTTACTGTGAAAAACTGTTGTCAGTCCATTTTCAAGGGATACATTTTGAATAACACAAGCAAATATGAGATTTTTAACGGCGTGTCGGTAATACAGATTTCCATTCTTACGGTTACAAATTTTTTGGATAATAATAAGTATTTGTAATAGAAAAAGTATAGTATGCAACTCGTTTATAAACTTTTCTAGACACTTATTTAATTAAGCATTTTCTCGCAAGCTCGCTCGTGCATAAATTAAATTCGTGACTATAATGGCGTTTATCAAACTTGATGCATAATATACTATTAAGGTTTCCAGTTTTGAATCGATAATTAAATAATTTTTCTTTTTTTTAATGCTCCACAGAAAAAAAAAACAAAAAAAAGTTTTTCCGCTTTTTTCCGAACCATTAAATCTCAGGGCTCTTAAATGTCCTAAAAGTCCTAAAATTCAGCATTCTGTCCTAATTGTCCTATAAAATTGGTTTTGTACTGGCATTTTTTGTTTTGTTAATATTTGAAATTACCCTATCAGTTTGTGATCTGGGTTGTCTACTCTATGGTTGTGTGATCAAAATTAGCGAATTGAATGATCAAATTGACTCCTATCAAAACAAAATTTACAATTAAAAAATTATTTAATACTGTAAAGAACACAATTAATAAATCGGACCCACAGAGTGCCTTTAATGCTGTAGATAGAAATAAAGCATTAAAAAAAAAGAAAAAAAAGACGTATTAAATCCAAAACAATGATACAAATCTACCCTATAAGATGAAAATATTTTGGTTTTCTTTTATCAATATTGAATAAAAAAAAATTTGTTTTATTTTGGTATGTACAGCTTAGGATAAATAGTAGATATTTTTGTTTTGTTTTTGTTATCCAATAAATAATTTATTTTTATCTAATAAAACGTTTGCAAGTTTTAAATTTGTCTGAAATGTCCTTAAATTCTACCAAGATTTCTCCTAAAATCCTAAAAATAGCCCTTGAAAATTCGCTGGGAACCCTGGAATTTTCATGTTAAAACGATATCAATTTAAAAATAAATAAATTTTAAACACAATACACGGTGGTCAAAACTAATGTATAGGACGAACAAAAATGCCAACCAAAACTGATAGCATAATCTGATTATAGACTCTTTTGGTAACACAAAAATGTATTTATCAAAATCCCAGCTGATCCTTTATTAAAGTTTTGCATATTTCTTAGTATTTTAAAATTGTTTATGCCAATTATCAAATGTTTTTAAAAATTACATTACTGAAATATGGATAAATTACTTTATAAATACAAAATAATGTAAAATACAGTTTGCAATATCTTATTTATTGTTTTAAGGTACCTAATACAAAACTAATAAATAACTAAAGATTCTTTGAAGCAAAATCTATTACTGCTTGCCTTAAATTTTCAGTAAACCTTTTTCTTGGATTTTACATGGAATTGTTTTTAACATGGAAACAGTATTTTTAAATTCTTCAGTCTCTGTACAAACATGCTTCTTACATCTAGCGATATCCCCTAGAAAGGAAGAGTTTATCAAAACTTTAGTTCGTTCGTCCGTCCTCTTCCCTTAATAATTTTTTATGCCCTTTATATCTTGCCATTTTGCAGATAAAGCACATACATTCTTAGCTGCCGCGAAATTAGTCTGCAGTAATTTTTATATTTTCTCAGAAACCCTAAACTGTGAATTTTTCGATTACCAAAAACAATTTTGTCTCCACAGCCAGCACATACCTTCTTTCGATTTTCTTCATGGCTTAACTTGAATTTCGGTTTAATTTTCATTTTAAATTACTATTTTTAACTTTATAAAGTATACATTAAATAAACAACTAAAGCAAAATGTCACTTGCGTTATAACGTATAGCAATTTTTTTCATAATCACCTTAATTATTGTTTTACAAAATTAGCAAGTTGTAATTATTTCATAGACAAACTTCCAGTATTTTTTGTTATAAAAAATATTTAATATATAAATTTTTTTTGTTATGTTTTGTTTTGAGTGGTAAAAAATAATAGGTGACTCAATAAATTAATACTGGGGAGTAAAGTAATTTAAATGATACAAAGTTTATTATTTTGCTTAATTTTATTAAAATTGTACAGGTAGTTTTAGTGCAATAATTGCAAAATAATATATAGAAATAGAAAAACAAAAAAGTTTGCAAAACTTTAAAATAGGATCAGCTGGGATGTTGATAAATACATGTTAGTGTTACCAAAAGGGTCTATCACAGACAAAATAGACTTGCCTTAAGGAGAAAATGATACGGCCGGGCTGGTGCCTGTTTTCCAGTTCGCATCATTCATATTTGAGCAGTTGACCTGTGAGGATATATTATTTATGTAAAATTCTTTGTACATTATGGGTAAATGTGTTGTTAAAGTGTGTCCTAGTCGTAGTGAAACTAGTTCCAGCCAATTTCAACCAATTTCCTTTTTCCAGTAAGTAGTAATTACGAGATAAATTTTAAACGATTTTATTAATTTTGCATGTCAATACCTTGCGTGCGCACACAGATCTTGTGTTGTTCTCTCCTTTGCACAGAGCCGTACCAGAACGTTGTTCATTCTGGAGTGTAAAACTAGATGAATTTCTTTGCTAATCCACTAGGAATATTTTAAATTAAATATAATATTAAAAATAATACTTTTTTCGCTTTTAGTAGAAATTTATTTTATTTGGATTTATTTTTTCTGACTTTTTAGCGAAATTGGTCTGTTTTGTTCAGTTTTTAATTTTAAAATTGACAGAATTTTAATTTTTTTTTCCATTTTAAGAGCTTAATTTGGCTGCTTTCTCATTAGCAAATTTATAATGTCTTATCGTTTCATCTATTATTTTTATTTTTTTTTATCAAGGATTACATTAAAAATTGTTTAAATACATAAATTATTTAATTAATATTATGTTTTTTCGTGTTTAAAATCTAACGAATTTTTTTACCCTGAAAAAAGATCAATTAAAAAAAATTATAGCAGATTAGCAGGTTTTATTTATATCTAGTGTTTTATTTAAACTATATATGTACTTACAAATATTTAAATGTTGAACAAAATAAATTTAATACTTTTTGAAAAGATCGCTCGTACGAAATTATTTAATACGGGCCTGGCAGAATACATATCTTCTCTTATACATTCCCTTGCTCCGCTTCCCCGATTTTCGGCACGCTGGTTTCATGTAAGCGATACTGAACAGGGCAAGTCTATTTTGTCTGTGGGGTCTATAATCAAAATATGCTATCAGTTTTGGTTGGCATTTTTGTTCGTCCTATACTTAAGTTTTGACCACCGTGAATAGTAGACTTTTTACTTCAAAATAATGGCCAATCATCTTAAATTAATCTGAAACAAAGGTGCAACAAATTAAAAATTCGAAATTTCCAAACAATTTTTTTACATTTCAGCCTGAAAGTCTAGTGTACAACGAGGCGAAGGCGCTCGAAAAGTTCTTCGACGAACAGTTGGAAAAGTTCCTTCCCGAATACGCGTACGAGACGTTCGACGACGAAGACGAAGTCGGACAGCCGCCCAACAAAAAGTATCGGAGGGTGCTGACCGATTGACAAATTGTTCGTGGGGCGAACAATGCCATTTACTTTTCCCTCTAGCGGCAAGAAGAAGTGAGTTGCACGTCCCATGCAATTCGAGCGCAATTTAATCGAGTTTAACAGCCAACAAAAAGTTATAACTACGTAGATTTGCCGGGATAATAAATGTACATACTGCCACTACTGCTGCTTTTCGTCGTCGGTAAGTGAGTTACTATTAATGTTTAATATGGAACGACAATTAATACATAAATACACAGTGTTCTAGAACCGTTTATAATAAAAAATAATAAAAAAATATCACCATCCTCAATTTTCTAGAATAGGTTAATTTTAACACCCTAATAATTTATTGACACTTGTTAATTTTTGCATTAAACGCTGTAAGTTGCAAATACTTAATATCATTTGAAGGGGTTGATGAATAAGGGTGTTAACTGCGATTTTCGTGTCAAGCTAAAATGTTCATTAGTTAGTTACTGAGTTTTCACCTTTTTGCATAACTAGAATATGTTAGTTAACACCTTTATCCATTAAACCTTTATTTATATGGTTTACATATCAATTATATTTAAAATTTAATCTTTATTTACCTAATCATATCCACAGGATGTTTCATTAATGCATTCCAGAATTGAAAGATTTATTTTTTTCAAAATTTTTTCCTATGATTTAAATAATGTTGAAAAAGGTTCTTTAACAATGTTAGGTTATTTAAACCACAAAAATAATAAAACAATTCTTTGAAAAGTTATGCCTAATCAATTTTTAAAGGTTTTGTTGCAAAAAACTAAGTTTTGAATTTTGTTTAATATTATATTCTTAATTATGGACTGCAACTTCAAAAACTGATTTTAATATTTCGTTTTTTTATAAATAGAGTTTGTAAAAAATCTAAAAATTATTATAGTTTAATTTTAAAATTGCTCACTTCATATTTGGACAATGATATTTTAGTTAACAAACCTTACAGCAAACCTGAGTTCAGATGAGCTTATATGTTTTTTTTCATGAATTTTACCTCCCAACGCATTTAAGTGGGCCATATATAACATCTTTAATTCGACAGGTATAATAAATACACTGTAGGTAAATTTTCAACTCTTGAAATATCACAGCTTTTTCCTATTGGCAATGCGTAAAATAATATATTTCACCTCTTGTGCGAACATAATTTAATATATCCTCAATTATACTCACTAAAAAATTCAGCAAAAAATCATTTTGAATTTCCTAAATTATCTCAAATAAAACCCTCAGGGACACGTGTTCCTTTTTATCAATTAACCTCAAATTTCGCAAGAATTTGATTTTTTAAATTTTAAAATGATGTGGGGGTCCAGAACAATTGAATTTTTTAAAATTTATATAGGGTGTTTCCTAATGGCATGCTCCAAAACTTGAAAATTAAATATCTATGAATTTTGGCCTGATACAGCTAAACGAAACACGGGTTTGTAATCTAAGACCAAAAATTAAGTATACCTTTCTAAGCTGTGATATTTTCACCCTCCTACAGTGTTGATTGATGTAAAATTATTATTTGTTAGAAAAATAAGCAAATCTTCGCAATTTCAATTTTTCCTGAAACAAATCTGAACTCAGGGTGTAACTGTTTGGCTTTAAAACATTTTTAAACATTGTTGAATGATCTTTCTACAAACCTTTTGGCAAAAAAATATTTGTGATTGCAGGTAATCTGCATTATGCACTATCCATATGATTAATAGGCTAATTTACCACTTATAATTAATCTTTATATTCCTTAATGCATTATTTTAACACCCTGTAATGATTAAATCAGATTTAAATATTTTTCCGTTTTATTGAATGAATTAAATGATTTTTTTTGTTAACTTTTTTATGTTTTAATTGGACATGTGACATGATATGTAGTATTAAAAATTAAATAAAATCGTTTGTGACCAATGTTTGGTTATTTAGCAATCAAATACCATTTAAAAATGGTATAAATTATTACTTTATTTATTTCTGTATGTTATGCAGCTATAGCCCAGTCAGATTGGGCAAAAAGCCCATCTTAAAAAAACAGTAGATTTTCGTTTGGAATTTTGTTTATTTGGGCGTTAGAAATGGTGTCCAAGCAATTGTTCGTATGTCGTAAATTATTAATTTTGTATGTTATAAAAAAAATTTCATGCGAACTTGTAAAAGCGTGATCTTCGATATTTGGCAACGTCATTTTCTAGTACCAAAATAAACAAAATTCCAAAAAAAAATCTTCAGTGGGATTTTTGGCCTGGGCTACTAACATTTATATTGTTTTCATTACATTTAGATTATTTATTAGATTCTGCTATGCTTAGTTACTTTTATATGATTGTGTTTTAATGTTATAGATGGGATGTTTTAGTACTGATGTAGTTTTGTTTTCATTTTCATTTATTGATTTGATATTTAGGTCCACTTTTTAATGTGTATGGTGCAATTAATACATTTTTTAAAAACAATAGTAATATGCATTATGTTTTGAAATATAAAAAATTAAATTTAACCAAAGTGGATCTAGATAATTATATACTGTTATCATATAAGATTCTTATGTAGATTGTTTCTTTAAACATGGCTATAGTATATTCCTTGCACCAACTCTCTAGAATAAACATTAAATGTTTATTCTGGTGAGTTGGTAAAAGGAATGGACTGTAGGGGGATGTAAAGATTGATGTTAATAATTATTTGAAAAAAAAGTTGGTCGAATATCGCCAAAATAATTATGATCTAAATTATAAAAATAATTTTTTATACATTTCTTTAAATAATTTAGGTCTAGGTCAAGTAGCTTCTGAATATACGCACATAGTTAAATCCTTATATGTAATTTAAAATAGTTTTAATTGAGATAGAAGTAAAAGATCTTATATATTTTGTTATTTACATGTTTCTCATTGGTTTACTATCAAGTGTAATCTGTATGAAATAAAAATTATATCATCCAAGAAGTTTTTAATATTTTTCCTTTAAAGGTTGAAACAGGTGAGGTTTAATAAATAAATTAAGGGTTGGTTTATATTGAAATTTATTATGCCCAGTTAATATATGGAGTATATAAATATTAACAATATTTACAATGAAAATAACATTTTATATTACCATCTAAAAACCTTGTACTATATAATTTAATAAAAAATAATTTGTTAAAATAATAAAATAAGTAAAAATTATAAAAATAAGTAATATCATTTGAATAGATTAAAATCTCAATGCAATATACAGACTCCAGCAAAAATTGTTCATCATTGCATTGATATTTCTCTTTTTCTTTATACAACACACTGAAAATATTTTTAAATATAAATAAAAAAAATTAAATAACATATTAAAGAGAATACTGAGAATATTGTCCAATAGTTTGGTGTTTGGTTTACAATATAATTAATTACACTATAGATAAAATTTTTGGAAAATGTTCCTTATGCTCATGTTTGTGTAATATAAAAATTAATCTTAACGCCCTAAACACTTCAATATAGTTTGATCCTATGCACACAGTAACTTTTTATCTAAGTTTCAAAATATTTGAATTTTTTTATTGTATATATTTCTTTATTTTTCCTTTGACAATTAACATTAATTTTTCTTTATTTTTCCTTTAACAATTAACCTTTCGACTAAAAAAATCGGCTTATCTAGTTTTTTCCAAAACGGCTAGAATATAAGAGCAAAGGTTTCGAAAACATTTTGCCGAATTGATTGGAGGGATCAATGAATACTTTTTTTAGAATTTTTTTTTTGAGTATAAAAAAATTAAGGAGGATTTTTTTATTTAGGATTACTTATTAATATTTTAAGCTCACCTCCATTGTTTGTTTTGTTTTCAATAACCTCTCATTCTCAAATCTTATGGGAAACAGTTTTGTCGAATTTTTTAAATATAGTTTTTTATGCCAATGTGCCATTTTGTTAAAAGTTGAATTAAAAAATTAATTAATTAAAGTGTGGATAACTTGACCATACAAAACTGGTTAAAAATCAAAAAGTAACAGTGTAAATAGGAACTCTTAATAATTTGGTTTTTATTTAAGTGAGTATTAAAAGTATGCAAAACATGGTTTTAAAAAAATGAAGGCAACGTTTGACATAACCGGACATATTTGTTTTTATAAACTGAACACTTAAATAAAATAAAACAATTTAATAATAAATATTACTGTCCTAGTCCTAGTAATTATTTTTTTAATAAATAAATAAATAACATGCCCAACTAATTAACTACATAACATACTTATGACTTAGGAGTCCTGAGTCCTGAGCTATATTAAATAATAATTTAATACTAGGGTTTGTTTGGATAAAAAAGGCAGTCTGTATAATTCAGATAACAATTATTTGTCGGTGCAAACTTACTTCGGTAAGTTAGTCTAGCTCTTACCCTGTGTCCACTTAATGGGTTATTACAATTAACGAAGCGTTATTCTGGAAAAGCCTGTCTTATTCAACTGATTTAATTAAACAAATTGAAATATTAGTAATGTGACCAGATTCTGTCAAAAAAGGGTGACAATTTGTGTTACAAAAACGACAGAATCAACCTTGCAATCAACAATAATTAAGTAACGTCAAATTTACAATTTGCATCATAGGGTCAATTTTGTAAATAATTTTTGTAAGGTAAATTTTGCGTAAAAATTTCGGTCCTCATTTTTATACAAACAGACCCGGTATCTAAATTCGAGAAAATTTATTGGTAAGAGAATTAAATTTGCGTAAAACAAGTTTTCAACAGGTAGTCCTGTTTTTATTTTGTAAAAAAGTCAAGAGACATATGAAAACATACATCACTTATTTAATTCAATTTAAGTTTAAATATAAGAGAGTTACTTTCATAGATAATACTTCTTATCAACTTATTTATTGATGTTTTTGTTCTTGAAGCGCATAGATCATAAGTAGTTTCAGAAATAATCACAGTTACTTACAATTAACAAAATTTAATTGACTAATTATATACTAATAAATTAACCTAAAGGTTTTAAAGTGTCATGGAGTTTTATTGTTATGATTTGGACTATTATTATTAAATACAATACATACATTTATCAAAAATACATTGATATTAAACGAATTTAATTAATTCCACAAGACAAAAGCAATTAGCAGTTAATATATTTTAAATGGAAATTAGTGAATGTTTAACATTTTTTTTTAATATAATAAAATTATAAAAATCACAACAAATAAAATCAAATTAAATATTCAATACCTTAAGGTTATATAAGATCTTTTTAATAAATTACTATATAATAATACCTGTTTTGTATTAGTTACTACTTGTTTCTCAAAGTATTATTACAGGTATAATTTTTTTTTCCAAATTACTTAATTATTTTCCATTTTCCTGGGGTAAATTGTCTAGGTCTAATAGCGACCTAATTCTTTCTATACATACTTTAGATCCCTCGTAGGCCTCTTTGGAAAGCTGTAAAAAAATACAGATTAACTGTATTGTTATTTTTTAAGTATTATTTCTCTTACCAGCGAAAAATTTAAAAATCCGTGTGGAAGTCCATTTAATAGATCTAATTTAACATCGGTCCCAAGGTATTTAAGTTTTTTGGCCCACATTACACAGTCATCCAGGCAAGGATCCAAATGGACTGTCTAAAAAAATAGAAAGAATTTAGGTTTTTGTTTCATTTATTTATCGTTTAAAAAATTAAAGTTTTTGCAAAATGCTTGGGAGACAACCTTCAAAATCGTTCCTACTTGAAAAATATGGTGTTTTTGCTCCAAAAATACAGTTTATCAAGATCTACACTTTAAAACAAATCCGGTTAAAATGGCACAATAAATAAAGATTTTACAGGGATGAGTCCCAAACAAATGGGTCACACTGTATATAATAATAATAAATAAAATACTAAAACCTAAAGATGTACTATGCTCCACACCTCAAAGTCCCACCACGTGACCACGTACGGAACGCAGTCTTTTGAAAATTTGGCATTTAAGGCTTTTCAGGTTATGTATCTGTCAAAGTATAATCAACGAAAGAAATAATATTTATAGTGTTACCGCTTATGTTTAAGCGTTAAAAGTTGATAAATCTTTATAGTATCACAATCACAATGGTTGGTTTAAGAATTTAGGAATATAAATACTGCATTTAATGAAATTAGTGTAAGGTGCAATATAACTTATATTATATAAGTGATATTTTTGTGCATTGGGTCTTCATTTCTCCATAAAATAGTTTTAACTTAACAGCATTTATTAAAAAAAATCTAACTTCTCTATTATGAAATAAGAATATCTGTATCAAAGGTAGGTTAATGTATTAGAACAAAAAATATCATGTAATTTTGTATTTTAAAGTTAGAAAAATCTATTTTGACCAAAATAAATAAGTGGATTATTTGAAAGAGTGTGTTAATATGGTCATAAATAAATATAGGTATACTAAATAATTGTTGAATATACGAGCCCTAACCACATAATGTTCGGACACTTCATAATTTATACAGAAATTTTTTTCGTAAATACTATCTCAAAATTATTAGAAGTTATGAAAAATTCAGCTTATTTTGGCATATACCCCTCGAAGCGATTTTTATTTTTAAAAAGTTTACCTTTTATTTTTAGCTTTTAAAAAAAGGCTAACTTTTTAACTTTTTTTTGTATGAGTAAAAAAAGTTATAAATGGACCCATTAAAAAGAGCATAAAATATTATACAAACCCTGAAAATTTGGTAAAAAATAAATAAGTTATAAAAAAGTATAAGTAATTTAAAAATGCTATTTTTAAAGAGTTTTTGCAATTTTCTTAGGAAACGGGAGATTTTGCAGATATATATATATCGCTATAACTTTCTTATTATTTATACAATTTTTACCAAATTTTCAGGGTTTGTATAATATTTTATGTTCTTTTTAATGGGCCCATTTATAACTTTTTTTACTCATGCAAAAAAAAGTTAAAAAGTTAGCCTTTTTTTAAAAGCTAAAAATAAAAGGTAAACTTTTTAAAAATAAAAATCGCTTCGAGGGGTATATGCCAAAATAAGCTGAATTTTTCATAACTTCTAATAATTTTGAGATAGTATTCACGAAAAAAATTTCTGTATAAATTATGAAGTGTCCGAACATTATGTGGTTAGGGCTCGTAGTTCAAATTAAATTAAAGCTTTTATACTTCTAATGACAAAACTTGTGCATACCTCTCGGCATACTTACTTTATGTTAGATTATAAGAAAACAAACAATTTTTAGAGAAACTTGCAATGTGAAAATATTTAATACTCCCATGACATGTGATTTATTAAAATTTTTAAAGTTATAATGATTTTTTGATGTAGATCAAATTCAGTCAAAGCTTTTTAACTATTTGTATTGACAAAACTTTATGTAGGTACACTTTAAGCTGGATAAGAAAAACTACCTCATTTTTAAATGCCATATTATACAGTCTTTTAAATAATCTAAAATACTTATTTATTTTGGTCAAAATAAATTTTTCTAACCTTAAAATTACAAAATTAGATGATATTTTTGTTATAATATATTAACCTACATTTAATACAGATATTCTTATTCCATAATAGAGAAGCTATATTTTTTTAAATAAATGCTGTTTGGTTAAAATTATTTTATGGAGAAAAACAGATATTTGGACCAAATGCACAAAAATATTACTTTAGAATTTCGTTAAATGCAGTATTTATATTCTTAAATTCTTAAACCATCCATTGATATTGTAATGTTATAAAGATTTATACATTTTTAACGCCTAAACATAATTATTATGTTATATTAAATATTATTTCTTTCGTTGACTATACTTTGACAGATACATAACCTGAAAAGCCTTAAATGCCAAATTTTCAAAAGACTGCGTTCCGTACGTGGTCACGTGGTGGGACTTTGAGGTGTGGAGCATAGTACATCGGCACGATTTTCCCTATACCGAAAATGACCGCCATTTTGCAAATTTTTATTTGTTGCATTGAAATTTTAAAACAATAAAGTTTTGTTTCATTTCAATCGGACATTTTCAATAACATTTTCAACAAAGTCTTGAAAGTGGTAAATACGGTATTTTACAGCATATTTTTTATTTATTTAAAAAAATTCCCTATAAAAGTTTTTTTTCGAGCGTTTTTTATTATTAAATAAAAGTGCTGTAAGGATATTTTTTCGAAAAACCCTTGAACACGTAAACTGAGATATAAGTATTTTTATCCAAAAGTTAGATTTTTTTTACTTATTATGCGTTAATTGTACTTTTTATGTTTCTTCCATAAAAGCATACTAAACTTGTTGATTATTTTGAATGGACTTGTCATAGTAAAGTAAAGACATTACTTACCAGTACCCTGGTGGGTGGAAACTGCTTCAGATCGTCGTCGTCCGCGAAATAGGGGCTCAGGTAGGGATCCTTGGGCACGACGAACCGAAACTCGTCCATCATGCTGCTCTGCCGATCGACGTCGAGGAACCTTTCGGCTCCGGTCGGCTTTCGTTCGAGCAGCAGCTTCGAGAAGCGGCCGCGCAAGTTCGACACGAGCGTGGCCACCTTGTTTTGCAACGACCGGTCTATCGACGTGGAGGAACAGGTGCTCTCGTGTTTTAACGTCGGCACTTTGGTGCCGTCCGTTTCCGTGTCGGAATCTAAAATTGCACGGTATTACGTACGATTACGTTATGTCAATGGCGTGTCCTTAATTACACTGTATTTACAAAAATTAACACCAAAACCACTAAAACTAAACCAAAAACTTACATATGTAATTTTTTATCTGGCCAAACAACCCTGCACAAAGTAATAATTTCGTTATTAAAATCATAAAATAAGTAAATAATGAATTATATTATTATATTATATATACTAATTTTAAAAAATGTTCTTAGTAAATAAAAAGGCATTATCAAAAATTGTGCTAATTTGTAAGCTTTTCTAAAATAACACTGTGCGACAAAAGGGGAGGTCAAATTAATAATTAAAATTTGACCCCTCAAGGGGAAAAAACCTCATAAAAACTTCTGTTTGTTTTAAAATAAGATTTCCATAAAAAAAATTAAATAAAATGTACATGGTAACCAAGTAGCATTATAGTGTCAAAAACTGATTTAGAAACTTCAAATGAGTGGCAATTACGTTAATAGTACTTATGTATAAAGTTTGCTAAATGCCATTTTAGTCAGCGAGTGCTTAATTAAATGCGTTTATATACGAGTTGCATACTATACTTTTTCTACAGAAAATACTTAATATTATCTAAAAAATTATTTAAATTAAATATTTGTATAAAGCGACATCTATACAAAAATAAAGTCACTATTGACGTAATTTTCACCATTAACATTGCCCGTTATTATTTTAATTAAACATAACAACTATTGATACTTTAAAATAATAAAATAACTTCAAAATATGATGTTAAGAATGTTAAGATGTTAAGAAAATATATTATCCTTTGATTTTTTTATTACTATAATTGCAAAATAGTATCACAAAGTCAGTGCAAACGTTCATATAATAATTATTAAATAGCTTAGGACCTAGTACATTAGGACAGTTTTTCCCTATTTGCAGCCTCATAAAAGGGATTCTAAAGTTAGTTTTTTGTCTTTTAACTTAGTGTCATGGAAACATGTACTATAGTGGGCGTTTTAAAGGTGGGAGCAAAAAAAACTAAATCTACCATGATTTAGTTAAAATATCTTCACATTATATATGCGATTTGCAAGTGATGATAATAGGAAAAGGGCAAAGAGAAGAACATAAAAATTAATGAGACAAAAGTAGAACAAGTTGAAAGTTTCCAAAAGGTACTTAGGTAGAATATAATGGAGGGCAAGAAGCAGAAATAAATAAAAGAATAGGAAAAGCAATAAACGTATGAAAAACAAATTTATACAGATGAAAGAAATCTCAAAAAAACAAACTTAATGTTTTCAAAACAGTATTTAGACCAATTTTAACGTTTGGCTTAGAATCATGGGTCTTAAATCAAGCACAAGAATCCAAAATAGAAATAAAGTTTTCAACTTGAATTTATAATTGCGGTAGTTATTGCCACGTTTTTGCTACATGCTTAAGTGATTTCCACGTTTCACATAGGATTGCCACTTTAAAGTTATCTTCTTCAAAAGGAGACATGTTTACAAATAGTCGTCATTTTAGGAAAATAAATGTGTAGTTTTAAACAAATACATGTAATTCTGGTTAGTACCGCCCCAAATTTAACACGTTAATACTATGACACCCATGTTTGACAGTAAAATTTTATTTGTGTTAATTTTATGTCTTCAGGTTAATTTAATTCTAGTTATTATTTGCAAGGTGTATTCTTACATTATAATAATTTTAGTATTCAGTGTTAGTTTAATGTCCAGTTTCAGAGAAAGTAAAGATTATAAGATAAATAATATGGTGAAAAAAGACGAGGATGGAAAGAAAATAGTAAAGTTTTGCTTAAGTTTTGGCCACTATACCTACACGTTACGGTGAAATAACAACGTGGTTTTTAATTTCTGAGCCCCTGTACAGTCAATTTAATTTTTTTTTGTAAATTTTTTTACTATTTGCAACCAATCACACATTGTATAGGTTAATTGAGCTAAGCTAGTGCAACCCCATGGGGGATCGATTTTTGTAGGCCTATAATAATAATACTTTATTTATATTTACTTCATATTTATAAGTGCCTGGCTTACTTAGTTTTTTGATATATCAGAAATGAAATTTTTAAATAATTACCTTATAATTTTAATTTGTATTGATTTTATACAAATTAAAATTAAATAAAAATGTTCTTTGCTGTGTTCTGTATAAAAATAGGAAAATTTGTTTTTCTATTCATTCAGTTTCCTACAAAAATATGTAATAAGATTTGATAAAACGATTGAATAATAATGAATTAGGCTTATTAGGATGAGAAGCCTAAAAACCAATTTTCCAGTGTCGCGACATGTCAGAAGTAAAAAAAATATTCGATTTTTTTTAATCACCCTAGTGTGAATATCTGTTATTGTGTATTATTATTTTTGCGGAAATAGCTTATTTTTACTTGTTTTAAAGTGTCGTCAATACCCGAATTTTTATCCACAACGGTTATGGTGATTTACCCACATTGCATAAAAATATTGCTTCGAAATAGTATTAATTTTATAATAGAAATTTATAAGAATAATTGTTTTAATAAATAATCTATAAGAATGTTTTTTTTGTCCACGCTTTATTCATCACGCGTTCATATATGCAACAAATGCATTCTTACCGCATTAACACTACCGCACTATTTTGCTTTCGAAATGACGTTAATTTTAAACTTACCCAAGACGTATTTGTCCAAAAATTCCGTCATATATTTCTGCCCCTCTTCCGTATTAATCTCTTTAACGTCATCTTCGGCGGGAAGCGATCCGTACGTCATGGTGTCTGAAGTTTCAGACGTTGGCGATTTGTGAGCCTGAAGTTCCAACAAATCCGACTCGGTTATTTCTTCGAAACTTTCAGTGTCAGAGTTGTTGTCTGCCTTTACTTTTGATGTTTCCGGACAAGCGTAAGCTTAATAAAACAAATAGTCCAATAAAAATAGGTTTGTTCCATTCTATTTGAGAAATTACTTATACAAGTTTTGTTCTAACTTCCCGACCTTATAACGTTAATAATCACTCCGAAACTTTCCTAATATTTTTCTTACCTTTAAGACACCGCATCATAAATCCAAAAGGCAACAAAGGGTCCATCATACACAATAATCTTGCAGGAGATGGTATAAAATTAACCACTGTTGGGACGTAGGCAACAAAAATGCCCATTGGTAGGGGAATGTTCAGGTGTATGCATTTTAATGTCATTGATAATATCAGGTTTGCCCCTGCTGAGTCTCCAGCAGCTACTATTTTCTCTCCTAATAAATAAAACAATACATATCTAAGACAATCCTTTTAAAATGTTGGACATATGTCAATGGGGTGGCACTAATAAATACAATTGTCGCAACTCCAGAGCCTGTATTTTTAAAAACGATAGACTCAGGCTCACTCCTGTAGTTTTTTTTCATATTTTATTAGACAGAACTGCAATACTATTTTTAGTATCTTTTACTTTTAAATATTCCTATTTAAGTAGAAAATATTACCAATAAACCGCAATAAACTCATTTCCGCAAGTTTCGGGAATTTTCGATGGAAAGTTTCCGGGAATTTTTGTCAAACCATCTCTAACATAACTTTAACATAAAGCCTGAATTATAGATTGCCTTCCTTCCTTCCTTCCTTCCTCCCGTAGAAGATGATCATTACGTAATTGTCCCATTAACATTTCCCGTGTAGGAATTTTTAATACTTTGTGATATTTTGCAATTATAGTAATAAAAAAATCTAAGAATAAAATATTTTCTTAACAAAATCATATTTTGAAATTATTTTAATATTTTAAAGTATCAATAATTGTTAAGTTTAATTAAAATTAATAACGGGCAATATTAATGGTGACATTCCGTCAAAAATGTTTATTTAAATCGTAGTGCCAGTTATAGATTCCTGTACAGTAAGGACGGCATTCCTTCCTCCCGTAGAAATGTTTAAGTTTTATCTTTCACCGTAAAGGTCTTTGACATGACCAATCATAGTGCTTGTTATGGACATGCGCTGTAGGGTGACAGCGCGTAGGCACAAAATATTTAAAATACATGATTGTTTATTATTATTTAAGATAGGTGTTCAGTTTATTAAATAATTTGTGTCTCTAAATAGGATATTTAGATATTGTTTATGATCAATGTCTTTCATTTTTAGAAACGTTGCTTTGTAAAACCCCTTAGTTTCCCGGTCTTGGTAAAGTGGGCGAGTCTTCCAACGTCTTGTTCGATGTTTTTTTTTCATAATACTGCCCTATTATGGAGAAAGGCAGTAACTACAAATGCGTTTTCTTGTGCTATAATAAAGCTATGAACATTTTGTATCTTAATTCAACAAAGAAATGCAGTAAACTATCTTTTAAGTTAAATAAATCAGTTAAATACCTACTGCTTTTTATAAAAATTTAGTTTATGCTAATTTCCCACAAATTTCTTGTTTAGCAGTTACTGCCTTTCTCCATAGTTGAGCAGTATACAACAAGCTGCCTGGGCAATTAAAATTGTGATCACTGCACTAATATATAAATGATTATCTTTCATATTTACACACAATGGGTAAAACGCAGAATATAAGCAAAAACAAATGTCAACCATTTTGGGTGTCATCGCGCATGATTACGGAATTTTACACGGAAATCTATAAATTGACTTTTTACAAGACGCACAAATCGTATGGGCACGACTACGGGAGAAAGGAATGAAGGCAATCTATAATTTAGGCTTAATACTGATGATTATTATTTTTTTAGAAAACTATTCTATAACACTGGAATTATTTTTACCTGTACTGCCCAAAAGCTCGTGATTTTTCAACGCCCAACAATAAGCGTACGTAACCTCTTCGAGCGCCCTGGGAAATGGCGCCTCGGGCGCCAAACTGTAGTCGATACTCAGTATCGGCACGTTCAGCTGTTTCGCCCAATCTCGTAGGTAGCTTTCGTGAGATTTCGACGATTGAGCAACGAATCCGCCGCCGTGACAGTGAATCAACAGGCCTCTGGAGGGCGGCTCCGCCTTCGTAGAGGCGGCTTGCCCTATCATGCCCTTGCGTACTTTGTAACTTATCAGACGTACTTGTACTGGCTTGTTCCCTGGAATAAACACAATTTTTTTTAAACTCTAGTCAATGCCAACGTTTTTTCAAAAAGTATATACCTAGTCCTCTTATTAAAATTCAACCGGCTTGTGTATTTGTACTGCCTACCAATGGCGGCTGGTGGATTTTAGATATACCAATATTTCAGTTATTAGACATGGGACCCACACCAAATTTATAATAGTTTATAATGACATTAAATAGACAAGTTCGGCGCAAACAGAATTTAAATTAAGTTTGCGAAAAAAAGTTAGTTTTTCCTGTCGCCTCACCTGCCTCCAGGCCCCCCTATTTAAGATAATTCAAATTAAAGTGGTGCAATTTATTATCTACTATAATTTATCGACAAATTTAAAATTTTATTTAAAAAATCCAAATATTACAGATTTTATTCGATTTTTAATTTTTATTATTAATTTTATTGAAATAAAAAAATATTTAAAATGGTATAAAACCTGTAATATTTGGGTTTTTTAAATAAAATTTTAAATTTGTCGCTAAATTATAGTAGATAATAAATTGCACCACTTTAATTTAAATTATCTCAAATAGGAGGGCCTGGAGGCGGGTGAGGCGACAGAAAAAATTAACTTTTTTTCGCAAACTTCTATTTAAATTCTGTTTGCGCCAAACTTGTTTATTTATTGTCATTATAAACTATTATAAATTTGGTGTGGGTCCCATGTCTAATAACTGAGATATTGGTATACATAAAACCCACCAGCCGCCACTGCTGCCTACGCTTTCGAAAATACAGTTTTTAAAAATGCAATTTTGTAATTTTAACATCTCTACACAGTATTCCCCAGTATGGTGCTGGTCAAACAAGAATGACGCAAAAACAAGTGAAAAAATGTTCTTCACAACCCATTTTAATATTTTTTAAAAGACAAGTATTATGAAAGTAACAATGTGCGATTAAATATTTATGCACCGTTTTATTGAAACAAACTATGTATAAAAAATTGATGAAAATTTTAGTTTGTTAATACATCAGGGTTCGTAGCGACCGGGAAAACCGGGAAATCCGGGAAAAGTCAGGGAACATAAAATGAGTCTAAAAAATCAAGGAAAAGTCATAGAATTTAAAGAAAAAACGAAAAGTCAGGGAAAAGTCAGGGAATTATCTGTAAATAATATTAATACTTAAAATAATAATAATAATATAAAAGAAAATAATATTTACTTAATACCTACACAATCTACATTATGATTTAATATAAATGAAATGCTTGGGCAATTTTAATGTAACTACCTAATCGTGTAACTATCAGTTTGTCTTTGACAAAAGTCAAAGTAACATTACAAGTCTTTCTCGTAATTGTGAAAAATTGTTTAATAACGGAAATCAAGGTTCTGGAAAACAAAAAACAAAAATTAACTGAAGGAACCAACCATGAAGTGGACAGTATCAATAGACGTCTACAAATATTGAGAGAAAAAGTTTAAAATAGTTATTTGACTTATTTTTGTATTTTGTTTTGTTTTTATTTACGAGAAATATGCTCTATGTTTTGTTATAACTGTTAAGTTAAATTTTAAAAGATCTAAAAAAGTTTTAAAAATTTTGTGAACGTTGAAAAAGTTGGAATAATACGTACTGCTTTTCATATCATTGTATTTTCGAGATCGTGGTTTTTTGTTGTTATGCAGCTAATTTAAAGTTGTTTTGGTTTGTGAAAGTGCATAATGGATTTAGAATTTAAAGCAGTGGAGAAACAATGTTTTGCGGATTTTAATGAAGATTACGAAGATCAAGGTGGAGGTGCAGGTGTTAGTGACATAGAAGATGACGATGTACCAGATTCGTCTTTCGATATGTCTCTTCAGGATATTGACGAAAATAAAAGATAAAAAAAGCAATTCTTGATCTATTTATAACTTTTTTTGCGATTTTTATAATTCATGTTGAACTTTAAGGATGATTTCCAGCAAAAGTTTCAAACTTAGAAGTCTGAGGTATGTTTCAATAAAAAATACGTTAAATTTTTTATAAATTTCGATCAAAAAACAAAAATTGATTCTTCCGACCATAGTCCAGGTCACATATAATATGAATTATGCTATATGTATTTATTTTTGTTTTTATGGTCTGTTATTAAAGCTGCAAAGTATAAATTCTATTTTTATTTTTTTTCCTATTTGCCTGAATATCAATATCAATTTTTGACACCTTCCACAGTCTATGAAAAAAGCTTGAGAAAGTTCTGGAAAACCTGGAAAAGTCAGGGAATTTTATACGAATTCAATAGTATGAACCCTGTACATTCATGCAATGAGACATACCCTTCTCATTATAGTGCTATTTATCATTGTTGCTAATCAAGATATAATTATCAAAATTTTAACACCAAAACAAAAGTGCCTTGTGTTTTGTTTTGGGGTTGGGGAATCTAATATTTGTTTACCATATTTTTGTGGTAATGGAATCAGTAGCGGTGATATACTGGTTTAAATATAAAAATCTTGCAAAAGTAGATTAAAAATTACATTATTTTGTTACTAATCAATTTATCTTATTATTTTAATTTTACCACTTAAATAAGTTACATTATTTTGTTACTAATCAATTTATATTATTATTTTAATTTTACCACTTAAATAAGTTTTGTAAGTTGATAAATTTGTATACCAAGTGGGTTTTTAAAGTGTTACATTTTGGTAAATTTTAAGAGGTGGGAAGCATATTTAAAAATATTTTGAAAAATTGTTTTGCTCTTACGAAATTATGATTTATTAAATTATAAAATACTACATTTTGCACAAATATTTAGTTTTTTTTGTAGATTTGAATTAAAAACAAATACATCATCCCTATTAAAAATCAAAAGTCACCCACTGCCCCTCAAAATATGGAAAGGGGTAGGTGTCAAAAATATGTTTAAATAGCTCCCCCCCATCTCTATTAGTTTACCAGTTTCAAAAAAAAACTTAATCGTTTTAGAAATATCCCCTTGTAACACTTTAAAAAACTTGGTATGGTATTATATTTTAAATTCTTAAAAATATTTATTAACAGTAAAGTTAAATACTTTTGATTTTAAATATCTAAGACCCCAGGGTATTAATTTTAATCAATTACGTGTTTCAGTTCTTAAACCAGTTTATTTTCGCCGCTACTGATTTTGTACACAAAACTTGTGTAAAATTTTTATAAAGATATACCTATTGAATAGTTTACAAAATAATGTGATTTTTAAAATAGTATTATGTATCAAGTTTGATAAACGCCATTTTAGTCAGGAATTTTTATTAAGCACGCGCTAGCTTGCGAGCGAGTACTTAATTAAATAAGTGCCTAGAACAGTTTATAAACGAGTTGGATACTATACTTTTTCTACGAAAAATACTTAATATAATCTAAAAAATGATTTAAATTAAATATTTGGTTAAAGCGTCATCTATACGAAAATAAAGTAACCATCCCAATAAACATTTTTGACGTACTTTTCACCATTAACATTGCCCGTTATTAATTTAAAGTTAAGAATAAATAATACTTTAAAATATTAAAATAACTTCATAATATAATTAATAATTATAATTAATAGTTAAGAAAATATTTTATCCTTTGATTTTATTATGACTAAATTGCAAAATATTATCACAAAGTATTAAAAATTCTTACACGGGAAATGTTAAAGGTAAAAAAGAGACAGTTAACTGTCTCTAAATACAATTGTATTTATTGGAATTCCCGTTAGAAATTCTAAGTTGGGTATCTACCGGCGTTAAAATCTCAAATTTGTCTGTGTAAATCAAAATTTATCCCTTGAAAATAGACTAACAATCGATTTAGGGCTAGTTTTTCACAGTAAAAGAGAAGAGAATGTTTTATAGGCACTGTACGTCAAATTTTTAACGCTCTATCAGTTAAATCTAGTTAACTGCACTACTACGGCGAAATCAAAAGGTGAGTACAAACGTTCATATAATCTTTTCAAATATTGGCGTCAATAAACTATTTAAAACTTTCGTATTTTGTATTAAGATAATAAAATAATATTCACATTTAGTATTATTGTACAAGAAAGGCACTTTATTTTAACGATTGTATGACATTTCACAACTGTCAACTAACTTAAAACTAACTTCAGCCCTTGACTAAAAACCTGTTGCTAACTTCAGCCCGTGACTCAAACGCCATAACTTGTCAATGTGTATTTAATATGAGCGTTTTAAAGGTGGGAGTAGAAAAATAATAATAATGATAAAAAAATAAGGAAAGAATCCAAGTCGATTTTATTTTAATTTATATTGATATTGCGATAGCGTCTACTGCTGGAATCCAAAGAGTTTTGTCTTATCAAATTATTTTGCCCTAGGTATGTTATTCTGGGGGACACTGTGTCTAGCAAAGCCAACCCTGATAGCAAAATTTGATTCTAAGAATCTTCTAAGAAGATATGACCCGGAATAATGGAATATTCTTAGAACCTTCCCTTATTGCTAAGAATGTTCTTAGGGACTTTTAAAACATTCAATAGATACCCTTTGATGATGCAATTAGATTCTTAGAAGCTTCTTAAAACCTTCTTAAAAAGCATTCTAAGAACATTTTAAGAATACGTTTTTGGAATGTTCTTTGAAGGTTTCTTATGGAGCTTCTAGGAAGCTTTTGAGAATATTTACAAATATGTCAGATACCCACGTTCTAATATGTTCAATTCTACATTCGTAAAATTCTTCAGGAGGCGACAAATACGCCTCACTGTCATAATATGACAGTGAAATGTATTTGTCGTCCCCTTAAAAAATTTTCCGACATATTAATATTTATTTATTTAAAAATATTAAATAAAACATTTGACCTCTAAACCATAAGTTGTAGGACATTATTTCATAAAAAGTAAAATTGGAAAATTTTGTGGGATAAGTCAGATTAGATTGAAGTTGAAGATAGTTAGGATTATTATACATAAAAATGTTAATTCAGAAATAAAAAATCGGTATACAAATTAATAAATATTGATTTTTAACATAAAATAAAATATAAAAAAAAACAAAATATTTCCTTAGAAAATAATTCTTCATAAAAGAAAAAACCAAATAGTTCTTCATAAAAAAAACATGTTTCATTGTATTTAAGTTGGATAGAAGGCTTTATGTAAAAGCCAGATAATTTAGATACCTATAGTAAAAGTATTTTTGTTATCGAATATTGTTTTAATTTGACAAATAACTATAAAAAAATATTTTGGGTTGTTTTTTACTTAGTATTTAATACTAAGTATAGGTACCTTTATACGTAGATTATGGTATATTTTACTATTCTATAGGTACCTAACTGAACTGAATATGCTTAACAGAATGTTCCAGGAATATTCCTAAATGAACTTTCTATAGCAATTACTTTCTCAACATTCTAAGCATATCATTAGAGTGGATTAATTTATACCACTAAACTTTGCACCTTCTAAGAACCTGTCTATAGGCCTTAAGATTATGATATATTTCTTTTAAGCATGTTCTTTAGAAGAAATATAGTATGATCCTAAGAATATTCTCACTAGAAGGTTTAAAAAACATTCTTAGAACATGACTAGAAGAAATATAGCATGATCCTAAGAATATTCTCACTGGAAGGTTTAAAAAACATTCTTAGAACATGACTGGAAGAAATATAGCATGATCCTAAGAATATTCCCACTGGAAGGTTTAAAAAACATTCTTAGAATAAACTGTGCTATCAGGGAATTGAAATAAAACTTAATCTCTTACCTATATGCGCACTTGGTACAGGCACTTCAACCTCCCTTCCGTTTACTGTTAAAGTTAAAGGTTCAGGCGGAAGCTGTATGATTTGAGACACAGCTATGGAGTTCGATACCACGTTTGGCACGTGGTTCATGAGTTCGCTCTCCGATAGAAACCAGAACGCTTTGCAGAAGTCGACGTCGGCATTTTGGGAAATATTAACTATCCTGCGGGCCCTTTGCTCTGGGTCGGTTAGGTACTTCGTGGTCGTCATCACGTGACTTGTTGCTTTTGAAAGTAAAGAGCCTAAAATATAAAAAAATATTTGTAAAAACCCTGCAACGCTGTTTCCCAAGCCATTTTAATATAATGTATTATTACACGTCTAAAAACGATTGTTAAAAAAACAACCCCAAGCAACAATTTAAGTATTTGTTACGTATATGGGACTATTGAAGAAACTTAAAAGTGTTTTGCGACAGTCGCCGGTCTCTTTATAATACTCTTTCATTACTAAGTTACGACTAAAGTGGGGAACAATTATTGAGTTCTAAAAAGGTAACAAATATGTCACTAGCTATAAACCCTGCTACTATTTGGAACGTAGCTGCTACGTTACTAAAACGTTCCAATATCGTTGCTAGAGCGTAATATTACTTTTATTTATTTGTTTTTACTTCTATATTAACTGTCTTTGTCAAACTTATGTTAGATTATACTACCCCTCCTTTTTTAAATGGAACCACTACGGACTGTCGTTTATTAAATATGTACTGGTAGTTTATAACTTATTTTGTTTAATTAGGCAGGTAAATTTATAACTCCTTTAAATTTTACTGTTGAACTTATGAATTTAGTTTTTGTAAAATTAATGCGTCATGCATCAATATTTAAGTATAAATAAATTATTTATTTAATAATGTTTTTTAAACAAAAAAATATTAATATTTATTATTAATTTTTTTATTTAATTATTAATATCGTCTATTGCCAACAAAATTACTATTTATTAAAAAGTAAACAACCATTTACAAAAAATTAAAATAATTTATTATTTACATTACCACGTGGTACTGTACAGTAAAAAATGACCGATAAGAAACATTTTCCTTTGAAGTAGTTTTCGCTACTTTAAAGTTTTTTCCACTTTACGGTTGTTTTGGTTATTACCATAGACGTTCCAAATACTAAAATAACTACTTTTAAGTTACTAACTTTGTAGTTTTTAACTCATGTTCCAGTTTCGAGATTTTAACTTGCAAAGAGACTACAAAGTAAAAAAAATTACAATGTAATCTCTAGGTAGCGACCGAAAGTAACTGCTACAAATTAAATTTACTTGAAAGTTTATTTTACTTATAACACCTTTTTTAAAGTTGCAAAGTCTTCTTGGGGCAACCAAGTTTTACTTAATGGTTATTACTTTATAGTAACCATTTAAGGAAAAATTAAGTTTCTGTTACAAAATATTGTTATTTAAAAGTTAGAATTACATTTAAGTAAAAATTAAAGTAGCTGTTTAGTATATTTAACTAATTTAAAGTTATCACCACTTTGGCAATGGTTTTTGGAACCAAAAATGCTGCTTGCGATCTGAAAATATGGTTGACAGATGTACTTTCTGACAGTTTATGTGTAAAAATTAAACTTTTAATCATCATAGTTTTAGTAAAGACTAAAAAATATCAGCTTGTTATTTATAAAACTTGCCATCACTATAAATCAATTGTCCAAAACATAAAATAACAAAAATAAAACCAATTTTAAAAAAATAAAATGAAACCTTCAATTATAAACTACCGTTAGTTTTCGGGACATCCTGTAAAAATCTTTTGAAGTTTTGGCTAAGGACCTCACATCCTATATGTTAAATAATTGTTAAACTAAAATGTACAGTAAAATTAATACCATCCACCTTAATCTTTTTTAATTAATTTTAAAATGCAAATTTTATTTTATGGCCCTTAATTGTTTTAAGTGATCCCACAGATAGAACTTAGTATTTGGGTCAGGAGCCCTAGCAGGCCATTGAATTTTTTCAATTAATTGTAATGCTATATTAAAAGTATTCAAGGTTTTTAATTTAAAAATATATCATGTAAAAACAATGAATGATAATTATAGGTAATACATTTAATAATTACTTACATAAATCTTAAAATTTTCCCTTGATTTGAGTTATATCAAATAAAAATAGATCTTCTGTTACTTTAATGTAAATTAATTATACAAATATTACGGGGAGAAAATATTGTTATAACGTTTTCTGCAACAAACACCATATTTTTGGGATAAAATGGCCACTATGAAATCTAAGGCTTTCAGCTATGAGATGAATTTTTTTTTAATTAATTATATTATTCGTCGCCCTATTCAAAAATCGATATCTCAGTAAAAAATAAAACGCTCATTATGAAACAAAATAAAAAATCTCCGGAAAAGATCCATTTCATAAATGGTATTTTTTTAAATTAAAACATTTTAAATGTTATGAAGTTAATATCAACTACCAATTGCATCAAAAGTAGCGTATTTTAAATTATTCAAAAGATAAAAAGTGCATTAATTATAATTATTGAACATTCCAAGAACTTTATCAAAATTCTTATTTAAAAAATCTACACATGTTTTATCAAAACATAGACAAAATATTTATAATTGTTTAATAAATCATATATTATATTATTAATTTTTGTATTTTTTACATAGTTTTTGTGACCTATTATCCTTATTTCATAAAGATTAACAATTTTATTTATGAAAAAGGAAAAAGAAAATTACAATTTTAAGCATAAAGCATACTTACAAATAAGAAATAATGGTCAAATTATAATTAAGTCAGGGAATCTATTTCTTTTATATACAAGGTGTCCAGAAAATATTTGCCATATGCCATATGCCCAAAATAAATATTTCCTATTAGGCTGCTAATTTTATTAAATAATTCGTATGCAAAATTCAAGTTAGATAAGGTGTCATTAAATTAAAACTCTTGAACAATGAACTTTCTGAAATAACCTTTTATTTCATTTTGAATAGGAGCCTTTAGAACTTATTTTAAATAAAATCAAATTTTGATTAATTGCTGTTAAGTAGTAATCAAATGTAACTTTGAGTCACTATGTATTTAAATTAATTATTTTAACGTATAATGGGTTGCATATCAAATGTCTCTAAAGAGCGAAAATATTCAGACAAATTTGCTATAAATCTGAAATCGGACCATAAAGTGACGTCATAACTGATTGACCACAAACGCAGATTTTTAAGTCCAAATGAATTTAAAATAATTATTACGAAATAAATTTGACTGTTATTGTTATGTTATATTTAAAGGAAAGTTTGTTTTAAATAAAAAAAATACTTTTTTGTTAATGCAAACCCCAAATTATTGTCATAACCATTTTTAGATGTGAAATATTTATTTATCAATTGATTGTTGTTTAAACACATGGCATCTACATGTTTTTTAAACTTTAATGTTTAATAAATCAAAAATTTAATTGAGGTGATTAGATTTGCAAACTTTTACACTTTGACTTTATCCATAATTACCTCTAAAGCTGTTTACAAACAATATTTAAAATTTTGTACCTATATTGTTTGGTTAACTGCTTAGAGGTATACTCCATTATAATTATGAAATATGTTAGTCAAACTTGTATCTTACAGATTGCAGATCACCTTTTCATTTGATTTATTTTTAAAAATATATATGGTGTTGGTACGCCTTTTTGGGATAAAATAGGTCATTAAAAATATAATATTTTATGTGCTTTTTGCTGTTTATAAAGTAAATTAAGTATACATAACAATTTTACTTTATGCATAAAATATTAATCAAACTGAAACTTGAAAAAAGCCTGCTTATTATTATGTGATTCCATAAACAACTTGTTTATGCTTCTAATTAAAGAATTATCTTTTTTATTAAATATAAGCAAGTGTTTTTTGTTTAATTGCAACTTTTTTAAAAATAAATTTAATGGGACAAAGGTTAGTCGCATTATATCATATAATTAAAATTAATTAACTTACCTTGACCATAATAGGCTTCAGAAAAAATTGCCATCGACAATGCAATAAATTGTAAAACATTTCTAAGAGACTCACAATATTGAAAGCCCATACTTCTCCCATAAAAACAATACTGATTAATATCTTCACAGTGTGAAAGAAGTTCCACTGGGGAGTGAACTTCATCAGGAAATAAATTGCCATTGCTGCTCCAAGATAATAACGTTTCCAGATGTTTTAAACATGTATCCAAGCTTGTTATTAAATGAGAAACTGACTCTACATCTCTAAAATGTAAATGTAATTTTTTTATATAGGGCATTTTAGGGAGTCATTCCATACCAAATAGAAAAATAAAGTTGCTTGATATTTTTTAAGATCATATGAATAATATTAATATTATAATAATATTAATATTAATATGATATATGATATTAATATGTATTAACATTAAAAGTATTTTTAAAATAAATAATAAATATACAAGGTTTAACAATTTACTTTGTTTTTTTAAGAATATATAAGTAATTATAATAATAATAAAATAACACAATTTAAAAAAAAACTTAAAATTTAAAAGTTATGATGGTTTAATGATTTATTTTTTTGAAAAAAAAAACCATAAGCAAATATACATATCAACCATTTAAACTTAAATATACCCAAGTATATATTTTATTTTAAGCAAGTTTATTTTTAAGTTAGAAGTAAGTATTATTATAAAAATTATTTTTTCAAAAATTTATTTTGGTTTGCTTTTTAAATTTAAATATTAAATAATTTAGTTTTGCCACCATAAACAAAACATAAACAATTAAATAGATACTTAAAAGAATATAGTAATTGTTTTTCTCTTTCTAAAAACAAAACCAGGTGCAATTAGGTACTTTTAGTACAAAAATATAATTAATAACAATTGTTTGTTATCTTTATGGTAGCAAGACTAAGGGCAGGTTTATCTATGTCTGGTTGATAATAATAATATAGCTTAATAATAGAAGAATATATTTGACAATTTTGATGCAAAAATAATATATAATAAACTACCTACAATTTTTTTTATAAAAACAGTTTTGTTATTTGTCCCGTCCATCCGCTTGAAATGGCCGCATATTAACATTAAAAGTATTTTTAAAATAAATAATAAATATACAGGGTTTAAAAATTTACTTTGATTTTTTTAAGAATATAGGTATAAGTAATTATAATATTAAGTAAAAGAACACAATTTAAAAAAAAACTTAAAATTTAAAAGTTATGATGGTTTACCTAATGATTTATTTTTTTGAAAAAAAAACTCAAGCAAATATACATATCAACCATTTAAACTTAAATGGTATTTGAAAACAAAAAAATTACCTAATATACCTACCAAGTATATATTTTATTTTAAGTAGGAAGTAAGTATTATTATAACAATTATTTTTTCAAAAATTTATTTTGGTTTGCTTTTTTAAATTTAAATATTAAATAATTTGGTTTTGCCACCATAAACAAAACATAAACAATTAAATAGATACTTAAAAGAATATAGTAATTGTTTTTCTCTTTCTAAAAACAAAACCAGGTACAATTAGGTACTTTTAGTACAAAAATATAATTAATAACAATTAATAATTAATAACAATTGTTTGTTATCTTTATGGTAGCAAGACTAAGGGCTGGTTTATCTATGTCTGGTTAAAGTTGCAGTTAGTTATCTGGCAGATAATCTTCATGGATACCATTGTATTTATTGAGTATAGATTATAATTAGTAGGTAAGTAGGTGGTTTCAAAAAATTACTAAAAAAATCAAAAAAAATCTTGTAATTTATAGGTACCTAAATACATTTTTACTTTTTTGCATCATTCCTTTTTGTTAATTTTAATGGGAACATATTTCTTTTTTGATTAAAAAAAAATCAAGCAACATGGTATAAAATGACCCAGTTATATATCTTACCTTGCCACACTACTTTTTCTAAATAATACTTTGCTTCGTTTTAAAATAACATTACTATTCAACTGCACTGCAGATTCTATAGCTCTATTTACAATAGATACAAAGCTTCTATAACCATTTCCAGGCGTATTTTCATCAAAATCAAAAGCTGCACACTTTTCTTCTATTCGTTGTATTTTGGGCCATATTGAATCAGCCACATCGATTATTGCCAAAAAAGATATATACAACCTCTGCCCATTTTCACTGCTATCCTGCGCAAAAAAATCTGCATTGTTGGTGCATAAATCCTTTAGCACATCCACATTTAATTTGTTTCCATCAACTGCAGACCCATTTCCTGTGTTAATTTCATTTTGAGACTCTGTCATCTTACAATCTAACCCAAATGTTGGAAAAGTTTACTTGGTTTTACATAAAATGCGCGATATTTATTGAAAATTTCTTTTTATTTTGTTTTATTGCAATTATTATTGTTTTAAAACTATCATTGCGAAAACAGACAATTTACGTCATTTGTGATGACAGGCAGGTTGACAACTGAATGAATTTAAAATTTGATGGTAACGAAGTTAGCTCAGCTGTAGTTAACTTCACAATTGTTGTTGAAAAAATTTCTAACCTTAAATCCTTTTCCAAATTACTTTAAAATGACGACTTTACGGCCTTTCACTTGCGATGATATGTACAAATTTAACAACGTGTAAGTTTATTTTAATAATTTATAAAAAATTTGCCATGGGTATTTATTTTTCAGAAATTTGGACCCCTTAACCGAAACCTATGGGTTATCATTTTACATGCAATACTTGGCACATTGGCCTGAATACTTTCAAGTAGCTGAATCTCCAAATGGAGAAATTATGGGATACAGTAAGTAAAAATTAATATTTTATTAATTACTTACTTTAATTTGAGTAGCAATTATATTAAAATTTTTCCATTTCTTATTACAAAAGTTCACTATTTTAATTTGCATATAAAAATTTGCTTGGAATAGTGCACTAATACAACCAATATCTGTTTTATTAATTTTAAAACTATATAAGCATCATAAATTATGATGCTTATATAGTATAGCTGCAACAAGTCAGTTTTAAAAAGACTTAAATCTTAAGTCTTAAGTCAATTCTAAAATCAAAATGATTTAAATCTTAAGTCAATTCCAAGATAAAGTTCAAATGATTTAAGTATTAAGTCTTTGAATTAAATCATTTTCTTTCAAGTCAAGTCATTTTCGCAAATTCTTAAATCAATATAAAGTGATTTAAGTCATCTTATGACTTAATTCCTTCAGTAAGTCGTTTTTATGACTTAAGTCTATATTTTTTTATTTAAATCGTTATCTAAGAGTTAAGTCAATAAAATGACTTGAATCAAAAATTGTGATTTAAATTAAAATAATTACAGTCAATACAACGATTTTTTAAATGTTAATAATAATTTTATGGTATTAATGATACTGATATTATTAATCTATTGTAGATACAGATGATAATAAACCACTATGTTAAGAATTTAAAACGATTTATTTTCACTTACAAACAAAATAAAAACACATTTTTTGAGAATATAGTAGACAATCTAAATAAAAACTTAAACCACCTTTATTAGTAGAGTAGACATACAGGGAGGCTACTTTTTTATATACATAAATAGGTAACTTCTCAACGGTAATAGATTCAAACCCTGTTAAAATAAATAAAAGCATTTTTCTTAAAATCGCGTTATTTCAAAAACTGATAACTTGGTGTTTTGTTAACTTTTGTTAGCTGGTTCAACATCCATCTAGAAAAAAAATATTCTTCCCTTAAGGGAGTAATGATGGGAGGTTCCAAACTCTCGATTCACGACCGCTCAAGATTTAAGACTGCTGACTACCGCTCACGACTACTCCCGATTCACGATTGTTCACGATTTACAACCATTTACGACTAATAATTTAAGACTACTCACGTTCACGCACAATTACGTTTGAATAATTTTATTCACGCACAATCACGTTTTTTTGTCGTAATTATTTACTTAAACAAACCGAAACACCCTGTATGATATAAACACGTCTTTATAATATTTATTCGTCCTGTTAATCGTTTGTTTCCACTTTGCACTAATAATCACAAATTTGACCTAATAATACGCATAATACGACGAATGTTAGCAAACAAAATAACAAAATTATAAATCCCCACTTTTTTTTCATAAATTTTAGACAGGACACTTTTTAATGTAGCCGTCAAACGGTTCCGAAAAGCTAACTTTACCGCGGCGGTTTTTTTATTCACTAGCGGTAGCAATTGTAAAAATTTACAAAAAATATATGAAAAATCTGACTTAAATATTTTCTAAAAAGACTTAAATCTTTTTCAAAAAGACTTAAATCTTTTTAAATTATTTAAATAATTTGCCGACTTTTATAAAGACTTAATTCTTTTTTTGACTTAAATCGTTTCTATCGTATGTACTGATTTAAGCCTTTTATTAATGACTTAAGTTTTTTCTATTTTGAAAAAATATTTAAGTCTCAAATCATTTTGAAAATTACTTAAATTTTAAGTCTTAAGTCAGTTTTAGAGAAATGACTTATTACCAAATGACTTCAGTCATTAAAACGATTTAAATCAAAAAAACGATTTAAGTTTTCTGAGAGCTTGCAGCTCTGATCATAATTTCTAAATGAGTTGATCGATTTTCTAAAACTGCAGCAATGTATTGGGAATCAAAAACCATTTTCAATGAGGTGTAATTTGACCCCCATTTGAAAAAATTTGGAGGATGACACTCCCACTAAGGGTTAAAGATTTTGCTTCACTTTAGGTATCAAAAGTTGTCCCCCTGACAAACAAACTTGACGTGTTTTTGGATTTTGCCGAAAAGTTTTTTCCCAGCCTGTAATGCCTTGCGGTACGTTTTCAATGGGCCACCCTGTATATCACGTTTTGTTCTATTGGATAAATTTATTTTTATTTTTTCTATCTATTTTTCTCCTTTTGTTCTGTGATCTTTATTTATTTATCTATTCATATAAACCAAAATAGTGTACCCTTTATAGTTTATTCAACTTTTACCAACAATAAAGTAATGAATTAATCAGAAAACTATTATTTTCGTTCACTTATAAAACAATCTATTTTAGCCAATTATTTTTTACTAATAATTATTTGAAAAACAACTCTTGTGCTTTGGACTTTTTGAGCAAAATCAATATTTTGTTTTTAATTTTAATTCTTAAATACAGATCTTTCTGCACTTAAAAAATACTGTTCCAACATTAAAATGAAACTTAACTAATTATAGTTCAAATTGATTGTGGAATTAAAACTATTTTAGTAATGGGAAAAGCAGAAGGCATAGGTGATAACTGGCATGGACATGTAACAGCATTAACAGTGTCTCCTGATTTTAGAAGATTAGGGTTAGCAGCCAGTTTAATGACATTTTTGGAGGAAGTTTCCGAAAAGTAAACATTATTTTTGTTAATTTTGTATACTAAAAGTTTATAATTTTAGGAAAAGGGCCTATTTCGTGGATCTTTTTGTAAGAGTAAGCAATAAAGTGGCTATAAATATGTACACCAACTTGGGTTACATAGTCTACAGGACAGTGCTGGAATACTACTCGGGTGACCCTGATGAAGATGCTTATGGTAACAATTATTTAAAAAAAATAGGAACAAAATAATTTTTTTAATTTTTAAGATATGAGAAAAGCTTGTTCACGAGACGTAAATCAAAAATCTGTTATACCTTTGACTCACCCTGTACGACCTGAAGATGTTGATTGACTAATAATGTGCTTCATATTGTTTCTTATTACTATGTATTACTGTCTTTTGTAATAAATGCACTAGGTATCTGAATTTTTTTTTTTATTCATAAAAAACATTTAGATTCAAATAATTTATTTTAGTTATACAGTAATATTTATATATATATACAGTTTAACATAGGCCATAAGATTTGTATAAAAAGAAATGTCTATAGTACATTATGAACACCTAAATATTAAATATATTTACAATCAATATATAACAAGTGTATTATCAGTGAATATGTATAATTTTTTAAGATGCTAACAAAAAATTATTTAAAAATTAAAACACCCGTATATATTTAGTTAAATAATGAAAAAAATTATTTGACATAATAAATTATTGTCTTTGGACAATCTATATTTACGTAATAAAAATATTTTAAATTCAAACTATTTGCAATAAGAAGTTATGCACCAAACCTTTAAGAAAGGCCATTAATTAATTTTTACATAAATATTAAATATAGACAAGATATTTTGGTGTTTTCTTGCTTATGGGGCATTCAAAATATTTTTTAATTATTTTATATAACCCCATGTTTTTGGCATAGTTTAGGATTAATAGTATGCAGAATTAAGTTTATATCATTAAAATACACGTTAATCGTTAATAATTTTATAATTAAAGCTTATTAACTTTGTTTGGTTATTTTGCATACTATTAGTGTAGTAATAATTAAAATCTTTATATAACAATATAATTTAACTAAATTACGCTCAAAATCAGTCTATTTATATTAAGGCAACGCGTAATAATTTTTTAAGAAGCCTAAACTTTACATCAAAATTAATTTGAATATATTAAAAAGTTCAAAAGTAAAAAAATCCCTATTTGGCAGTATAAAAATTAAAATTTAATTCTTAAGTACTTATTTAAGAATTTATAAACAAAATAAGAATTTCATATAAAAAGTTAAATAAAATTTAAATGGAATATAAAAGTAAAAAAAATTACTAAAATTCTCAAAAAGTCTTGATTTTAAAAGTGCATTTGAACTTTTTCAAACGAAAAACGTGTTCGAGCACGTAAATTAAATAAGACTATTAAGTTTGAAATTGCTGCACCCTTTCACTTCCCCTACCGAAAATGAAAGTGAACACCCTGTCGAGTCAGCATGCGGTTTCGATGCAACCGACATTTGGCACCGTCGGAAAAGTGTAGTACAGGGTGTGCTATACTTCCGGCCCGAGGTCTTGGACGCCGCTCTCGGCAATCGGCACGAATTTCTCCTCGATCTGAACGAGCAAAATTGTTCGGTCCACGTGAGATCTTCGGTTCGGGTCTTTGTGACATGGCACCCACTTGTGAACAACCTAAAATAAACGGTCAATTCCCATGTAATGTCCGCTGAATCCGAAAAAACCGTCAAAAGTTATGAAATTGAAAGAGTTTGTAAGATTTGGTTTATTATACAAGATGTCCCTGAAATGACTGTACAAGTCACAAAAAAAATTGTGGAAAACCGAGTACACAACAAAACTTGATGCAGTAAAAAAAATTAATATTATATTTATTAGGCAGGTTCAAAAAAATCAACTATTTTTTTTCCTGAAATTTCGCACTGAAATATCTTCACGGTACCAAAAAAAGACGCCTGTGAAAACCGGAGCTCTTAATTTTAATATTTAGAGGTCGCGCATCGAGAATTTCTATTTTCCATTTAAATAACATGGGAAATTTTGTTTTGTTTCTTAATAATTTTCTATTTCACAAACTAATTAACAGATTTGTATGCGCGATATATATTCTTGTGGGAAATTGAACGTTCTACAAAAAATGTCTCCTATCATTATTTGATAAACCAACTAGTTCAAAAGTTGTTCAAAGTCGTAGTTAAATTTATGTCATAAGTCCTTTTTTCAGTGGCGTGCAGGACGGGCCCCGCAGGGCCCGCGGTGCGGGGGGGCCCCCGACCTTAAGGGGGCCCCGTAGAGAACCACATTGGGTGGTATAAGTAACAAAGGGGCCCCAGCTCAAAATTTGCGGGGGGGCCCCCGATCACCTTTGCACGCTACTGCCTTTTTTTATTAAATTTTAGGCAAATTCATTAAAGTTATTATCAAAAATCAAAAATACTATGTTCAATAAGCCTTGTAAATTAATTCCACTGAAACACGTAATATTACTGGAAATAATTCATTAAAAAGGATTTAAATCAATAAAAAAGAATTTTAATGAATTCTTTCCAAAAATAGTAGGTGTTTCAGTGGAATTGATTTAAAAGGCTTATTGAACATCGTAATTTTGATTTTTGAATGATTTTTTTTTATATTTGATAATAACTAACTTATGAATTTGCCTAAAATTGAAGTAAAAAATGCAATTATGACATAAATTTAACTTCGACTTTGAATAACTTTTGAACTTGTTGGTTTATCAAAAAATGATGAGATTTTTTGTAGAGCGTTCAATTTTCCACAAGAATACATATATATCGCGCATACAAATCTGTTAATTAGTTTGTAAGCTAGAAAATTATAAAGAAAAAAAACAAAATTTCCCATGTCATTTAAATGTAAAATAAAAATTATCGATGCGCGACCTCTAAATATTAAAATTAAGAGCTCCGGTTTTCACAGGAGTCTTTTTTTGGTATCGTTAAGATATTTCAGTGCGAAAATTCAGGGAAAAAAATAGTTGATTTTTTTGAACCAGCCTAATATTTATATTTTATTTTCAATGAAACACCATGTATTTTTTTGCATTTTTGGATTCAACACAGTTTTGGAGATAGACTTTGTAAATATATTAGTCAAAAAAATATTATTACTTTTTGAGTAAACCAAAGAATAAACAAATTTTCTATCTAATTGCTAAAAGTTTAAAATATTATTATATTGTATCTTAGCCATTATTTTTTCAATTTTATCTAAGCTACGCTTTGCAAAATATTATACAGGGTGTTTTCTACACCCAGTGTAAAATGGCTATTTTAAAAGTTAAAAATCGTTATTAGATCTTCGGTTCGGGTCTTTGTGACATGGTACCCATTTGTGAAGAACCTAAAAAATATGGTCAATTCCCATGTAATGTCCGCTGAATCCGAAAATACCGTCAAAAGTTATGAAATTGAAAGAGTTTGTAAGATTTGGTTTATTATAAAAGAGGTCCCTGAAATGCCTGTACAGGGTTAACCAAGTCACAAAAAAAATTGTAGAAAACCGAGTAGAGAACAAAACTTGATGCAGTAACAAAAATTAATATTATATTTATATTTTATTTTCAATGAATGTATTTTTTTGCATTTTGGATTCAACACAGTTTTGGAGATAGACTTCGTAAATATATTAGTTAAAAAGATATTATGCCTTTTTGAGTAAACCAAAGAATAAACAAATTTTCTTTAAACGTAGCTAATTGCTAAAAGTTTAAAATATTATTATATTGTATCTTAGCCATTATTTTTTCATTCTTATCTAAGCTAGGCGTTGCAAAATATTATACAGGGTCTTTACTACACAGTGTAAAATATTTGTATGAATTTGGATAGAAAAACTAACTTCCTTTCTTTTGATATATGTCCTATGTACACAAATGTGTACACATAAAATTAATGTAATGAATTTTTATGTTGCAATTAAAATTATGACTTTACATAATAAAAATTATAGAATAAATTGTATGTGTACACATAAAATTATATATGTAATTAATTTTATGTCTACACTTAAATTTAATAAGTTGCTTTGGGAATGCGGCAGAAAGTGGCAACTGCAGTAGTTCAAATGCATTGTAGGTATTTATACGAAATTCCTTGGTGGCTTATTACCATTGGCTAGATCACAATCCACAGTGAATTGTGAGCTAGATTATCTATATAATTATATAAATTATTTCTATGTATATAATTCACAAAACTAGAAGGTTTTAATTTTGTGATATAATTATATGACGTAGATTAAAACATAATATTATCTACCATTGAACTACTGCAATTTTCACTTTCGGCCGCACTTTCGCAGCGCTAAATTAATATTATGTGTAGAAATAAAATTAATTATATATTATATTAATTAATTATATAATTTAAAATTTTTATTATATAGTCATAATTTTAATTACAAAATAAAAATGCAGTTCATTTATTTTATGTGTACACATTAAATTAATTGTATAATTTTTTAATATAATTAAAATTATATGTACTCATAAAATTAATTTTTTCACGCCGTTTTACTTTTTAATTGTATAAGAAATATTAAGTTAAATAGTATTGTGTCACAAACATATTGCACACAGACAAATTACATTAAATAAATAATTCAACATCTTATATAAACATATTTAAAAAAATAAAAACTTCTTTGACATGTATAATTCTAATCAATGTATTACTTTAAAAGTTTTATTTTCAAGTGCAATTCAAAGTATTAATATTTAACGTAATATTTTTTATCCGATTAAAAAGTGAAACGGCGCGCCATAGTTTGAACCGTTTGTAATTTGGCTTATTTAATAATAAAAATATATAATTATAAAAACGTTTATACTTACATGACCTTCCATCCCTGTTTCAGGTACCCAGTCTTTCCAATGAGATCTACCACCCCTCAATCTCATGTGTTCCTTAGGCCAAAGCACATCAATTCTTCGTCCCAAGTTTATACAGTCATACACCATATTCGGATCAACGATCTTAGATAATAAAAAAAACATTACTATTCCATTTTTGTATGAAATTTTAAAAGGATCGTTAAGGATATTTCTTACCCTGACTCTGGAATCAATCAAGTCCCTATCGTCGGCGTTATCGCCCAATCTTTCGTCAGTTCTCGTCTGACCTTCCGGCATTTGAGACACAGATCTTTCGTCTCTCTCCTTAAACAGTCCAGCCAGGCTGGCCAACGTCGAACTGGTCGGTTTCCCCATCGACACCAAACTTCCCCGGTTACCACCTACAATAGTCTTGAGCTATAGCTATAGCTATATCGCTATAAAGGGTGATTCGTTTTGAACATTTATTTTTTGTTACTACTCAAACAAAATATGGAGGTACTTATTAAGAAAAAAATGCCCTTAATCTTACTCCCAAGTACTTTTATTTTGATTTTAAAGTTTGTCCATTAAAATAACATGAGAAATTAAGGATTTTTTTAAATTTCCTATAGCTTGGCTACATTTTATGTTACATACTTGCAACAATTTTTCTACTGAAATCGATGAGACCAGTAACTTGACCAATTTTTTTTAAAATTGTACATATAAAAAAATATAAAAAATTAAGTGAATTATTTTTTTTAACTGTTTTTTTCTAAAAAAAATATACTTAGGTCAAAATTTTGACAAAGTCACATTTTTTTTACTTCATATTTTTTTCGTTTAAAGATAAACAACTTTCACCAAAAGTCACGAGTTGGGTAAATTCGTCGTTTCGAAATTATTATTTTTGTAATGAAAATGTTCTAGTAAATTCGTAGTTCATCGCAAAAATTTGGTATTTTATCTAGGGGCATGAGAAACTGGGGTGAACTTTATAAAGTGTTTCCACGGAAATGTTCTTAAGTAAGTTAATTAAATTATTAAAGATTTTAGAGTAAAAAGTAAATTCTCAATAATTTGCATGTGTTACTTTTAATAATAAAAATTAAGTATTACATCCCTGAAAGTAATGAATCGAATGCACAAGAAACTTATAAAAACGCGATTTCGAAGAAATGTAGAACACAAACAATTTCGAAACATTTTGGTCGGTTAACAGATATGAGCGAGGCAGTCGCGAAACACTTTTTGACTGAGGCTCTATCAGAAAGGAAAATAAGAATTAAGTCTAAGATGTCCAAAAACGAATGCGCAGGTTAATTATGTTTGGAAATAACAAATTATTTGATTTCATATTTTGTTTTTTTATTTATTGTCAGAGATTCCCACTATGGGGCGGTTAGATATAACTTTTTAAAATGGTTTCAAAATATTTGAATTATTTTATTTGATAGTTTTAAAACCAAAAAATGTTGAGAAATTACTAACACACTTTTGTTTCAAACCACCAAAAATTATAATTATTATTTTATTTTATAAAAAGTATTAGCGTATGTTTTCATAGTAAAATAAAATGTTAATATTCACTTACCAGCAAAACAAACTAACAAACTGTCAAATCTGATACTTCACAGAGGTTTCAAAGCCTTCTTAATTTATTTACTTCTATACACACTTTAAAACCTAATAAACATTCAAATTTAATTAAGAGTTTAAAATCGATATTATAATATATTGGGTCATTCCACGTTACTCGGGGATTTTTGTCCCGCCCGTCACAATTAAAAATTGTGAGTAAAATCCACACGTTATAAAATTTATTTTAAAATATTGTTTATTATGCTTTTAATAAGTTATAAGCACAATAAAAATAATATTATAAAATATTAATTTAATAACTTGTGGTTTTTACTCACAATTTTTAATTGTGACGGGCGGGACAAAAATGCAATAATATTTGGTACCAAAAGTAAAAAAGTGGATTTTTTTATGACCAACAAACCACCCTCTCTAAAAATAATAGTGTTTGCATTCAGTATGGGTTTTCAACTTTTAAAAGCTCCTAAAAATCAGTCACGGTGTGCCTGAACGAAGTTTAAGTTACATAAAAATGCCGCCAAAAACTGATTGCAGTTTCTTGTTCGGGACCCTTTGGTGTAAAAATGATATTTACCAAAATCCTAGCTGCTTCTCTTTTCGATATTTTTTGATAATTCATGATTTTTTTTTAAATTTTTGTATATCTTAAAGTCTACCTTTGACAGAGTACACATTTGTACACCGATTTTTATAATATTGGAGTATATTGTTAAGGATATTTGGAGAATACTTTTTTATACTGTGCACATCATTTAATATAAACAGGATTAGCCAAAAATCGCTTCTTTTAATAAAGAAAAGCGTAAATTCATGATTTTGGCAAACACGCAAAAAATATATATACCCACCCATTTTTTTTTAGATATTTTTATGTTTATCAGGTTACAACATGGGATTCTTATTAAGACTTCATGAGAAAAATTGATTTTGAATAAAATTAAATAAAATAACATTTTTTGGAGATAAATCTTTTTTGTGCATTATGCTTTTTACTATATAAAAAAGTGATTTTTGGCTAACCATGTATAAATCTAATGATGTGCTCAGTATAAAAACAGTATTCTTCAAGTCTCGTTAACAATATACTCCCATATTATAAAAATCGGTGTACAAATGCTTACTCTGTCAAAGGTAGACTTTAAGATAAACAAATTTTTTTAAAAAATCATGAGTTTTCAAAAAAATTCAAAAAGAGGAGCAGCTAGGATTTTGGTAAATATAATTTTTAAGTAACCAAAGGGTCCCGAACAAGAAACTGCAATCAATAAAAATCGGAGTACAAATGTGTACTCTGGCAAAGGTAGACTTTGCGATAAACAAATAATTTAAAAAAAAATTGAATTTTTTACAAATTTCAAAAAAAAAGCACTTAGAATTTTGGTAAATATTATCTTTAAATCTCCAAAGAGTGCCGATCATAAAACTTTAACCGGTTTTTTGTTCAAAATTGAAAACTACTAAAAAGCCTGAATTAAACAACATTTTAAATATTCTCTAAGCGTTATTTTATTTAGTTTTATTAAAAATGTATTTTTTTTATAAAAGGTTAATAAGAATGCCAGTATTGCCATGACACTAGAAGTGGATAGACGCGTCAAGTAGTTAAAGATTCCTCTCCTAGCAGCGTATACTAGAGAAACGTAATAAAGTTCCAAAAACGAACCTAAGTATTCGGAAATATCGGTAATCGGTAATAAATAAATAAATAAATAAACAATCAAGTGCGGAAAGTGTGATAAGTGCAAAAAAAACCGGTCCAACTGGTCAGCAGGGATAGTCACAACCAAAGCCTGTCAATAACCTGCAGGGAGGTCCAGAAATAACGGACAGACCGTGAAAGACCTAGCATCAGGATTATAGCCTAATAATCAAGCTAAGTAATTTTTCTAACTGCAAGTCTTATTAAAAAAAAACATTTTATTCCAAAAAATCTAAAGTAAAACGTATTATATACCGAAAAGTAAATTTCAAGCCCCAGCAAATAAACATTCCTATTGAGACAGACAACACTCAAATCATTACATAAACAAAACAGAAAAGGCAGATAAGACATTAGCTCCACCCCCCCAATAAACACTCGACTAATACCATAAATAAACGCCAAACCATAAATAATAAATAAACACAAACCATAACAAACATGGAAATAGTAAACACGATTGATCATTCGGTGGGAATAATTAAAATTCCATCCGACGGAAATTGCTTAGTGGCCAGCTTGGCTCATCAACTAGATAATAGCCTGACTGGGTCAACAAGTACATACGCATTAAGACAATGACTAAATAACCACTTACGAACACACATTGAGACATACAGCCCATACTTACAGGATGCGATCCTTGACCAACCCCACCGCTACGCGCATAATAACGACTGGGAACGTAAAACAGAGGCGTATGTAAAGGACCACGCACAAAACGGCTTCTGGCTGGGTTTGGAAACAATAGCAGCATCGGACATATTTAACGTCGCAATCGAAATACATCACGAACAGGGGCGTACACGGAGAGAGGAATTTTGCCGTAATGGCTATCCGGGGTATTGTTGGATGACGTATCGTGGGTTTGGTCAACTGTTTTATTGGGCTGAGGATCTGTATAGCTAATTTAGCCATACAGATCCGCAGTTTAGTGGGACAGTTGACTGATTTCGCGATGCGTCGTTTGACGGTGCTTTGGATGGTTATTTTGGCAAAATTTTTCTCTCCATGTACTGACAAGATATCGCCCAGAGTCCTCCTAGAAGGAAAAACAATCACCAAACGTGTCAGGGTGGGACATGCCGACCCGGAGACGGACACAGAAACTGACGAACCGGAAGTAAACCAACAAAGATAGGAGTAAGCAAATAACTAACATACCCACCCCCCATTCACGAATACCAATTGAATGGGGGTACTACTAAGGCCTAGGTTCAGGAGGATTCCGGATTGTACTTAGTTTTGGGTCAGTTCAATGTTCTCCAAAAACCCTTCCTAAACTGGACGTATGGCCCGACCCGGCTGACAAAAATCCCGGGAGCGGCCTTAACCTTTGACACTGTCATCTACGAACTCCTAGGGTGGATCTACCAGCAGGCGTAAAAACTTCGGATCCAACAAACACAGGTAATGCTGTGATTTGGCGGGATACGCAGGAGAACGGAAAGGGGGTAAAATAACACCGGGAGATCAGTGGATGATAATATATCTGGGGCCTGCCATACGTTCCCATACTCATACTCACTCAAAAGGTTAATAAGAATGCCATTTTGTAACCTGATAAACGTAAAAATATCTAAAAAAAATGGGGATAAATCTTTTTTGCGTGTTATGCCAAAACCATGAATTTACGCTTTTGCTTTATTAAAAATAAGCGACTTTGGCTCACCCTGTATATATCAAATGATGTGAACAGTATTAAAAAGTATTGTCCAAGTCTCCTCAATAATATACTCTAATTTTATTAAAATCGGTGTACAAATGTGTACTCTGTCAAAGTAGACTTTGAAATATACAAAAATTAAAAAAAAAATCATGAATTTTCAAAAATTTTGGAAAAGAGGAGCAGCTAGGATTTTGGTAAATATCATTTTTAAGTCACCAAACGGTCCCGAACAAGAAACTGCAATCAGTTTTTGGCGGCATTTTTATGTGACTTAAACTTCGTTCAGGCACACCGTGCAGCATAGCAAAAAAAGAATAAAATTGTATTTTTTCCAGTCTACTTGGCCCAACATGAAGCAGAAAAGCCAATATGTTAAATATGCCAAAAAGTTTTAAATTACACTTTATAAAGGTCACCCCAGTTTCATGACTCTAGATAAAACATCAAATTTTTGCATTTTTAGTTAAAAAAATGACAATTCCGAAACGACGAATTTAGCCAACTTGGGACTTTTGGTTAAAGTTTTTTATATTATCAACTTCAAATGAAAAAAATATGAAGTAAAAAAAATGTGGCAATGTCAAAATGTTGACCTTATTTTTTTGGCTTTTTAAGAAAAAACAGTTTAAAAAAATTGAATGAATTCACTTAATTTTTTATACTTTTGTTTGTTTGTAGTCGTGGTCGATTTGAGATGGAAAGGTGCGTAAACTAATACTTACCCAAGGAAGTTCTGCTAAGACTGGATCCTCTGCCCATGCTGCCGCCTAAATGAGACCCATCGGTCGATTGACTCGACGTATGATGCATATTCGACGTAATGGTCGTCATCGCGTAGACCCCCTCGTGTCCCATCCCGATCTCCTCCCGGTTCGAAGCCCCGCTGGAACAGCCCTCGCCGCACCGCTTCCTTATCCGCCGAAACAGATTCAGCGCGTAGTTCCGCATCTTCTTCAGGCTGACCGAGCCGCCCACCAGCGCGCCGTACTGCTCGTTCGTCTCCGCGTAGCTGGTCGTCAGCGGCGACACGTAGATCGGGTAGCCGATCGGCTGGTCGCACGACGAGTTGATGATGTTGCGCAGCGCCTGCTTCGCGTTCTGGATGCTGCCGCGTTCCGGGTTGCGGTTGCGCAGGTACACGAGCTCCTGCTGCTGGCCGGCCCACAGCCCGCGCACGCACTCCTTGTTGATTTTGATCACGCGGAAGCTCAGGTAGCGTTTGTTCAGCATTATGATTTTGTATTCGTCGGTGCCGTCGTCCAAGACGTGCCTAAAATATTATTGAATTTCAGGTTTTCCTTCAACATTTTTTTAAATTTCTTTTTCACATTTGGTGTTTTTTCAAACAGTACTTTTACGTTTTTCGCCTATTTAATTTTAAAACAAAAATAATATGTAATGACAGAATTATACAAAGTTAAATTTTTTTAAACTCAAAATAATTGATATTAAAAAATATTTTAAATATAGAATGCAACTGTTAAACATAAAGTTTAAAAATATTGATTTTTAAAAATTGTAGTTATAATATTTTATTCTACATAATTATTTGTAAATGGTCATTTAAAAGATAGTAATTTTTAAAACAAAAATTCTCACATTTGGATTAAATTTTAAAGTGATAATTTTTGGATTAAAAATTTATCATTTAAATGACTTTTTATAAATTTAAACAACAAATTTTCATTTTGATGAATTTTAAATTGATACATTTTTAACACAAAATTTATAATTATTGTATTGTATTGTAACGAACGGGGCATGGGGGGCACACATTAATAATTAAAAAGAATATTAAAACCACAAAACTACCTTTGGCCAAAACACGTGATCGTCTAGTTTAAAGAAATTAAGTTAGGACCCCTTTTTGTTGTGAATACGGTTCTGGATACGTAAGTACTTGAGCAATTGAAAAGATATTTAAAAAGCAAAGAAAAAGTATTAAATTAAAATAAGTTTATTAATAAAGACAATTAATACAAGAGTTAATTATTGTTACTGTACATTAATAATATAAATAAAAACATTTGTATTTGAAAAGTATGATTGATTTAAGTTAATAAGGTAAAACCTTAAAAACCCACATATACAATACAGACATGCATATATGTCGCACATCTCAACAATATAAATAATACAACAAAATCAAAGTAATCAATATGAATATAATAAATTATATTATCATATTGCTAAGATTATTCACCTACATAAATGGTAGGCTCGGACGGTGTAGAAAAACAAATACACATTGAAACAATTATCAATGTACAGCAGCAAACAACAATAATGTGAAACAAAGTATAATATAACTTAGGTCACAAGCAACAATAATAAATGGTATTTGTATAAATAAAATATATAAATAACAAGTGGTATAGTGGTGGACAAGTTATGCAATAAAATTGATGTACAGTCATAAATGATAAATAAAATCAGGTATGATAAAGTAATAGAATTATGTCAGTGCAAATCAAATATAGCCAAATAAAATGATTATCAATAATAATAGAATAAGACCATAAAACAACAACTTCATATCAATATCCCTATCTAACCATTCTTTGTCAATCTAAATTGATACCTGGCAATCATTGGCAATTGGGTGCGCCTGTCAAAGCAGAGCTGTATCCACCCACCTCATACCAGAACCCGTCAACAAAGTTCCCTAACTAAATAACTATTTGATATGCAGAACTTGAAACAAAGTCTCACCATATTAAATAATGAATATCAATTTATCAAATAAATAAAATAAGATAAACTGTACAAAATAACGTATATAAATGTTAAATATAAATATGTAGTAAAATGTAAAATTACATTACAATATAATATGTTAAAGGAAATGTAATATGAATATAATAATTATAAACATAAAATAATGATTATAATAATTTTGTAATTTGGTTTGTCCATCAAAAACCTTTAAGATAAAAATAATTCAACTTATTATTTCTCTCACAAACAAACAAGTTGAATTATTAATAATAAAATATAGTTTAAATTAAATATTAAATAATTAACCACTCATTATGATATTTGTGACCTCAGATTATAATAACTACATATAGAAAAGACATACCTATTTAAATAAACAACACTTTTCACTAAACTGAATTTATACAAAAAAAACCATGTAATATTTGTTAAATTCCCTCCCTGATAAAGTTAAAGAATTTACTAGTAAAACGTCACTCTCCCTTCAAAATGCAAAACCAACTGTTACAAAATTAAGGAATTCAACTAATCCCTTCAACTGTCTAAAATATACTGACTTCTCAAATAGCAAAACCAAACTGTCCCTTCAAATAACAAAACTCAACTCTTACAAAATTAAAGAATTAAACTACTCCCTTCAAATAGCAACCCGTAACTGTCTAAAATATACTACCTCTCTCAGTTTCTAACACGCTCTTTTTATGTTTATTTTTTAAAGACCAGCAACATGAACCAAAACTTGCTTATTTCGTCTTTCTGTAACGAACCCTTAAGTGGTCGTCCAGATGGGAGTCATAAATTAATATTGTATAATAAACAAATAAAGAATGTATGGAAGTGAAACTTATACCCAACACCTAATACAATTTTAAAAACAAATATTTAAAATTAGTCTCATATTTCGTAAAGCTTAAAAATAATAAATTAAGAAATGTTAAAAATTAACTGCCCCGTATATCGTACCATTACAGTATTCGTCGGTGCCGTCGTTCAAGACATGACTAAGGTATGATTTAATTTCAGGTTTTTCTTCACCGTTTTATTTTTAATTTTTTCTTCACACTTTATGTTTATTTTAAACAGTACCATAGTAGGCAACTTTTACGTTTCTTGTCATTGAAAACTTACTTTTTTACTAATCCAATTAGGTATAGTTTTAACCTAGCAATAAAAAACTATTTAATTTTAGCAGTAGAATATAGATAAAATGTTAAATATTGATTTATTCTAGAAATAATAACAGAAAATTTTATGTAATGACATATATAGATCAATGTATCATATCATATATCATAGATATGGCAAGCTGTTTTAGCATTTATTAGATAATAGTTTGAAGATTTAAGTTGAGCACTAGTGATTTAAGTTGAGCACTAGTGCTCTAGACACTAAAGCTTGAATTAAGTTTTAACAGAAATTCACAAAGTAATTTTTTATAAACACAAAACAATTGATAGTCAAAAAATATTTTAAATAAAGAATGCAACTGTAAAATTTTAAGTTTAAATATATTGATTATTAAAAATTGTTCAAAATTATCGGTTCAAATTTGTAAATGGTCATTCTCACATTACATTTAAATGTAAGTTTTTGGATTAAAAATTTATTGATCATCATTTAAATCACTCTTTACAAACTTAAACCACAAATTTTTATTTTTAAGATTTTTAAATTGATACATTTTTAACACAAAATTTATAAATTTACATTTAAATTTAAGTCGATAATTTTTAATTTACAAAGTGTAAACGTAGCTTTAGCTTTAGTCTTTTTCTAAAGTGATCAATTTTGTGAGTTTAATCAGGGTGTCCATATGACCAGGCTGTTCGGTGCGGTGCTATTTTACTCTTAAACTTACGGTGTTTTTTTGAAACAATCTTTTAGTAAACTACTAAAAATGTTAAAAAATTGTATAAGATCTTCAAGTGAGCAGGATTGCGTGATTTTACTCAAGTTCAAAGAAGGGCATTATGAAAACATAATTATATGAGTTATTTCTTCTGTTTTGCAAAAATATGTATTTTCAATTGTTTTTTCTATTTTTTCTGTAAAATAATTTTAAAAAGGAAAAGTTTGTCTTGAAGGCAAAGGTACAGTGGCCACAAGTTTAATGCATAGTCCATAGCAAAAATATGTGGTCCATTATAATAGTCGGTGAAATGACTTTAAACGCATAATTTTGTTGAATAAAATATTAAATATACAATTTTTAAAAATGAATAATTTTAAACTTAAACTTTTACAGTTGCATTTTATATTTAAAATATTTTGTAATTATCAATTGTTTTGAGTTAAAAAAAATTAACTTTTTAAATTATTTTGGTGGAAAATGTTTTATTTGTGTTTTTATTTTAAATGTCTCAATACTATTTTTAAAACATAAAAAAATTAACTTTACCAATTTATTCTCAATAATTTTATAAAATATTTATTTAAGATTTACAAAATTCTGCTTGAGAAATTATTGTTATTAAAAATGATACTTTTTGCAAAAATTGATTAAAAATAATATTGTTTGAAACAGAAGTAAACTGTTAGTTAGTAAATTTCGTCTTTCAATACATGATAGTTGAAAATATGTTAAATTTATAAATGTAAACCCTAAAATTTTTAGTTAGGAAAATTTTAATCCAATAACATTTTAAATTCTTTAATATATGTTAAAACGGCGTGTTATACATAGATCAAGATAATTTAAAATAATATATTACACACTCTTTCTGAAGAATGTTCAGAGAGCAACTTTTTTTTTAAGACTCGCCTATATTGTGCGCTAATGTATTTTGCAGATTATTGTTGGTAAAAATTTACGAAAAGTAAAAAAAATCCGATTGAAAATATTTTAGTATAAAATTCGCGCATTTATTTAATTAAAAATTTTCAAATAATTTAAAAAAAATACAAACAAAAAGTTTTATAAATAAAGCGACAATAAATGGTACTATCGCTAACAAAAAAAAACTCATACAGCTTAAAAATCTAGTGTTCCTGATTTTCTATCATTTCGTTGGAGTAATTATGGCTTTTAACATGATACGTCACTTTTGAAAGGTCTAAAATTAAATACAAAGTTAGGTTGAAGTTTGAAAAAAAAATAATATTTCGTCATCCCTCTGTTTTTGTCAATTACTGCCCCCAAACGGCAAAGCATGGAAGTCGCCGTCTTGCTTTATCTCGTTCCAAATGGCTTCAATGGCTTGCCAGAGTTCTTCTGCATTGTTTGGTTGAAAATGTTGTTAAAAGTCATAATGGATGTGACAAAGCTCGATGTCAGCTTGACATTGACGGAAAAGTTTTATTCACACAGCCACAATATAGCTGTATGAGTTTTTTTTGTTAGCGATAGTATTTATTCGTTGCTACATTCAATAAATTATGCAAGATAATAAGATAATTGAATTGAAAATCACAATTTTAATTACCAAATGGTATTATTAATATTTAATTATTTTCTCCTTACCTTAGAGCTAAAAGACTTGGCGTCCCACTCAAAATGGCGCTCCTCCAAGCGGGATCGCCTTCATGCGAGATCACCAGCTCCTTCTGGTGCTTACAGATGCCGTCGTAGAGCGCCGGCAACTCCTCGTACTCGTCCGGCGACATAAAGTGATCCTGGTGGAGTTTCAGGGACATTCTTACCCCCGGAGCGACCACGGTCTTGAGCAGGTCCATGTCGGTGAACACCCACTCGTCGCGCGCGCACGTTATGCGAAAATCGCCCTTGAAAAGGGCATGCAAGCCGTAAAGGAAGAACTCCACGTTGGAGATGGTGTTGTGGGATACGGCGCCCAAAGTCCTTCGCCCTTAAAAAATATGCTTCCATGACGATAACCGAATTTGTGCGTTTTAGTCCCGGTATGAACTTAGCAACAACGGGATTCGGAATTTTTAATCACGTTGGCAATCATATGACTGAGATAAATGAATTTGTTAAATCAAAAGTTTTAGAAATGCTACGCCTTTTGATATTAAAACAAGAAACGTTTTGTTGACAAACTTAAATTTTACTTGCAACACTAAACGTATATTAAATAAATATTGTTAAGTACGTAATTTGATTAAATCATTTTTCCATTAGTTCCTTGTATCCACACACAAAAATTAAAAGGGGAAAAAATGGAATCGTTATTAGACAAATGGGGATTTGCCAACAAAATTGATGTTTTTAAAGGTAGGTTTATTTAATTGTAATCATTTTACCATAAAATAAAGTTTATAAGATAATAAGATATCATGATTTTTTTGAAAAAATGTACTATGCTCCATACCTCAAAGTCCACCACGTAACTACGTACGGAACGCAGTCTTTTGAAAATTTGGCATTTAAGGCTTTTCCGGGTATGTATCTGTCAAAGTATAGTCAACGAAAGAAATAATATTATGTATAAATCTTTATAACATTACAATAACAATGGATAGTTTAAAGGCGTATTCATGCTCACTAAGAATATAAATACTGCATTTAATGAAATTCTAAAGTGGAGTATTAAATATTTTCACATTGCAAGTTTCTCTAAAAATTGTTTATTTTCTTATAATCTAACTTAAAGTAGGTATTCCGAGAGGTAAGTTTTGTCATTAGAAATATAAAAGCTTCAATTTAATTTGAACCATATTCATTAACCTACCTTTGATACAGATATTCTTATTTCATAATAGAGAAGTTAGAGCATAGAGTTTTTTAATAAATGATGTTTAGTTAAAACTATTTTATGGAGAAATGTAGACCCAATGCACAAAAATATCACTTATATTGCACCTTACACTTTGGAATTTCATTAAATGCAGTATTTATATTCCTAAATTCTTAAACCAACCATTGTTATTGTGATACTATAAAGATTTATTAAATATTTTTTCTTTTATTGACTATACTTTGACAGATACATAGCCTAAAAAGCCTTAAATGTCAAATTTTCAAAAGACTGCGTTCCGTACGTGGTCACGTGGTGGGACTTGGAGGTGTGGAGCATAGTACATATATACAGCGTTTATTGTGCGATTTTTAACCGGATTTGTTTTAAAGAGACCTTGATAAACTGTATTTTTGAAGCAAAAAACGCCATATTTTTACAAAATTCAAGGCCTACCATGTCAGTTTTTAAGAGTAAATTTTTAAGAATTCATATTAGCGATTTTTTTAAACAAAATCTAAGCAAGCACTGGATTCACCAACCCTCAAAACGACCCTAAACTAAACTTTATTGAAATATTTTAAGAAAAAAAATGCACAATAATAACTACAAAAATTTATTTTGTCAAGTTATCCATTGAACATTGAAATAAAATTAAACTAATAGTAACATGATACTATTACTATAAGTTCAATTTTATTTCAATGTTTTTTTCATGGAAAACTTTTTTGTGGTCATTATTGTGCATTTTTTTTCTTAAAATTTTTCAATAAAATTTAGTATAGGGTCGTTTTGAGGGGTGGTGAATCCAGAACCGTGCTTAGATTTTGTTTAAAAAAATCGCTAATATAAATTCTTAAAAATTTATTCTTAAAAACTGACATAGTAGGCCTTGTATTTTGTACTAATATGGCGCCTTTTGCTCCAAAAATACAGTTTATCAAGATCTACACTTTAAAATAAATCCGGTTAAAATCGCACAATAAATAAAGATTTTACAGGGGTTAGTCGCAAACAAATGGGTCACACTGTATAATAGAACATGATATAATATATAATTTTGTTTTATTTTGCGTTCAAATAAATTTGTATTTTTCTAATACAGTTTTTTTAAATAAATTTGATATTTTATTTTACTTTTCCAGTTGGTTACCTATATTAACATACTTTTATATTTGGTTTAATTATCTAATTTTTTAAATAAAAAATTCTCTTAGAGTAAATTTTTTTTAAATCAATATTTTAATTATTTGATTTAATTAACAATTAATTTTTTAAACCTTTATTTATTAATCTAAGTAATTTTAAAGATTACAACTGCTTCAATGTTTAACATTTCACTAATAATTATTATGCTCCTCAATTATAATTGAGGAGCATCCGTGCAAAACCGGCTATATCCAATTTAATAAAATGTTGGGAAAATGGCAAAAACTCTCGGTTTCCTGGCCTTTACAGATAAAAAAAAGCAAACTTGAGTTTTGTGGGCTTTGTGGTACTTGATTTATAAGACATACTTTCGTTTTCAAAAACTTTATATTAAGGCCAAAAAATGTTTTGTATATAGCCGGTTTTGCTCAAAAACCGAATAAAATGTGAAAAAAAACCTTTTTATTCAAAAATATTAACAAAATAAATTTAGTGCAAACATGAAAAAACAGAAGAAATTTTAGTAGTAGTATCGACATATCCAAGCCACATGCTCATCATCATTATTATTTATTGGATATAGCCGGGTTTGCTATAAAAACGTGGATTTGGCCGGTTTTGCTCCTAAAGCTACCTTTTAAATGTGATTTTAACATGGATATAGTCGGATTTAAACAGAATTATCTTGGTTGTCGATAGAAATGAACCCAAAGATGCGAAATCAGAAAAAAAAACAAAAACTGAATAAAATGGATTTAGCCGGTTTTGCACGGATGCTCCTCAATTGTGCATTAAATTAATATTTTTAATAAGTTGATTTAATATTACAATAATATTATTTTATTAATCCGTGTATTTTATTTTAATATTTTCAGTTGTTGGGCCAAAAAAAGTTTTAAATGTTAAAATTTAATTTAATAATTTTAATTTCTTAAAACAAAATTTTTATTTTGTAAAATTGATTAATGGTTCTATTAACTCCAAGTTAACATTGTTTGTATTAAATGTGCAAAAACTGTTAATTAAACCATTTTTTCCTTTCAGTATACAATTCATCTATACAATCTGTTTTGAGGTAAAAATATAGTGCCGTTCTTGTAAAAAATGCTCGGAAAGATGTATTTTTGTGTTCGTTGTAGAAAAAGTATAGACGTTTCTTAGGGATCTTCACTCGTGCCTAATAAAAACTCATGCCGAAAATGCCGTTCATAAAACTCGTTGCATAATATGTGATTAATTTAAATTATATAGACAATTATTTATAAAAGTAAGACTCACCTAGCAAACTTAATGCAAAACACAGCAAAACCAGTGTCGAATTGGCTTCGCATTCGACGTTTTTCTCAGTCTTTTCCACGCAGTAAGCGATCCATTCCCCATGTACTTGCATAAACATGTTTTTGGTCATGCCGCTGTTTTGAACGTCGAAGTCTTCGTCAATTTTAGCATTAAAAACGGGATCCAAATCTACGAAATTTCGTTGTTCTATCGGTTGCAATGCCTTCAAAATTGTTTGAGATGACAGCCATTCTTCCAACTTTGGCGACCTTACAGTGTAAAATATAATACTCTAAAAAAAGTCATTAGAATTTAAATATATTTTGAATGGAAATTTCTACCTTAACATAATAGGAAACCAAAACCTTTCTAAACTCGAAAACTTGTAACATCGATACAGCACTATTATCGGATATGCTGTATCCCTCAAGGATGTATTTTGAGGCCGTTACTTCCCACGCGAGCCACCTTTGACTGAAAGCCGCGTTTACACTTAACATATTCGGTAGATGACCAGTATCACAGCAACAACAACCTAAAAACGTAATTTAAAAAGATAAATATAAATATATTAGAAAAAAAGTAGCTTTGTCATATTGTGAATCCGGGTGGTCAAGTTGTTTACTGAGGTTACCACGCACCAAAATGCATTAGTTTTAAAATTACATAAAAGCAAACTTCGTTAGACAAAAAAATAAAAAATAAACCTTTTTAAAAATATTTGGGGTAAAACTAAACTTTAGGTCATAAAACACAAACAATTTAATAATAATAATAATAATAAACGCCTTTATTGAAATAAGGAAATACATTATTCCAAATGGCGGAATATGGGTATGTTTCCTAACATCACCTATGTTAAAGGCTATTCTGTTTCGCTTATGTTTAAACTCTCGACCTTGGCTCGTTCTGAACAGCGATAAATGTTTTTAGAACAAATATTATCTTAGTTTTATAACCTAAAAGTGTGTTATATTTTGTTAGAAAAATTTTCGGCTGTAAAAATACATATTTATTGTAAAAATCATTCATATTATGATTATTATTTAAAATGATCTTAAAAAAAAATAATTTTTGAGATAAAATAAGGTTTCTTCAAAAATTCACAAATTCTAAAAAATACGTGGAAAAAGCTTAACTAGCTCTCCTGGCTGGACATTAAGTCCATCCCTGAATGGAAAAGGATAGAGATGTTAAAAAAATATAAAAAACATGAAAAAAACTTTTTTTTTGTTTTTTAATAAAGTATATTTTGTCAACATTAAATAACATTAAATAAATATTAATTGGTTCAAAGTTCTTGCTGTTTACTTGTTGACTTGAGAAAAAAAAGTAAATATATTTTTGTAGGAAATTTAGTCTTCTGCAAAAAAGTCCAAATTTTAAAATTTTTAATTTCGCATATCTCTTAAAATAATAATTTTAGAGATTCAACTTTTTGTGGAAAACTAAATATTTTATAAATAATATATTTACTTTTTTTTGTGGCCAACCGTTTACAAGTTCTTGTTAAAATTTTAAATTATATTTTACTGCTAGTCTAGCAGTAAAATATAATTTAAATTTTAACAAAAACTTGTGGTTTTCTTTGCGGAAAGGGGACCAAAGGCCCAAATTTATGCTTGATTGTATTAATAAAGGAAAGTCTAAAAAAAACATAAAATGTAAAAAAAAACTTTTGAAAAAAAACGTTGAAACACAATCTAAAAAAAACAAAAAAACGGATGTTTTCTAGAAAAGGGCAATTTTAAAATAATTATTTTTTTTGTAATTTTTATACAGACTTTTAGAGACTGTGAGGAATAGTGCAAGAAAACGCATTTTCAACACGGAGCAAAGTTTGGGACCCAGAAAATCAACTCAATGACATTGAGAACTTGTTTGACTAATTTTTTGCCTTTATTTTTGTTTAATAATATTACATAGATAATTAAGTATTTTTTTATTAATAAAATTTATTTTTATTTCACTAATGAAATACCTTTCAGACACCCCTGCCCCTTATCAGATATTGTCACAGTCTTGACCTCCCCCCAAGTTTACACGTCACACTAGGATTTGTTTTAATTTTCTGTTTTTTCTTAATATAATTAATTTTATTTAACAATTTTTAGTAGAGCGTAATATGTATTTATTATTATTTATAAAATATTATTAATAACAATTAAAAAATACTAATCACAAAAGTATTTTTAATATTGCAATTTTTTTTCTTTTATATTTTTATAAACGACTCCTATTCTTAATAATAAATACTTGAATATTAATAATTAATATGTAGTTAATAAACATGAATGTTTAGTTTGGTCAATACAACACAAATTGACTGGTCATAAAAACATGAATATAATATTTTCTATATATTCATTATTTGATATGCCGGTTTTACGCAAGTTTGAATAGAACTGTTATTATAATAGTACTTACCATCATTTTCTTCTACACCTTCCGTAATAGCCTCAACTTCTCTTTGTTGGCAGTAGGTGCCCCTAAACTCTAACCCTCTCATCTGGAATGTCACCAAACCATTGCCCAGCTCTATTATGTGCACCAAACAGTTGAGATAATCGGACGCCAATACAAAGCAGTCTCCCTGATTGACTGGCCCCCATCGACCCATTACCAGATCTCCGCACAAAGAATGCTGCAACGATCTGGTGAGATGTTCGTAGAAAATCGAATTTAAATTGTTATCGTCTGCGCCCAAATTTCTGTCCAAATGCGAAGATAGGGGTGTATTTGAATGATCCACGCGGCGCGTGTTGTAGTCCCTCTCCCAAAATTTCACCGGTCGTACGTAGGATGTTAAAAATATGGCGCTGCCCAGGAATGGATTTAGAGGTGTGGACAAAACTGCAGATATGAACGCTTGGAGGAACAACATTGCGGAATGAGGTACTGAAAACGGTTGGGCGAAGGCGTGGAAGGCCGATCCCCAGGTGATTTGCCAAGGTGCTATGTAGGTAACCACGAATTGAACCTAAAGAAGATGCATGCTTTATTTCATACAGACTGTCTAATGAGTTTTAAGGCTGGGGCTTATAACAATGCCAGGCCCGGGTAATGGCCCCTAGCAATAGTTCCAAGCTAATAAACATTTTTAATGCAAAAATATGTATCTTGTTTACCAAAAATTGTTTCAATTGCTTTAATAAAATAAAATATCGGGTGTTGCAAATACTCTTCAAAACTCGACCTAAAATTTGTCAAAACTCGCATGGAATACCAGCCATTTTTTTTTTAATTGGTCTATTGAGACTTATTTGTAGTCATAAATACAACTTTTTTAATATTTCCAAGGCCTGTAAATTTACGGGAAATATTCGGATTTTAAAGCCCTTATTAAGGCCGAATTACAGTCTTTACAATATTTCTTGGATTCAAGTTTTATTGCTGACTGTAATAATACATATACAATAATTCCAATTATTGCAACTTAAAACTAAAAATATCTATATACAGTGTGTCCACGGATGGACTTAACTATACTTTCTTCTGCTTGTTATATAAATACCAGTCACGATGAGAAACTTCTATTTTGTTATACAGGGTGCGCAAAAAAAATACGATTGTAGATTTTGCAAAATTTAAAATGTTAAATGAAGGTCTAATATGAAGAGCTTGTAAGGAGAAACCAAAAAGCCAAATAAAATTTTTTAATGTGAGTTGTTGTTACTAAGATATTTGTTATTAAAAATAAAATCAATTAAGGCCCTAACTTGAGTCACTCAAGTTGAGTGGTCCTATTATTTTGTAGAAATGAATTTTAAGTCTGTTTTTTCATAATTGATTTTATGATGTAACGGAAATTTTGTCTTATATTCTGAAAATATTATAATATACGTATTTATCTATTCCTATTGCATAATATTGTTTTTTTCGTGAATAACGATTAACATTATAAATTTCCTGCCTAACAATGGAAATAATAAACTTATTAATCACGTTGTTAGGCATCAGTGATTGGCCAATTTCAATATTCACTGTGATTTAAACCAATCAGGTTTTAAAGGGGAAGGGGACTATAATAACATTTAAAACTGGTAAAAAGTGAGGTAAACCATTTGACAGATGTGAGATTTTATTTATTTATATTTTAAAATCATTGAAAAATGTACTTATAGTATTACACTCAAGATTATTATAATACCCTTTTTTCTACAAACTTCTTACTTTAGGTCACAATAACAATATTATTTTCAGGAAACAGGACAAAAATGGTGTCAAACTGACAGATACTTAACCTCAATTATTTGGAAAAAATACTTTTATCCGAAATCGGCAGTAAAGTAGTCAACAATCGGCAGTAAAGTAGAACTTTACTGCCGATTTAATACGAGTATTGTATGCAACCCATTATACATTTTAAGATGTGTCTACTGCTCCTCAGCAGCAACTAAATAATATTTTAAAAAAAGCACCGTCGCGGAGGTCGATTAGACCCTTTCATAAAATGTTGTTTAATAAAAATAATAAGTAATTTTAATTTTATTAATTAGATTAAAAAATCACCGCGGCGGGCAAATATATAATAACCGTAGCAACAAACAGTATACGTACATTCAAATGACATTTGATTTAATCATCAATATTAATTATTAGTGTTATTAAATGTGATTTCGGATAAAAAAAATTCGTGAGAAAAATTACGACTTTACTGCGTTGATACCTAAATAACTATAAATTACATTATTATTTAATTGTATTTAAACAAAAAATATCTCAATCGTGACATATTTTGTGTAAAATTTTTAGCTTTTAGATTAAAATATAAAATTTAAAATAAAAATTACCGTGATGACATAATAATAGCATTTTTCACTTTAATAATAATAATTATTCTTTAAAGAATGAATATTTTTATTAAAGACAAAAAAACATGTTTGTCGTTTTATCAATTTTTATATCCAAATAAAAAAACGAAAATCATTACTAGGCAAGTACTTAATATTAAGAGCTCAAATCTTCAGTAAGTCATTATTTTAATGTAGAAAAATTTCTTGGGGTCATACTTCAATTTGTGGAATTACTGATATATTGTGTTATAGACAAAACAACACATTAATTTAAGTTTTTTCTGTATCTGGATAATTTTATTTATATGAGAAAATTTTAAATAGTGAATCAATTTTAATGATTTTTGGGAGTTTGGAGTTCACTATATTATTAATTGTTTCAGTGTTTTAAGGGTTTTTTTTAACTTCCAACTTGTCTTACCTTTAACAGCAGTTCATGTAGCTTATGGAACACAATGCTCATAAGAAAGTACTCAAATAAGAATGTCATCTGAAGGTAGTTGTAGTCGTACTTGAAAAATAAGGCAGTAAATGTCAATATAAGATACTGAGAACTCTGGTCGGAATAGCTTTGCCTCAGGCATTTCAAACCGCAAACCACTGTGATTAGCGAACCCAAGAGCAACCCATATTGCTTTGCCATTTTTGGGGAATCTTCGGTTAAAGCTGAGATAAAAAGTAGCGGGTAAATTATGTTCCTTTCAATGAAACACAGATACACATACGCCTAAAAATAAAAGATTCTATAATAGTAGCACTTTACATTTGTTAAATAAAAATATTACCCCTTCAAACCACATAACTTTAGCAGGCCCTCTTATATGATACTGATCGTGTTCATGCGATCTAAACACCGGCCTCGCTATGCACAACCATGGTAGTTGTTTTCTTAACTGCGGTATGATGTAGTGCAAAATAAAACCTAAGGTGCCGGCCATCAGCCATAACACTGGGCTTAATTCCGGTTGTAACACGGTGAAAACGGTGCTGGCGTGAATACCGCAAGTAAAAACGGCAACAAGGCTGCATAGTATAACGTCGTTCGTAAGCCGGGCGTTTACGGTTTTTTGCAGTTTTCTTGGCAAAGGATCCACGTGATCTTCTTTGGGGTTTTTGACGTCGTTATGTTCCTCGAACTTGACGTTCCTTTCTTTATCTTTTTCTTTGTGCTTGTCTTTATCTTTGACTTTTTCGACTTGGACGTCGGTTTTAATTTTTTCCAGTTCCAGAGTTTGCACGTGTTCTTTGTACAAATCCGGAGGCCACAAGTGTTTTTTGAGCAGAAACCATACGTTCGAAGGATCGCTAGCGCTTCGGCTTAAGTGGTAAGACGAACCGACCAGGCAGGCACAAAATATCGAAAACAGTACATGCTGCGAACTCTTTTCCTCGCAAAGGCCGCCGTACGCAAAACCATACAACGCCGTGACCACAAAAATAGAGCGGAATACGCAGTAGAAAGCGCCAATGAGGCTTCCCATCGCGTTTCCGCCGAAAATATGCATATCGATTTGTTCGAGAAGATACAAAATGAAAGTGTTGATTTGTGGGAATAATCCAAAGGAAAACAGTAACGGAAAACTCAATAAAAAGTTGATAAGAAAATCTCTCACTAATAAAAGGACCATTTGGTCGTTAACAACGGCTAAATCGTAGCCTTTTTCAACAGTCTCACTTTTTAAATTTGAATGGGTTATAAGGATTAAAGCACAATTTATACAAAAATAAATTGGGCGTGAATAGGCTATGATTTTGTTGAAGCCGTGGGTCGGCGATGCGGCATCGGGTTGCACGCTTTTCAACAAGGAATACTGACAGCTGGCGATGATAAAACAAAACACAAAGGCCAACAGGTCTTGATAAAAATTCATGTAGAGTAACACAGCACCGAAAATAGAGACTAGAACAGCCAAGAGGACTGACAATACGGTTTCCGTCATTGTGAGGTTGCGATCGAGCAAAGCTAGCAGTTTCAGACGGTCGGCCGTCACTTTGACGTAAGTCCAGGGGGAAATTTTAAATTTGTAGTAGGTTTTTAGTTTTGGCAAGTTATTGTTTGACGTGTCGACCGGCTGGAATTTAAATCGGTGACGTAAGTTTGGATCGTTGTCGTTTTCGCCCCTGACTATGCTAAACCTGAAATAAATAAATCCAGAAATACTAGGCTGTATGTTATTTACCAAGTTGTTTTTTTTTTCAACAGTGCCCACTACATTTTTAGTTCAAATCCTACAATAGCAATGTATGAAGTTTGATAAACGTCATTTTAGTCACGAATTTAATTTAGACACGAGCGAGCAAGTGCTTAATTAAATGAGTGGCTAGAAAAGTTTATAAACCAATTGCATACTATACTTTTCTACGACAAATACCTAATATTATCTAAAAATGATTTAAATTAAATATTTGTATAGAGCGACATCTATAAAATAATAGAGTTATTATATATTTATATATACAAAAAAAAATAATCGACGGTTTGATAATCGATTATTTTGCCAACCCCTAGTCAAAAGTATATAACTGAAAAATGTTAAATTAAAAATTAGACTTTGTAATGTCATAAAAAATAAATAAAAATAATTTAACGGGGTGGGTGTCAAAAGTTCTGGTCTGCGTAATCGAATTAATTTTTTAATACTTTTGTAAAAAATTGGCAAATTTACATAAAACCTCTTTAGAGTATTTTTTTAAGTCTTATTTTTAAAAATATCCAGGTGTAAGGTCCACCTACCCTTAATACGTAATTTTTAATAAAACCTAATATTAATAAAAGTTAAAATAAAGTTGGGCTCAACTTTTACTATGAATAACTTTCGAATAAGTAATTTTATCGTAAATTTGTAAGAAAGCTTTTTTGTAGAGCGTTTAATTTTCGACAAAAATATGTATTGAAAATGTCTGTATATTTATCTGTTTATAAGAAAAATATTAAAATATAAAAAGTAAAAAAAATTCATGTTATTTAAAGGATAAATGAATTGTGTTTTTAGCAAGGTTTAATATTAATATTAGGAACTTTTTGGTTTTATATATTTTTTAGGGTATGAACTAAAAATTTAGGGGGCGCTGTTGGAAAAGAAAAAAAACAACTTGGTAAATAACGGACACCCTAATAAATACCTACCACGAAAATTTAATAGATGGCAAAAAAAATATTTTATATACAACTTAAACTAAAACTAGAAATCATTATGGCGCGCCGTTTTACTTTTTAATCGGACAAATATTAAGTTAAATTTTAAAGAAGTAATTATTTTTTAAAAGTTATTTACATAAGATGTTTAATTATTTATTTAATGTAATATTTAAGTTAATATTTCCAATACAATTAAAAAGTTAAACGGCGGCATGCCATAATTAATTTTATGTGTACGCATAATTTTAATTCTAATAAAAAATGGTAAAATTAATTATATGTGTACACATAAAATTAATGCACTAAATTTTTATTTTGTTATTATTATTATTATATATAATAAATTTTTTTTTTTATTAATTTAATGTTTACAGATAAAATTATATAATTAATTTTATTTCTACACATAAAATTAAGTGAGGCCAAAAGTGCCAACTGCAGTAGTTCAATTTAATTTATCTACGTCATATAATGTCCTGATGTAGATTTTATATATTCGATATATAAGCTATTTTATTGAGTGTAGTCACCAGCTAATTTTTGTGCTGGGAATCCAATTTTTTTCCTCCTAGGTCATGATATGCAGAAATTCAATTATTTTCTTTTATTGACAAAAAACATAATACAGAGAGAAGAACAAAACCCGAATCTCTCCGCATATTGGCGCCAAAGTTGACGTAGATAAATTACATACTATGCATTTAAACTACTGCAGTTGACACTGCCCTGCCAAGGATTGTGTGTAAAATGATTTTACTAAAATCCTTGCTGCACTGCCGCATTCCCAAAGCGCCAAATTAATTTTATGTATAGACATAAAATTCATTATATTGTCACGAAATAAGAAAATATTATTTATTGATTTATTTATTTTACTTTATTTTAATATAATAATTATTTTCCCACATAAAAGCAACAGGAAAGTTTCAGATTATTGCAGATTATTTGATTCTCAAATAGATTTACGTGGAAATCTATTTGAGAATCAAATAATCTGATTGGGTAATTGGGTAAAAAATTAAAATATATCATAAAAAATAATTATTATTATGCCTAGACATAATAATAATGTGCTATTTTTCCTATCTGTTTCCATTAAATTTAAATGAAATATATGTTTGACATAATTTTATTTCTTTATTATTATGTCAGACATAATTAAAATTAAACTTACAACATTTACGATTAAAAAGTGAAATGGCAGAATAAATGTAAATTTCTTTAAAAATCAATGCAAAATTCAGACTCACCTATCGTCCACCATGGTCATAATATCCATCTCCCACAAAATCCTCCTTAACCTGTGCGAGGACCGCGGCAGAGACCGCCTGCCCCTGGCCACCTGAACCGCGTGCGACGCGCCGGGCTCCCTGGGTCCGGGAATCTGGACGCACGGCGGATGGCATCTCAAGCCGTTCGCCTGCTCGAGCACCGTGGACGCGGAGCCGCCGCTGTTGCTGTCGTCCCAGCCGGGCTCCTCGCGCGACTGCCGGCGCGACGCGGGCTTGGCGGAGCGCGAAGTGACCGGCGTGTCGCTGCGGCGCCGGTTCGAGGCGATCGCGGCGTGTTGGACGATCGGGTCGTAGTAGGCGGGCAGAGAGGTGTTCGCAGTACCTAAAATCAGAGTTGCGAGATTTGTAATTAAAAAGTATTGCCATTAGAATATTTAAGTTACTTGAGAATGGAGAAAATAAAAATTATCAATACATTGTATTTTTTACTCTAAATTGATTTAAAGTAAAAATACAAAAATAATTATACTTATTAATTTGAATAAATAATATTTTTTAGTACTTTGTAATGCAAAAAGTTAAAAGTCAAAGTAAAAAATTGATTGTACTTAAAATATAAATGAAAAAACAAGTACCAAGAATACATCGTCCTTCAAGTCATTGTATATTGTAAATAGTTTTAATCAGAATCTAAAACTATCTTTATGCATATATTTAATATAATTGATAATCCTTTTTACAAATATTTTAATTATTGACATGTAAGTATTTAATATTTGTTATCAACCATTGTATTGTTACTTTAAAGTTTAAATTAAACTATTAATTTTATCATTATCATGTTAACATAACCTTATAATAATTTTACATATTTTTGTAGTTTGCCTGAATATGATCTAATTTAGATCGAAACTAGTCGCAATAAAAACATAAACAAGCACGGAAGTATCCTTATTCACCATTCTAATCAAATAAAAAAATATTTAGAATCAGTAAACATTTTAAGTTAAAATAAAAAGTACTTGATATAAATATCAAGTACTTTTTATTTTAACTTAAAATGTTTACTGATTCTAAATATTTTTTTATTTTAAATTTTCTCTGATTATAATTACAAAATAAAAAAAAAATTGTAATTATCAAATTGGTAAAGTAAAAATAAAAAGTACTCAATATTTTTCTCGCATTACAATTATAAAATCAAGTAATAATTAGGAATGATAGCATAATCCATTAAAAAAAATACTCAGTACTCCCAACTCTGCCTAAAATGGATATTGGGACGTGCTATTTTTTTTTGCGTATTTGGAATCTACGCTTCGATGACTTTAAAGAGACTGCGTGACGTCACGATACTGTTTGGTGTAACAGGCATGTCAAGACTTACGAATGAAGTTTATGCAAAAATTAAATTTATTATACCTACATATTTTCTATCAGGGTTGGCATGAATTAATTCAGTAATTTAATTAGGGAATTAAATTAAATGACTTATTTCAGAAAATGATGGTTTGCCAAAAAATTTATAGAATTTTGATTAAGATTCAATCTTAAGGCTTTGGTTACAATTTGATTTTATTTTATTAGAACTATATTCTATTAGAACTATATCGCTATATTGCTTAGTTTTGGGAAATTCAAAAATTGATATTTAAAATAGAAAATCTTAAAATGTCTCAAGTTATTCGTAAATTAAATATTTTCCGGTGTAGGGTGTTCTAAAGTAAAATAAAAATTTTGTAGTTGAAAAGTGAAATAATTACGGTGAAATTATTTAAAAAAATCGTTAAAATGGATTTTTTATTTAACTTATGTACTATGCTCCACACCCAAAGTCCCACCACCTGATTATGATACAAATAATTAAGGTTAATTTTTTCTAAAGCTAATTTTGTCCTGTTTTCAGAAAATAATGCAATATATCTATGTATTGTGTATTTGTATAAAGATTTTAGTTTAGAACACAAAAAAACATACATTGTACTATTTTTAGAAAATAGGAAGAAATTAGCTCGACACTGACAGAAAATTAAGCTTAATTATTTGTATCAGTCACGTGGTGGGACTTTTGGGTGTAGACCATCTGTATGGTGTGGGCCATATTAAAGTATAAATATATTTTAAACAAATTAAAGACATTTTTTATTTTTAAGTTTGTATTTTGTAGAGAAGGATAAGCCTTTTATATAATACTCATAAATGCTCGAAAAGCACTCGAGAGCTTTTAAAATGCTCAAACATTTTAAACAGTGCTCAATATTTGATTCTCTTGCCAAAACTAAAAAGCGAGATTTTACAATGCTCATAAATTTTAAAAAGTGCCAGATATTTTTTTAAATACATTTTCTTATCACAATAATTATTGATTAAGGCGTTTAAAAATTCTCGAGCATGCTTGCATTTATTAGCATTTAGCATTAGCATTAAAAGTGCTCGAGCATCTTCCATCTCGAGTTTTAAATGTGTATTAAAAAGTAATTTAATTTAAAAATATTAATGAATTAAAAAAAGTCTGAATTGATTCAAAAAGTTTGACATATTTTTTAAAAAGTCGTGACTTTTTCCAACCCAATTTTTACATTAAAATTACAAATTAAATGGAAATGTAGATAAATGTGGATGTTTTCATGTTAAACTTACTTTTTTTCAAAATTCCCAGGAATAACGAAGTTATAGCGATTTTTTGTTTTGACAGGTTTTCAGTTTTTATTAATTATTTGTTTATCCAATGCCATTTTAATAGACTTGTAATTACACAACTTTTCTCTTTAAAAACTGTACTGTCAAACAACATCTTGGCCAAATTATTATTTTTTTATTTATAACCTTAATCTGGCCCTTATTTAATAAATTAGTCCTCTTTCAATGGGTCTTCAATATTGTGCTTAGTTTAATTATGACAATACAAAAAAAATTGGGATAAAATACAAATATGTTAATAAAATAATTTGAACATTTTGAAAATGTTGTTGATGCCCGGAGTTTTGGCAATTTTTCCGAGGTATCTGAAAAATTGTAAATTTTCTTTTTTTGATATATACTTTTTTAATTTTATTAATTTTATTTCTCTTATAATATTATCTAACTAAATATTTTAACATGAAAAATGAAAAATTAAGGTAAAAATTATGTATGTAAAACTTTTTAATAGTAAAAAATAAGTCATCTGTACTCCTTAATCTCTTATTATTATTATTCTTATTACTATTGTTATTATTAATATTAAACTTGTAAAACCCTTCACATAAATAAAACTCATAGATTCACTTTTGATCTGCATGCTAATATTTCCGTGTTGTTTTTCGATCTGGTCCAATTCCAATAGTTTAATAAGAAAAGAAAACGTTCTTACCATTTCCCTTTTCCTCAAAAGTATACGTAATCCAGTTGCCTTCCTCGTCCATGAAACAGTGCACGCTGCCGTCGCTGGTGTCGTTAAAGTTTTTGGCCGTGTGCGTGCCCATGCCCGCGTTCAACGTTCCCGTCACCGCGCTCTCCCTTTTCGCCCCGGGGCGGTCGTTGTTCTTCCTGCGCGTCGCGCGCTGCCTTCTCGGTCGGCTGGAGGCGGACGGCGCGGTTTCCGCGACGGAGGCGCCCTCTTCTGCCGCGGCCACAGCGGCCGCGCAGGCCAGATCGGGGCGGTTGTTCAGGAAAACCGACAGCAGCGGCGGCGGGGGCAGGAGGGTGCTCAGTTCCGTGTTGGAGCTCGAGGACGAGGCTTCTTCGCTACGCATTCTCGGCGGTTTCGGTTCTTAAAGCGAGATAAAGGTAAACTTTTTGAATTTGAACAGCACTATGATTGAAATATTAAACGACTTACCTGTAGGAAGTTTAATATAAATTATATGAGTATCTTCTCCTCCAAATAGGTTCATACGAGTAGTTACATTAGATGTTACCTAACTTGAGCACATTGTATGATTAACAAAAGGATGATTAATAACTGATACCTGCCGCCTAATAACCGATATTCTATTCATAACATTAAATGTAGGTTGCATAAAAAAAACAAAAAACTGGGGTGGGTTTTAAAATACTTGTATATATATATATATATATATATATATATATATATATATATATATATATATTAATTTTAGGATATTATCATTTTTTGGGTCAGGGTTAGAACCTATTTGGAGGAGAAGATACTCATATAATTTATATTAAACTTCCTACAGGTAAGTCGTTTAATATTTCAATTATATCTCGTATCTTCTCCTCCAAATAGGTTCATACGTGTAGATGTTTAAAGGATAAACCTTTTTTTTTTTTTTTTTGAATTCTTGGATTATGTTATACGTTAGAAATAAGGCATGTTTTAATTCACAAAATTTAAGTTTCAACTTAGCAGGAACCAATGTTTTACATTTAAACTTATTATACCTTAAGTAATATACACGTTCTGTAACTAATATAGTTTTAATTATATGAAAAAGAAAGAACAAAACACTTAACCTATAATAAATTGTCTAACAAATCTGAATTAGTTGCTAGTGGTCTATTATAAAACTTTGCAAATACTTCAGATTTTTTGGACCACCCTGCTTTATCTTTTATAGTATTGATATTAATCCCAGTTCTAAGAGCAGCGGAAGTAGTGGCGTGCCGAGTACTATGACTCTTAAATAAGTTTATATCAATACCACTTGCTCCTAAAATTGTTTTAATCCAGCGGCTTATTGTCTGTGCTGTTGTTTTATGATGAGGCTTTTTAAATGTTAAAATTAAATATTTTTCTTTATTTCGCAATTCCTTTGTTACACTAATATATCTTTGTAAGGTGTATACGAGACATAATTCTGGATTAGAATCAAACTTTTTAAACTCTAACAATGGTTGTTGTTTATTATAGCCTGAAGTCTTAATATCACTAATAATAATACTCAACCCGGTTTCTGTTTCAATAATATTGTCCAATTTAATTTTTGTTATTGTTTGAACTCTTTGTGCTGATGCTAGGGCAATCAAGGTTACTAATTTCTTTGTTAATTTTTCAAGATTTAATATTTCCAAGGGATATAATGTTTTTAAATACTCTAGGACTTGGTGAGGGTCCCACGTAGATTTATATCTGGGAAAATTTGGTTTCAATTTAAAAACGTCTTTTAAATATCTTTTAATAATTAGGTCGTCTGAGCTGTTAATATTTAAGATTAGGGATAATGCTGATTTATGTGAGTTAATAGAATTATATAACACATGATTCTCAAAAATAGTATTTAAAAAGGACAATATTATAGGTAAAGAATTTGTAAATATATTAACATTTTTTTTCTCGACAGAAATTAACCACTTACGATATGTTCCAGTAACGGACGGGACTTTGTAATAGTCCCGCCCGTTACGCTTTAAATTATTAATTTTTAAGGAATTAAACAGTCAATCACGATGCCTAATTTTACCAAATAAAAACCTTGTTAAACAGCTTTTGTTTAGAACTATTTATAAAAAGTTGACATTGGTAATATAATAGAACAATATTATTTTGTAAATAAAAACACGGCAACTGTCCTATGCGTTAAGCGTGGAATGGCCCTTTACCTAAAACTGAAACAATATTTTCAAATGCCTGTCTTTTTACGGAATACTCTGTCTCAGTGTTAATTTTTCTTGATTCTCTGTCTGCAATTTTATTATCGGCAGAAGCTATATAAGAGGCGAAGATAATTATATTTCTATTTTCGCACCATTGCCATATTTTTGTTGTCAGCAAATTAAGGTTTTGAAATTTAATACCGCCCATTCTGTTCACATAAGAAATTGCGGTGGTATTATCCACTCTTAAAAGTATATTACAATTTTTTTCTTTATTTGCAAAACATTTTAATGCATAATAGACAGCTAGTAACTCTAGATAATTAATATGGTATTTGCTTTGTCTTTCAGACCAAAATCCATGCGTTTTTTCATTGCCACAGCATGCACCCCATCCTGTTTTAGATGCATCTGTATAGATCTCCATTATAAAGGATTTTGGTTAAATATAATTAAAGCTCTTTAATAAATTATTTTTCCACCAATTTAAATCATGGTAAATATTAGAGTTAATATTTATTTTTGTGTTGTAATTTCCGTGAGATTTTTTCAATGCTAAATATTTTTTCCGTTCAATGCGTTTCGTGTAAAGCCAGCCATATTGAACGGTTGGACATGCAGAAATTAAGAGGCCTATTATTTGAGAAAGTTTTTGGATCGAAATTCTTGTTTTAGCTTTTAATAAAATGTCAATAATATTTAAGATATTTTGCTTCTTCTCCAATGGTAATAAAATAGTTAAATTTCTACTATTATATATAAAACCTAAATATTTACATTCCCGGGAAGGAATTAAATTACCTTTTAAATAATTAATTATAAATCCCAATTTTTCAATTAACGAACAAACAATCTTTAAGTTAATTCTTGCCTCTTCAAAGTCTTTGCCCAGGACTAAGATATCGTCTAAGTATATAGAAATCTGTATACCTCTGGACATTAAATGGTTAACTGCAGGTTTTAATATCTTTGTAAAGATATAGGGTGCTGAACATAATCCGAAAGGAAGACAATTATATTCATATAAAATATTATTAAATTTAAAACGTAAATATTTTTTTGAACATTTAGCAATAGGAACCATATAGTAAGCGACCTTTATATCTATCGAGCCCATAAAAACATTTTTTGTAATTAAGCTACTAACAGATTTATAATTTTCTAATTTAAAATGAGGTGCTGTCATAAACTCGTTAAGTTTCTTTAAATTTAAAATAAATCTATTTGTTCCATCTGGTTTTGGTACCATAAAATAACTTGAAATAAATTCGTTTTTCTCATGTAAACATTTAAATATTACTTGTTTTTGAATAAGTTCGTTAATAGCTAAGCTATAATTTAATATTTCTGATTTGGAGATGTTAGTCTCTCTAGGTAAATAATATTGTTTGGGTGGTTTATTAAAGTTTAATTTATAACCTTAAACCCAACTTAAAATAGTTTTGTTGTTGGTTAATGTCAGCCAATTTTTATAAAATTTCTGCAGCCGACCAGCATAAAGTTGAGAACTTATCACTATTTCCGTTGACGATTTCGTTGATATCCTTGTTCCTTTCTTCGTTCTTTTTGTTCCCTTCTCTGAAATCGAGGTTCGTCCGCTTGCTTCTTCTTGTATTTTTTGAACTGGCGCTGAAAGTTTAAATTATTCGTGCTAGTTGATGGTCTTTGGTTGTTGAAAGGTTTGTATTGGCTAGAAGTGCTAGCTCGTAGTTCTCTACCCGTTTTTTGTTGATTTTGAACAAGTTTGAGGGTTTCTGCAAATTCCTTTCCACATAAAAACTTATCGGTTTTGCTTGTTTCCATTATTTTTTTACGGTAGCATTAACCATTGGGTAGATCTGGTATTTTATATGATTTGATAGCGAGTTTAATGTACCACACAATATCTTGGCTGCATCTGTCATACCCGATACTACTTTATCTTGTATTTCCTTAGATTGTATTTCGTCTTTTAAAAGCGAGTTTAACGGATTTGCGATAGCACATATACCTTTTACAATTTCGATTTGCAACTTTTCGCAAAATTTATCCTTTTTCTTGTTACTTTCAGATAAACAAGAAGAGATTTCGGGATTTAACTCCCTTTTAATAGTTACACGTTTTTTGGTATTTTATATTTTGATAATAACTCAGCCTTTCTTTCTTTTTCTATACCCTGACTTATATAATTACTCCATCTAGAGGCCAAATTTGGTATAATTTCCTGGCCGTAATCGTCATCTTCGTTCGCAGGTTCTTTACCAAGAAGTTCTAAATAATGTGGGTTTATTTCAGCCTCTACCTGTATAACATTTTCAGGTAATTTTTCTTCTGGTAATTTTAAGTTAGGTGATGATTCATAGCTATACGACTCGTAAGTATCATCCGTGTCACCTTAGAGCCGTTTCACATGCGACTGATAAAGTCCTGACGATCAGTCCTGATGATACGGACTGACGGTCATGACCATTGTTTCACAAGCAACGTATAGTACGGAAATGTCTACTACGAGGCGGTTCTCAGCGCCTCCGGAACTGCGCTGTTGCCGCTTTTTGTATAAAGAGAATAATACAACGCAAAAAAGTTCTTCTTTGCTTTCGCAAAATTTTCAAAATCCGGAACTACTATTTACGCTACTTCTTCAAATGCTTTGTTCTTTGCATCCCTATTTTTGTAGTTCTCATCATCTGCATACCAGATGCATCTTCGCTGTTCGATGCTATTTATTACAATTTCAGTATCAATGCGTAAACTACTCATTGTGCAACACTGTTTCTGCTGACCGTACGTACCATATGAAATACTCCATATAACTAACAGCCCTTAATAGTCCTGACGGTACGCAGTGCGCACGGGCTATCCCGATGCCCGTGCCGACGAATCAGTCAACCGATGATACGCAGTGCATGTGAAAAAGTTCATTTAAACAATGGCCCCTAGTCATTAGGACTGACCATCAGGACTGATCGTCAGGACTTTATCAGTCGCATGTGAAACGGCTCTTAAATTAATACAATAATTATATTATGTAATCAATACATTTATTTTTAATAACTTTTTTATGAATACGTCGACTACTAATTTTAATTAAAATTTCATTAAACATTTAAACATATCGTTTAAATAACTCGTTTTGATAGTCTTCGTATTGAAACCCTTTTATTTAAATGTTTTGTATAGGCATATTCATTTTAAAATAGGTCAAACAGTACACCTATGTATATAAAATAATGTATAATGTATATAAAATAATACAAATGGGTTAAACATTATACCCTTAAAAATAAGGTAGGTACTTATATTCATAGGTCAAACATTACACCCATGTACCTATAGGTAGTATACTTGAATAATCAGCTGGTTTCTTTCGTTTATTTAGAGAAATCTTTACTAATTCTTTTTCTATCTTCCTCCTTTTTCTCAACAGCCGTTCTTCATCTTTATCCACTGACCTTCTCTTGTTTTTCGGCATTTCTTATAACTTTATTTTACACTTCACGGAAAAGATCTGCTCAAGTCAAGCACATTTAATGTTATGAATAGAATATCGGTTATTAGGCGGCAGGTATCAGTTATTAATCATCCTTTTGTTAATCATACAATGTGCTCAAGTTAGGTAACATCTAATGTAACTACTCGTATGAACCTATTTGGAGGAGAAGATACGAGATATAATATTATATTATGACAAAGTTGCAGCATTTTAAAACTTTGTTATTGAAAAATTCATGTGCATTGGGGTGATTCAAAAAATCCACTATTTTTAATATTTTGAAAAATTGAAGCCCCTCTACCTATAAGCTCTTAATATTAAAAGTAAAATACTCCTCATTGCAATTTTCTATTTTCACATTAGTCCGATGAAAAACATTTTTTATATCACTAATAAATTAATATAAAGCTAAGCCCAATATATATTAATTAAACATTCATATAATTCTCTACATAAAAGGTATCCTATGTTTTTTTTTTGTAAACCTACCCATTAAAAATATATTTTAGGTCAAAGTTATAAAATAAAATAAATATAAAATAAAAAAAATAGAATTCAAACAAAACAATTTACACACCCATACATTATTTCAAAAATATGCATAGGTATTATTCTTTTAAAAATAATTTAAAAATTAACTGAGTTAAAAAGTCAACAAAAATCGTTTATTATCAATATATATTAACATAAATAATAATTACGGTTCCGCTTAGTACTATATCAAACCTACAATCTACACTAAAAAAGTGCATAATATATCTTTTATTTGTAAAATGGCCAAAAATTATATTTTGGAATAGAAATATTTTGACACTTAAAGACTTTAAGTTTATTTGCAAATATCATTATCACTAACTAAAAAATTTGGGGGTGACCAATTTTAAACCGGATTTCACTGATTTTTTCCCTCAAATTGGCTTAAATTTTTTTAGGACCTTAAGAAATTTTTGAGTTTTGGGTAATTTATTGTAAATTGATACGTAAAATTTCGCTTACAAATTGTTTCTTTTGGCAAAGTAGTTGATGTAGTTCCCACTTTTTTTGAAAAGGTTTTTCATCTCAAAATAATTTATATTTATAAATAATTAATGCAATTAAATTTAATTTTTGAATATTCTTCTATTTCCATAAAAAAATTAATATCTAGCCCTAGGGAATAAATTAAATTTTTGATTTAAAAAAATAAAGTATTGTTACAAAAAATTTAAATTTTTATTAAAAAAAATTAAATGTTTGAGTTTATTGTTGTAGCAAAAGTATATAAAACTTATTTATAAACATTCATTTAATTAGGCACTCGCTCGCAAGCTCGATCCTACCTAAATTAAATTCGTGTCTAAAATGGCGTTTATCAAACTTAATACATAATATACTAATATTTTATTTTTCCCTGTTAAAATAATAAAGTAAAGTTTGTAAACTTTTGAAGTATAACTTTGTTGTTATTTTATTACCTACTATAAATATAATTATTTCATGGTCTTAAGCAGTTTTGCCAACATGGTCACTTTAAATATCCCTAAACTTGTTTTAAAAATCCTTAGAATTCCTTAGTTTTAACAATAAATATACAAAAGAGTATAAATAAGTATATTATGTATCAAGTTTGATAAATTAATGAATGTATAGAAAAGTTTATAAACGAGATGCATACTATACTTTTTCTACGACAAATACTTATTATCTTAAAATTATTTAAATCAAAAATTTGTATACAGCGCCATCTATGAAACAATCTGTGTGTGTCACCGTCAAATGTCACATTTTTATTATTTTATAAACACAGATTATAAAGGTTATAAATCGAAATGTATTTCTTGAAAATTGACAGTTTTTCACAGTGAAAGTAAAGAAAATGTTTTATGAGGACTTTACAGTGGAGTCCGTGCCCGAATTTAAATTATAGTTTACTGCCGGCGAAATTAAAAGGTCAGTACAATGTTCATATAAACTTTTTAAATATTGGCGTTGAAAAACTATTTAATACTTTTGTATTTTTGTATTGAGATAATAAAATAATTGTCACATTTAGTATTATTTTACAAGAAAGGCACTTTATTTTAACGATTGTATGGCATTTGACAACTGTCAACCAACTTAAAAATAACTTCAGCCCGACTAAAAACCTGTTGCTAACTTCAGCCCGTGATTAAAGCGCCATAAAGCCACAACTTGTCAATGTGTATTTAAAAGGTCACTTAGTGTCATGGAAACATGTACGATAAAGGGCGTTTTAAAGGTGGAAGTAGAAAAAAATGTTTTTATTCAAATTAAACCAATGAAAAAACAGTACTAAATTTGTATAAATTAAATATGTTATAAAAAAAATTCCCAAATATCAAAACAAAACAAAACAAAAAATGCTTAAAGTACATTTTGCTAACGATGTTTGGCATCTTCAGAAGCGAATATTTCGAATATTAGTTCAATTATATCTGTTTTAAAATTTTGATCTGCACCGTGTAATGAAGGTGTTTTATTTGCAAATATTATTATATTGGCAAGCCTTAAAATTTTATATTATGTTATACTTACTTTTATTTGATGCATGCACTTTATGCCATTTGGGCGGCCCGACCACTACATCTATCCCCTCAACTGGACTAGGACTATCACTCAACCTTAACGTCTGCGTGACTTTGTTTTCTTTAGTCGATTGGCTTTTGATTTTTTCTTCGTCAGTTCTAGGATCAGACTTACACCTTTAAAAACCACAAATTTTACAGTTTCATCAAATAGAAACTTAACGTGAACTTTTTTATTACCTGCACATGCTGCATTTTTCGGATTCGCTTTTCGGCGTTTTTCTACCCGACTGATCGCTGCTACTTTGGTTCGAAGCTCTCGTTTTCTTTGGAATGGCGCCCAAACTTCGAGCGGCCGACGGCACCGTCTCCTGCAAAACTTTGCTCACATCCTGCTCCAAGGATACTGTGGTGGCGCTGGACCATTCTGTATCCCTTTTTAGAGGTTCTAAAAATAATATAAAAACTGTTTGTTTTTTTAAGACTGATGGATCTTTCATCAATGAGAATAACCATAGATATTTATTAGGGTGATTCGTTTTGAAGAAACAATTAATTTTTGTCGCTCCAAAAGCAAAATATTAATGTACTATGCTCCACACTTCAAAGTCCCACCACGTGACCAAGTACGGAACGCAGTCTTTTGATAAATTGTCATTTAAGGCTTTTCAGGTTATGTATCTGTCAAAGTATAGTTAAGGTGACCATCCGTCCTGGTTTACCCAGGACAGGTTCTGGTTTTTACTCATGTGTCCTGGTTTCAATTGTGTACTGGTTTTGTCCTGGTTTCGCAGATTCGGTCCTGGTTTGTACTCATTTTTTAATAAAAAAAATTTTTATGATTGAGCCATTATTTGCACATCTCTAATATCGTCGGATCGGAGTTGCAAGCATGCTTGTATCTAGAACGCACGGAACTCTACAGTTTTCTTTCTCTTTCCTGCTAAACGATCGTTAAAATACTCTGTCGCACTTTAATCTAGTGACTTTTTGTCGTGACCTCGCAATCTAGTTACTTTTATTTATTTTTAAATGATGGTGTAATAACATTGGTATTGATATATTATTATTCTATGGGTTATTTGTTGGTTAGGTATTATGTTTACCGGCGTTTTTGTGTTGTCTAGGAAATTCCTAGTAGAATTTACTAAGTAGATAATATATTAATACAATATATGGAATAAATACTAATAATTACTGGTATGTATTACTTTAATTGAATTTGATTTGCCTCTTTCAATTTTATTAATAATATTAATGGAAATAATAATCTTGTTAAGTTCAATATTGTAATTATTGTATATTTTTAGCAGCTGACTCCTAAACTAAATACCATGTCGGCCTCAAATCCAAAAAAAAAGAGGAGGCAATGCTCTTTTAACTCAGAACTACAACAAAAATTTCCATTTTTGAGAAAAATATCTGAAGACTGTGCCAGGGTCAAGTGCAATATATGCGGTTCGTCATTCTCTATTGCAAACAGTGGTATAAAGGATTTACAAGACCATATCAAGACAATAAAGCATAAATCATCAGTAGCCAGCACATCAGGATGCCAGCAAGTGGTAAATTATTATAAAAAAAAAACATTTACACATGATGAGGCAAAACTGGCTGCCTCAGAAGGTACTTGGGTCTACCACATCATAAAACATAATCAGAGTTTCAGATCTAATGATTGCACTTCTCGACTAATTCAAAAAATATTCGAGGCAAAATATTCATGTGCCAGAACAAAAAGTGAGGCCATAGTTTGTCAAGTTTTTGCACCCTTTGCAGAACAACTATTGAAAGAAGATTTGTCAAAAGCAAATTTTATTACGATATGCACTGATGCATCAAACCATAAACATATTAAACTGATGCCTATCATTGTTAGATATTTTCTACCAGAAGCAGGGGTTCAGTTAAAAATATTACAAGTAAAAGACTTACCGGGAGAAACTTCAGATATAATAAGTGACTACATATTGGAAACTGTGACCAATTTTAATTTAAATGATAAAGTTTTGGCCTTATGTACTGATAACACCAATAGCAATTTTGGTGGTGTTGCTCGAAATGGAGTAAATAATGTTTTTTACAAAGTTAAATGTAAATTAAACAATGCTTCGATTGTTGGTGTGGGTTGTATGGCCCACATAGTCAATAATTGTATCAAGACTGCTTGTGATACATTACCAGTAGACATTGAAGCTTTAATTGTAAAAATTTATAGCCATTTTTATATTTATACAGTTAGAGTAGAGAAACTGAAAGAGTTTTGTGAATTTGTTGGTACTGAGTACAAGAACATGTTAGGTTACAGCAATACACGATGGTTAGCATTACTTCCTGCACTTGAACGAGTTTTACAACAGTATGAAGCATTGAAGTCCTATTTTTTATCAATTGATAAGTGCCCAGTACTAATTAAAAACTATTTTAATAATCCTGAAACTGAAATCTGGTTATATTTTGCACATAATATAGCAGATTTATTTCACAAAACTATTTTAAAATTAGAAGGCGAAAAAACGTCCTTTATTGAAACCTGTAGAGTTTATAATGAACTCATTGAAAAATTAGAAAAACGACGAGATGAAAATTTTCGCACCTTGTCCTTCAAAATGATGTTAAATTCGTTAGTACGAGATGGTAGCATATGTGAACATTCAATAGAAAAAAACATTTTTGAATTTTATGTCACAGCTATTGATTATTTAAAACAGTGGAAAAGTCCGGATAGTGATAATTTTCAAAAGTTCAATTGGATTTTGTTAAACAAAATACCTGAATTTGAGGAAATTCAGGAGTGCTTAGAATATATTAATAATTCCAGAAGGAAAGATGGCATTGATGAAAATGATCTCTTTGACGAAGTTACATGTCTCAAGAAGTTTGTTGTTCAAGAAAAACTTGATTCTTGGAAAGAGAATAAGACAAGGGTTGGATCCAAATGGCAAGAGATCATTAAATTCTTTAATAATAATGATTATCCAATTACAAATATGGTTTATATTTTGGAGTATTGTATGTGTTTACCTGGCACCAATGCACAAGCAGAAAGGGTGTTTAGTCATGTTAATAATATATGGAGCTGTGATAAGACTCAATTAAAAGTGGAAACCTTAAAAAGTATCTTAACTACCAAATTAAATTTTGATTTAGACTGTGGTGATTTTTATAAATTATTACTCACAGAGCCAAAGATTTTGGAGGCAATCCACTCCTCAAAAAAGTATAGAGCACTGATTTCGAGCTAGTCTTGTTTTATTATTTGTTATGTTTTAAATGAGGTATATTCATTATTTGATTTTGTTTTAAATGTTTAATGCTTTTTTATTATTTATTTTATTTATATTTTATTTTTTTAGAATTTTCATTTTTTTTTCAATTAAAAAACATTAAACAAAATAAGTTTCGTTTGTTTTTTTTGAAAGGGGGGGGGGCATGCTGCGTGTATGTCGGACAGACTCTGTCCTGGTTTTTCATTAAAGAAAAATGGTCACCTTAAGTATAGTCAATGCAAGAAATAATATTTATACTGTTACCATTTATGTTTAAGCGTTAAAAGTTAATAAATCTTTATAGTAGCACAGTAACAATGGTTGGTTTAAGAGTTTAGGAATATAAATACTGCATTTAATGAAATTCTAAAGTGTATAGTGCCAAATAAGTAAAATTTTTGTGCATTTGGTCTACATATATCTGGTTTTATCCATTAAATAGTTTTAACTAAACGGCATTTATTAAAAAAATTTAGCTTGTTTATTATGGAATAAGAATATCTGTATCAAAGGTAGGTTAATATATTATAACAAAAAATATCATCTAATTTTGAAATTTTAAGGTTAGAAAAATCTATTTTGATCAAAATAAATAAGTATTTTGGATTATTTGGAAGAGTGTGTTAATATGGTCATATAAATATAGATATACTAAATAATTGTTGAATATGGTTCAAATTAAATTAAAGCTTTTATACTCCTAACAACAAAACTTGTGCATACCTCGGGATCCCTACTTTAAGTTAGATTATAAGGAAACTAACAACTTTTAGAGATACATGCAATGTAAAAATATTTAATACTCCCATAACATGTGATTTTTGAAATTTTTAAAAGATATAATGATTTTTCGATGAAGATAAAATTCAGTTGAAGCTTTATAAGTAATTGTATTGACAAAACTTTATGTAGGTATACTTTAAGCTGGATAAGAAAAAATACTACAAGTAAAATATTAGAAAGAGTATACTGTGGTTTTATTTAAATTTTAGAATTTATAAGGTTATTTATACCTAATGATTGTTCGATGTAGATAAAATTTTGTCGAAGCTTTTATAGGTACTTGTATTGACACTATGGGTAAATTAGCTGACAGTGTAAGGAACTTTAAGAAGGTTAGCTATTGAATTTTTAAAAAGAATTTACAGTTTTTTAAAATTAAGTATCTAATGGTTTTATATTTGAAATGTTTAATATTGCTTATTTCCAAGAGCCAGTTGTTCAATTATGATGTCTATTTTGTTTTACTCCGGCATAAATATTTTCAATTTGAATTTTGACTAGGTAAATAAAATAGTTGTTTGAAACCAATGAACAAAAATAAATCTAACAATAATAAATAAAAAAGTAGAATTACTAAAATGGGTAAAATTTACGTTAAAATCACCTGTTACAACAATTTTTGTAGACACACCTAAATCATTAAAAACTTTTTCCAAGACATCCAAAAATAGTTTAAAATTACTATTTGGGGGTCTATATATATATATTTATAATTACTAAATTAATACAAGTAACCTTAATGACACACATCCTTTTGTATTGATAAAGATATTACTTATAAGTATAGGTATACCTTATTTAGTTCAATATAACACTCATCAGGATCAGTGAGCCCGATTAGGTAATATAGTACCTACATAATAAATTATATTGTATATATGTACATATATGTGTGTATGTAAAATATTATTAGTTTTATTTTGTAATTATATAATTAAGAATTATACATGGTGTTCATAAATAATGAGACACTTTAATTTTAAATATAATTTTAAGAAAATTATTAAATAAACAAAAAATAATATATTTTAAATAAAAATTTAAAGAATCTAAAATCGATAAAAGTTCAAAAACTCACATATAGAAAAAAAATAAGTTTGGAAATTTGTAAAATAATAAAAAACATTATTTAAAATTATTTAATAATTTGCAAATTTTAATAATTTTAAGGTGTTGTTTTTAGATTCCTTCTTTAAAATTAACCCCTTTATATATTTAATTAATTTTAAAAATCTTAAAATAGTTAAGTTTTACAGTTGAAAATATTTATGCCGGAGTAAAACAAAATAGACATCATAATTGAACAACTGGCTCTTGGAAATAAGCAATATTAAACATTTCAAATATAAAACCATTAGATACTTAATTTTAAAAAACTGTAAATTCTTTTTTAAAATTCAATAGCTAACCTTCTTAAAGTTCCTTACACTGTCAGCTAATTTACCCATAGTGTCAATACAAGTACCTATAAAAGCTTCGACAAAATTTTATCTACATCGAACAATCATTAGGTATAAATAACCTTATAAATTCTAAAATTTAAATAAAACCACAGTATACTCCATCTAATATTTTACTTGTAGTATTTTTTCTTATCCAGCTTAAAGTATACCTACATAAAGTTTTGTCAATACAATTACTTATAAAGCTTCAACTGAATTTTATCTTCATCAAAAAATCATTATAACTTTTAAAAATTTCAAAAATCACATGTTATGGGAGTATTAAATATTTTTACATTGCATGTATCTCTAAAAGTTGTTAGTTTCCTTATAATCTAACTTAAAGTAGGGATCCCGAGGTATGCACAAGTTTTGTTGTTAGGAGTATAAAAGCTTTAATTTAATTTGAACCATATTCAACAATTATTTAGTATATCTATATTTATATGACCATATTAACACACTCTTCCAAATAATCCAAAATACTTATTTATTTTGATCAAAATAGATTTTTCTAACCTTAAAATTTCAAAATTAGATGATATTTTTTGTTACGCTGTGACTAGAGGCACGTTAACGTGCCGCGATTTGAAATGTTAAAGGCACGTTAGTTACGTCATAAACTCAAACCATCCCAAACTCAACAACACAACCCAACCGACCCCGCCCCATTGGCCCCCCCCCCGCCCCATTGAACAAAAAACCCAACTAAAATGGGCAAATTTATGTTACGATAAAAATAAAACACTTTTTAACAAAGGAACAACATATTTATTAAATAAAAAAAGTTCGACAACTTCTAGTAGATTTTATGTTACGATAAAACTAAAACAAACCAACCAACCCAACCCAACCGAACACTGTTTAACAAAGAAACAACAAATTTATGAAATAAAAAAATAAAAAAAATTCGACGGCTTCTTGGTATCGAACCCCGGACCTCTCGCATGCCAAGCGAACGCCCTACCATATAAGCTATCTAGCTTGATGTCAAATATTAAATGGTCGGGGAACAAAAACGGATTATAATTATGACGTAACTAACGTGCCTTTAATATTTTCAATCGCGGTACGTTAGCGTGCCTCTAGTCACTGTGTTTTTGTTATAATATATTAACCTACCTTTGATACCGATATTCTTATTCCATAATAAACAAGCTAAATTTTTTTAATAAATGCCGTTTAGTTAAAACTATTTAATGGATAAAACCAGATATATGTAGACCAAATGCACAAAAATTTTACTTATTTGGCACTATACACTTTAGAATTTCATTAAATGCAGTATTTATACTCCTAAACTCTTAAACCAACCATTGTTACTGTGCTACTATAAAGATTTATTAACTTTTAACGCTTAAACATAAATGGTAACAGTATAAATATTATTTCTTGCATTGACTATACTTTGACAGATACATAACCTGAAAAGCCTTAAATGACAATTTATCAAAAGACTGCGTTCCGTACTTGGTCACGTGGTGGGACTTTGAAGTGTGGAGCATAGTACATATCAAGAAAAAAATTCCCCTAAGGTTTTAGCCCTTAATCTTACTAATAAGTACTTTTATTTTGATTTGTACATAATTAGATTCTTTTTAAAAGTACTTGCAACAATTTTTATACAACCTATCACCAAAGTGACATGTTTTAATAAAAAAAAACAGTATTTATTGCCTTTTACGGCAAAACTTTACAAGTAAAAAGGATTTTTAAAGAATATTTAATTTCCTATAAAAAGATTAAACATATGCATACATTCAATAAAATGCATGGTTTAAAAGATTTAGAGCATTTAATAAATTTAACTGTAAAATTTTGATCAAAATACAATTTATTAAATACTCTATATCTTATTAACTACACATTTTATTGCATTAATGCATAAGACTATTTTTGTAGGAAATACAATTTCCTATAAAAAGTATTTTTTACTTTTTCCGTTTTGCCGTAAAACAACATAGGTCCAATTAATTTATCAACATTTGACAGTACAATTTATTAAATTCATAATAAAAAATTGCATTAATCCTTCAGAAATTATTTTTTTTTAACTTTTACCTGTACCTTTAAGCGTTTTGGCGTAAAATGCAAAAGATACTGTTTTTTAAATAAAAATACGACTATTGTTGTGTATGCAGGTCTAAATATATTAATTATAGTAAAATTTTTAGTAAATAGACCCAAGGGAATGAAAATAAGTTCCAAACTCAAATTACTCAAAACAGTGTTTTGGGAGTTATCTGGTTTTTGCAGTAACCTGATATAGGTTATTTCAATGGAAAAACTAAAAGTACTTAGGAGTAGGGCTTGGGAAACTTTTCAGAAAAATTGACTTTTGAATTTCCAAATTTTTACGGATGATCCGTACACTGATATCGAGAAAAAATGAATTTCCGTCGCTTATTATATTCAAAATATTATGATTATAATAATTATTCATTTTATTTTAATTCAGTAAGAATATTCTACCGGGCCACAAAAAACATATTCGGTGCTGTACATACAAACTTTCGTCTTATTTGACACTTTGATTTATAAAATTATAATTTTGTAATTTAACTTTATAAATCATTCATTATATTATAATTGGATATTTTAAATGAACTTCTTTTTGAAAAATATACGTAACCGGGAGTATATTTTACAATTATCTAGGTTTATTTTCTTAAATCAATTTAATTTAATTCAATATTAAGTTCTAGTTTTTTTCTGTAATAAACTATTTATTTTTTATTAAAATAATGTTAAGTTATTGATTGCAACTTTTTCAAATGTGAATATTTTTTGAGAAAAAAATCAAATTTACCCAAAAAAAGACAGTTTTTCCAAGACCAAACTTTCGTTTTTAGGTATTTGACAATTCGATTTATAAAATTATAATTTTGTAATTTAACTTTATAAATCATTTATTATTTTGTAATTGGATATTTTAAATGGAGTCCTTTTTGCAAAAAAGACCCATCCGACAGTATATTTTACCATTACGTTTATTTTCATAAATCAATTTAATTTAATTCAATATTTTTTTTTACTTTTGTTTTTTTTCTCTCTAATAAAGGATTTTTTTTAATTAAAATAATGTTAAGTTGTTTATTGCTACTTTTTTTAAATGTATATTTTTCGAAAAACAAATTGAATTTTTCCCAAAAAAGACAATTTTTCCAAAACCAAACTTTCGTTTGAGCTATTTGACACTTTGATTTATAAAATTACTTTTAAATGGGCTCCTTTTTGCAAAAAAGACTCAACTGACAGTATATTTTGTAGAGAAGGTTGAGCACTTTCAAAAGCGCTTATAAGTGCTCATAAATGCTCGAGCGCTTATAAATAAATGCGCGATATTTGAATTTGGCGCCAACAAAATAATATTTTTTGTACTGTATAGCACAATCCACACAATAATGTGGATTGTGCTGTATAGTAAATGTGTATATATAAACTTTACAATAAATAAATATTTATTTTAATGAACCTTAGTAAAAGACCCAACCAATATTTTATATTTTAAGATTACATTAATTTTCTTAAATCAATTTATCTTAATTCAATATTAATTTTTGTTAGTTTTTTTTCTGTAATAAAGGATATTTTTTTTAATTAAAAATATTGTTTTTTTTTTAATCAAAATAATGTTGATTGCTACTTTTTTCAAATGTGTAAATAAAAAAAAATAAAAACGCAAAGACCTGGGAAAAACGGAAAAACACTGTTTTCGATATGTTCATCAATATTTTGCTTGGGGGGAGACAAAAAATTAATGTTCCTTCAAATTGAATCACCCTAATATTTATACTACGAATTTTCCTCAGAATTTTTTAATTTTGAACTAATGTGCGAACTTGTCCTACGGTTTTTTAATGTTATTTTACTATGCGAATTTTGCTCGAATATTCTGTGCGCTGGCTGTTTCCGTTTCATCTTTCGTAACGGCAAATTTTGATTTACCCCGTCCGTACAGAAGTTTCACTTAAAAAAATGTTTTGGTACACATACCTTTTCTCAAAGGCAAATGATGGCTCTCGTCGTCGAACAACCAATCCAAATCCAGCTCCACCATGCTCGAACTGTTCCCGTCGCCTTGCTTCGGATCCGAAGGCTTCCTCCTCTTGTTCCGCCTGATGATCTTCTTCCTGGTCAGCCCGCCCTCCGCCGGGCCGCCGTCGCCGCCCGCCGCGTCCCAGCGCGCGCCCTGATGCCGATGCTGGTGCCTGCGCTCGCGCGCGCCGTTGTCCAGGTTCAGCCAGTCGGCGGAGGCGGCGCCGCGGTCGTGGATCGCGTCGCAGGAGACGGCCGCGGCGGCCAGCGAGCCTCGCTCGGGATCGGCGCCCGGCGGCGGGGACGAGTCCAGCAGGAGGGCGTCCTTCGAGGTGGCGCTGGAACGTTCCTCGTCGGGGAGGCGGGGGTTGCGTTGCGCGTGAGGGAGTTTCAGGTACGGCTCGGTTTTCGCAAGTTTTTTCAGTTTTATGAATAGCAACGGCGAATGGCTTCCTAACGGAAAAAAAATGATGCGTTTAACATCACCACGTGGACAGCGCGGTCATTATTGGTCAATTCGGCAATATGACAGCCGTGCCCAAAACACTTTAGGTGCCATTGTTCAGTGTTTCAGTTCAGTTTTTGAAAATAATAATACCTAATGGTTGTTAAATTTAAATAAGTAAGTAGGTGCATTTTTAATTTTACAAATTTTAGAACTCGTATTACAGACAAAATACCGCCAAAGAATTTAGTCACGGTCTTATATACAGGTCTTGCAACTTCGCCCAATTTCAATAGGAAAAGTGACCTCTCTAATGAGACACCCACCAGATGGCGCATCGAGTTGAGGGTGAACCATAGATGTTTAAAGGTCGTTTTTACCTTCTTTATCTTTGGGTTTTACAATCGATAGATAAGCTCTCTGGTGGATAATTTTCTTAGATAGAAGGTTTCGAAACCCAAAGATAAAGAAGGTAAAAACGACCTTCATATATGAAAGTTATCCGCCAAATAAGCTAACTTAATCTAACGATTGTAAAACCAGCTCTAAGTCCTTAAAGTCTATGGGATAAAGGTCAAATGAACTACCTACTTATGTTCTGTGAAGAAACATAACCTATATTTTTATAAACAAGCTTGTGTATTTTGTTACAGGAAGTTTTTACTTATTGTTATTGTGATATTCGTTATTGTTATATTATATTGTTCTATTTTTTCTTGTTATATTTGTTCTTGTTATACATTTGTATTTGTGCTTTTTAATAGACATGAAGTCCTGTGTTGTGCCAAAATGTAACCAGCAAAGCCATCGTTCCGGCATTAAAATTAAGCGGTCCATGTTTAAAGTGCTAACAAATAAGGAGCGGTTAAAAACATGGCAATGTGCAATAAAATAGTAGATTATGTCATAAGGAGTAGAAGTGACTCTTTTTGTGGTAAGTACAGAGATTGACGGCCGAAGCGTAGCTGAGGCAGGCAACTGTACGAAGCACAAAAAGAGCTTCTACTCCAAATAACATATACAATTTTTTTTTCAAGGGCGTAATATAAATAGGATAAGCAATAGAATTACTTTATTTACTCATAACTCATGTGGTATAAAATTTTGGCTAAAAGCATTATAAATTATTGATAAAAACTAAAAAAACTTATAACCCTTACTTACAATGCCGATAAATATCCTAAACCATAGATAACAAAGCCTAAACTAAAACTAAACACTGCTCTGTCAAAATGCTGCGCTTGAATTAATTTTGACGTACTGACATTTGTTTGAAGTTTCGACATTGGCGACTCGTCTATCATCATAATATTATACTAATAAACTAGTTTTTCTTTATTTCGTTCAATTAAAATTTAATAAATAATCACTAAATATTCCGTGCGATTATAATTAATATAATTAATACATCGTGATTGCTTAGTATGAAATGCTAAATTAATTTTATTATTTGACGTTTATTGAGTCACCTATGGATTTACTTCTATCCCTAGGCTTTTTTGAGTTTTTTGTCTGCCGCTAATGAAAAAGACGCACTTCAACTATCTCTATACATGCATGTAAGGTTGTATATCATGGCCGCTTGAAAAAAAAACATATTATTGACACCTTCACATTTTGTATGATTATTATATACCTAATTAAGCACATCGTGTTGGTGAAATATATATTATTTTAAATAAACAATCAACCCATCCCCGCTAAGACAATAAAAAAATCGGTTATTAATAAATTAGCCAGAATATTATTGGTTGGTTAGTTTGTTGTGTTACTAGAAATTTTGGTTTTCATATTAGCCAAATTGAATTGGATAGTTTACAAATTATCCAGCTATTCCTAAATAATTTCAAGTAAATTAGCCAAGACCCTTGGTTGGTTTACAAACTAGCCGCTAATTTAGTTAAAAATCCGTTTTCAATTAAAATAGCTGGCAGTTTGGCTAGTTTATAAACTACCCAGCTACTTAATAAACTATCCATGTTTACACATTAGCCGTAACATATATATGATATACGTATGTATTTTATACATTAACATGTTTGGTCTGGGCATGTGACGGCCGAGGACTTTGTGCATAGAGTATAGACTTTGTTGTCCTATTTTGTTAACGTAAATTATCCGAAAGAAACTCACAAATATTAAATTTTTGAAAATGTAAACAAAACATAGAAAAATAATTTAAAAAGTTAGGTTATGGTTATGCAGTAGTTCCACATTTAACTAAGTAGTAGTTTAATTGACTTTACCCCTTCGATCTTAGCGTCACCTAGCGGCTTGGCACGTTAAGGAAGCCACCTCGAAGCTTAAAGTTGCAAGACCTATATATAAGACCGTGAATTTAGTAGATAGGTTTAATTGATAAGGTCAAAATTGGGGCAATTGCGAATAATAGTTATTTATGAGGAGGCTTACAATTGAGCGAAGCACAAAAAGACACTTCTTGGCCGAATGGCATACAACATTTTATCTTCAAAGCACACGGTGGGCTTGAACATGACTTAAATGCGAGATTTTAGCACTCCCGATTTTCTTTCGGCATTCGATTTCTGGACTCATAAGAAGGTCAGAAAAAAAGATCCACCGTAATCCTTAGAGCCGATTTTGAAAAAAACGACTTTTCTTAAAGTTCAAGAAATATGTATTTTTAACGCGTCTCCTCTTGAACTTGGAACACGCTCAATTTGGTAGAAATGTGATATCCGGACATTTCAGAATAGAAGACTAAAGACAGACAAACCTTTTCCTGGATACAGACCAAAAAAAAATTCTTCGTGCGAGTTTCTGACGGAAAAAGGATTGAAAAAAAACTGAAATCTCGATTCTTGAACTGATAATTTTATTAAAAAATAATGTTCAAATAATAATTATTATTGTACAAGAATAAATAGTTTGATAATTTTGAATCAATGTCTGAGGTAAAGAACATGTTAACAGTGATACAAAAAAAACAAAATTCTTGGCTTTTTTAACCAAATTTGCAAATCTACTATTGAGCGACAAGTTATAACGTTAACGCTTTAACTAGCTAGTTATAAATGAACACTATTGTATTCTCGGAGTGCGGTCAGTAATTTACTTCCATAATCTGGATGACATTTTTTTACTTTATATTTGTCCCAGGTAATCCCAAAGTCATGGTGGACAGATTCCATGGCCTGCTCGCTAAAAAAACCCAACCCTTGTTTGGTTTTAGCGACAAACTCAGGTACATGAAAAAACACAGCATGGACCTTTGGAGTAACACTGATCTGTAGATCTAAATAACTTCTTTTAAATCTGTTTATTGCTTTTGTGTAGTTTGGTTCCAGAGTGATTGAAAAACAAGATTCTACTACTTCTACTGCTACTACTACTACTACTACTACTACTTCTACTGCTCGAAATTCTCGGAAACATTTAACATAATTTAGGCAACCCGGCCTGCATAAATTTTGCAAAACATCAGTTTTATCCAAAAGCAGTTTGCATGAGTTACCCGCAAATGCAGGGGCCCCATGCACAAATTCCTGGCTGACATTGCATTTTTTGGCCCACTCTAAAGATTCAAACTCGAACTCCATTTTCATCCGATTATAAAGAGTGTTTACTACTCCGAGAATCAAATGCAATTCAGGGGGTGCAATGATATCAAGAATCTGTCTGGAGTCATCTGTGCCTCTTGAAAGAACAGGCATATTTGAGCAATTTTTGTAATTTTTTGCAAAGGACTTTTTGAAGTTGATCTTTTCCCATTCTAAATAATTTTCTTGGCAGTTTTCTATAGTTCTCTTCTCGCCACAAGTATCCAAACTTTCTTTCGAGGCCAAACACCAGGTACATGGAAAGCTACTGGCATGAGACATGATTCCCACCAATATATTAGCGAGTTTCAAATCGGTTGCAATTGTGCCCGGAAAAATCATTGATTTGTAAGAGAGACCATAACATTCTGACATTTTCGTGGTTTTCTTGTGTGGCTGCAATTATTGCGAGAATAAATAATTTTTTCACTCCGGAATCCTTGAAGCTTTTTGCCGCTACGCCCGCTATATATTTTTGTCGATTATCTATTACAGCAGAATCAGGTTCTTGCACTGAAAGGCAAATCTTGAGAAACCCTCCTCCACCATCAATTCCAAACTTCAAATGAGGATTATCATTGTTTCGAGTTCCTTTTATATAAGCGATTAAGGCCGCAACATCTGTACAATATGCCAATATTTCTGTAGAGGTCATTTTCTCGCCAGCTTTGGACGTCATTATGGGGCAAATTTTGAAATTAAAAAATGCATCTAGCCTGTGGCGGTATGTAGATAGTTTCGTCTTCAGATGGGGTTCAAACAGGTTTCTTTTTTGGGAGCCAACCCGTAAGTCCCTCGCTATTCCCTGAACTACGTTGCTGGAGAGACCGTAATTTGTGGCTATTTTACAAACATCTCCCGCGGAAATCTGCTGCGGGCCTATAGTTTGATTATTTCGTTTCGGGGTGATTTTAATGTTGAGTGCCCTTCCGTGGATCTGGGATAATGTAAGGGTTTTGTTCCCCGAGCTGGGCCCAGCTCCCATGGGAGTATTAGTATTTAAAGATATGTCCTTTATCAAAGAACATGCCAAATGTTCTCTCTGTTTCGGGGGAAGCAAGTTACTTAAATGTTCTTGGAAACTCGGGAAGTGTTTGTCTGGGCTACAAAAATGTTTTTTCCCTACCGAATAAGTTTCCCCACATTTTCTGCACTTGTTGCTTCTCTTCTTTTTGTTCTTGGCGGGTTTTTTGGTGAAGTTATATGGCCCTGGATCTCGTACCAATTCACACAATGTGCAACTGCACAAAGCTTGAGTTTTTGCCCGAGTATTCTTCCCCAAAATTTTAAATTCTGTATAGTCCGGGAGAGCTATTTTCTCGATATTTCCACACTTCACTGACCGATATACGATAATTTTGCAAGCGTTACATAAAACATTGGGAAGAAGTTCATCTTGTTCAGCATAATTCACACATTTTTTTAGATTCACATATAAACTACCACTG